CCAAATTTCTTAATCAAGTTCATCACATTCACCAAGACACACACAACCAAGGATTGAGATTGCATACCTGGGCGTGAGATTCGCGTGGGCCTGGATACAGTCTTAATCCTTGCGCGATAATATCAAACTCTGCACGTAAAAACAGCTTCATATAAAGACATCCAAGATGACTCAGCTCAGCCACCACCTGGAGCTACTTTATTTGATCATTTCAAAGTTTATCCAACTTAGCGATGAACTGATGATCTTTTTATAGTCCAGGGGTCAGTTTCTTTTGCCACCTGAAATCTTCCCTTTCATTTCAAAACTGTGTACTGGAACCTTTTACTCTGGCTTTGAAAGCATTTTGGTTTCTGCATCTGAGAAATGATAATTGGTGGATTTTGGTGCAGTGGTCCTGGCAAACAATAGTGATGGGTTTTTGCTTCTTGGTGTTACTCCTACTGGCAAGACACGTTGTACGTTATTCCTCTCTGTCACTCTGCTACTTTTTGTTTGCATCTTAGCATTATTACCCATTTGGCCTTTTCCTTCACTAGCCAAGAATCCCACCCAGGAATATTATAATTTAACTTGAACAATAAATTATAATATTAAGAAATACTCAGCAGAGATAATTTTTTTACATTATTTTTTGTTGGATTGGATATATACGCATACAATAAAAACTAGAAGCGGCAACATGCAGTGAGATTGTAAGGTGGGCATTCTATTGGCAGTATTAAATGGGGACAATCTCCATTTTCACCTGGGACAGAGATCAAACACCTGGATCAAACTCAGGAAACTTACACATTTCATACACTTTGTGTTGACACCTATATATATTGAACCCTACGTTCTCTCTGTTATGACCTGAAAGGATAAGTAATAAATGATTCAGATTTAAATTACTACATATAATTTTATTACATGCATATATTTTTCTAAAAAATGTTTTATTTTTAATATAATTTTAATATATATAATCCCAATTTTGTTTAAACTTTATTCCCGAAACTCAATTACGAAAAGGACCTCTAGTCTAATGACACAAAAGTTTTAAAGGGTATTTGGATGGAAACCAAACTATTATTTTAAAAGCATTTTTACAGTATACGAGGTAAATATGTAGAGTAGTTTGTCTTGTTTTACCAAAAAGTGTTTCTGAAAAGCATTTTTGGGTGTTTCAAAACACCCCATTAGTCTTGATTTTGTCTCGGAAAGTCGTCTTCTTCTTTTTTTTTGGCAGCTCTTGGAAAGTTATTTTTAGGAAGCACACTCGCATAACTTATTTTATTATCCCGTTAAGACGGTTCGGGGTCATCATTCACATCATACTTCACTCTTGAACACTTGGACTGCCCAAAAAGTTTTCGCTTGCGTGATTGGATTCGAAGAAAAAAATGAAAAAGGGACAATTTTGGGATTCGAAACGAAATCCTAATTTAATAAGATTTAGAGAAATTTCGCAGCAATACAGGAGTGTCAAAAGTGAATAAAACATAGCAACTGGGAAAATAATAGGCCTAGGTTAAAGTCTCCACTTTATTTTGGTGAGGTTGAAGTTGGATTCTGAATTTAATTCTCCGAGAAGGAACATTAGAATACCTGTTTTGGTTTCATCGTTCTTTTCTTTCCTACCTGTAATGATATGATAAAGCATCAGAGAATATATAGATAGATAGAGAACAAATTTGACACCAACATTCATAAAAGTATCTCACTTTAGCCTAATAATCTTTAACAGAATACTGAATCATAGCTATTCTTCACACGATTTGGTTTCCACTCCTCCAACAAAACACAATAAAAGAAACCAACTTAACATAATTCATACCATTGCCTATGATTCTCTGGGAATGGGAACTTAAAGAAATATTATGTCCTTGAAATCTGCGGGTGTTTTACTTTCTAGATTTTGACCAAGATTGGATAGAACTTGCATATATTTAGATTTCTATATCTAATATCTAAGCAAATGCCTGTTAGCTCATCTTATGGATCCTAGAATTTTTCATATCATAGGATAGAAGTAATTCACATCCCTTGCAATCTTTTTGTGTAGAGCATGAGGAAGCCAAAGCTTTTCTGGGTCTCAGCTGGTGCTCCTCTTGTGTCTGTGATAATCTCTACCCTTCTGGTATTTGCAATAAAGGCTCAGCATCATGGCATCAGCGTTGTATGTGTCACTCGCTCAAACAGCTGCATTACTTGTTTCACTTCAATTCTACTTTTTTTCTTTTTTGGCCAAACATCACTTTATGTCTTATTGCTAACAACATATGCTGCTGGTGTGTTTGGTAGATAGGAAAACTGCAAGAAGGTCTAAATCCTCCTTCATGGAATATGCTGCGCTTTAATGGAACTCATCTGGGTCTTGTAATCAAAACTGGGCTTATCACTGGCGTTTTGTCCCTCACTGTTAAGTTTTACTTTTCTTTATTTCCCTTTTAACTGTTTGTTTCTTTGTAGGTTGAATAACTGTATTCAACTCTTTTGTTTCAATCAACATTAAGTTTTGTTAACCTCACTTACTATGTACCATCCTGGTACGTAGAAATATACAGGGTTTTATCAGTAAGGACTACAGTAAGATTCTTTAAAACCATAAGAACTACAATCACAACTTTTTATAGTACAATTAGAAGGGCACCATTAAACATTGTTGCATTCGTATTGTATCTTTAGGATTCTGTGTTTCATATTAAACTTTCAAAAGAGAAAGGGATTTATCCTCATTAAATATTACGGGACTTTCGCAAACAGGAAGGTATTGCAGTAGGAAGGACTTTTGCAGCTCTCAAGAGCTACAAAGTGGATGGAAATAAGGAGATGATGGCAATCGGCTTCATGAATGTGGTTGGCTCCTTCACTTCCTGCTATGTCACTACAGGTACATGTCAAATGCTTAGAAAATAAAAACCACCCAAAAATGATGGACAGGAATAAACCCAAAAATGATAGGCAGGAATAATTAAGTATCACTTTGATGATATCCATTTGTGATTTGAAGAGTCCTACGATGTCTGATACAGCATTCTATTACCTGTTAGATTCACACATGGACGTAAATTTTTTTCGGGGAAAGTGCATGGGCTTCTTCATAATTCACTCAATTTAACTATGAATTTCAGGTGCTTTCTCTAGATCAGCTGTCAATAACAATGCGGGAGCAAAAACAGCTGTATCAAATATAGTAATGTCCATGACAGTTATGGTGACACTCCTGTTTCTTATGCCGCTGTTTCAGTACACTCCGAATGTTGTACTGGGAGCAATCATAGTCACAGCAGTAATTGGTCTCATTGATATCCCTGCTGCTTATTACATCTGGAAGTTAGACAAATATGACTTTATTGTAATGCTCACCGCGTTCTTCGGAGTCATTTTTATCTCTGTTCAAGAAGGCCTTGCTCTGGCAGTAAGTATATGTTTCACTATTTCTTATAAAGGCTTCTACTGGCAACAGCGTTATTATGACTTCCAAACTCTAGGTGTTCCTCGAGAACAGGCAAAGTAAAAGGTTTATGATATCTTTTCCTCTTAAAATAACATGGAGGTGATAATCATGCTATTGATCAGGTTGGGTTGTCAATTCTGAAGATCCTCCTGCAAGTTACAAGGCCTAAGACAGTGATGTTGGGCAACATACCCGGTACAGATATATATCGAAATGTTGATCATTATGAGGAAGCTGTGAAGTTGCCTGGTCTTCTCATTTTAAGCATCGAGGCTCCCATCAATTTCGCAAACATCACATATCTCAACGAGAGGTTGGGTTTCAACATCACAAATTGTCAGTTTTATCAATGATTGATTGGTCTTTCCCCCGTTACTAAACTACCAGCCTCTGTTTTATTCAGGATCTTACGATGGATCGAAGAATATGAAGAGGAAGATAACATCAAGAAAAGCTCAAGGCTTCAATATGTGATTCTGGAAATGTCAGGTAGCCTGATTAATTTTGAAATAGGAATTTTGATAGTCTGTTATTTTAGTTTCGGCCCAACCGTACGTTATCAGATAGAAATCTGATAATAGTGCTTTATATCTGTCCTGTATATGTTGGGTCTTATATCCATTCTTCTTAACTTTTGGTGCATTGATTGAGGAAAGTTAGCTAAAGCATATTATAGCGCATGTTTAGTACTATATTCAAATTAAAGGAGCATTGAACCACATTTCAGCTGTGAGCAGCGTAGACACAAGTGGAGTCTCACTTTTCAGAGAACTGAAACAAGCAATGAAAAATAAGGGCGTTGAGGCAAGAATGCTAAATCTCATATGCTTTTAGTGGTTTTGCTACTTTATTTGCCTTGACCAAAAGTGCTCAAACCTTGACTGGGACAGATTGTGCTCGTGAATCCTCTGGCTGAGGTTATGGAGAAGTTGAAAAAAGCAGACGAAGGCAATGACTTGATGAGAGCAGACAACCTTTTCTTAACAGTTGGGGAGGCTGTGGCTTCGCTTTCATCTGTGACGAAGGGCCAAGCATCAAATATGGAAGAAGGGGCACAAGAAATTCCTCACTTCTGATAAACTATACAAGCAAGATTGCAGACTGAATCAGCAAAAGTAAAGATGAAGAAGCTGCAAGGAAGGAGAGAAAGAGAGTAGAGTAGCTATGAGATGGAGCTAATTGTATATTTCTTTGGTCTAAAACGATTTGATATTATGAGGATTGAGAAGCATTCATCTGAAAGGGAAATAGACTTTAACATTTTGTCGTGCGTGACTATAGTCTCCCTGCTTGTTGAAAAGTTGCGTAGGAATAGGGTGGATTTATAATTGAACAATAAAAAAGTAGCATGTTCATAACGAAACATAAATGAATCAAGAATTTAGTACTGAAAAAAATGATTCCTTATAATTTATTTCTGAAACTTTGGAATAAAGTTGATGGACATGTATAATATATACTCTTTAAGCCATCCTTAATTCTTGTGATAGATTTCAGTATACACGCAAGAAGTGAGAATCCCCAACTTCTGATCATTTGCTGATAAAAGTTTTGATGATGCATGAAAGATTAATTTTAACACAAGAATAAAATGTAATTATGATACATTCATAATTGTAGCAACAACATAGTATAAATACAAATTAAGTAGTTGGTCTAATGGTGGAAGCCGAGAAGTCCCTTAATGAATATATCTCTTGAATTGGCATAAATGGACATGTCTTCAACCAATCCTGAAAAATTAAATGAGATGCATACGAATGAATTCAAACACCATTTGATCTCAATATCAACTAATCAGTATATGCGTAAAAGAAACCATATATATGTATATATAGTCATAATTATTCAAAATATGGTTTCAAGCAAGATTTGCAAGACACGCTAAGTTGTAGAACGCACCTTAATAAAGTTGTAGCTTACGTTCTCCCATGATAAACCACTGTATTCTATCATAGAAAGCAGACGACATGCGCATCGTCACGCCATCATCCAAAGCGTCATAAAGTCCAATCACCTCCAAGCTCTGCAACTTCTCAAGACACAGAATAGGATCCTCCTTAAGTCGAGAGCCCACTAGCTTCAGCACCTTCAAGTTCTTCAGAGAACACAACCAACTTGGTAACTTATCTAGTTCACCAACCAAACACAGCCTTTCAAGAAGTGCAGGTGGAGACTTCACATCTTGCAAGTCAAATTTCCCACTTGTATTAAGAGACAGCGAACGTAGATAGCTCATTTTTGAGATGGATGAGCACAGAGCACTCCATTGATGGTTTTGCAGATTAACCAAACACAGTCTTCTCAGTTGGGTCAACATCCCCAAGCCTTTCTCAAAGAAGTCACTTTGTTCTTCGTTTGGTACTTCAACTATGCCTAGCTTCTGTAATGAAACCAGACAACCTATTGCAGACGTTGCTATGAAACCTTGTACACGAAATATGTCCAATTTCGTGACATGGGTTAAGTTGTTGTGGTAGTTTTTCCACTTTATGCCACAACTTGCTGTTTCTAGAGGGATACGAGACCCTGTTTCGTGATCCTTGTATTGAGATATCAAAAGATGGTGGAGTTTGTAGAGCTTATATATCTCCGAAGGTAGCTCAGTGACGCGTGTCAGCTTGAGATCCAATGTCTCCAGATGATGCAGATTCCCAATTGATGCAGGAAGACTGGAGATTCTTGTATTTCTCAAGCTCAAATACCTCAAGAGGAACAGTTTGGTGATAGCTTCGGGAAATGTTTCCAGTGGGGTCCCGTTCAATTCCAACACATTCATCAGCTTGAAGTTACCATCTCGTAAGTTTGACCTTATCAAGGAATGTGTCTGAAATAGAAACAAAGAACGAAGTCGAGACCACGAGGTGTTCTTAATTTCAGGGACATATGCACTTCCCTCGTATATAGATAATCTTCTTGCTCTTTCAGGCCAACTTCTTGCATTTTCCTCATTTGTGATTGGTTCAGCGAAACTTATTGCTCTTGATTTGAGGACAACAGTTTCGTGTATCAGGTCATGGATGCGAAAACACATGATCCTTCCATCAAGTGTGTACTTGGCTATTTGTATCAAATTTCTATTGAGAAGTTCGCACAAATAGCTTTCTGCTACTTCCTCTGTCATCTTATTATTTCCATCTGAGACCCATAATCGAACTAGTCTCATGGGCTCGATCAAGTGGTTCTCAGGGAACACGCTTAAGAGCAAGAAACATGGCTTGAGATTATAAGGTAAATCGTCAAAGGCCAACGAAAGTACTTTGTTCAAACGAGGATTAATGTTTCCTTTTAGTTCAACGTTATCAAGAATACGTTGAACCATCACCCATTCTTCAACCCTGTTCTTATTTTTAGTACCCAATAGGCCACTGAGCACTGAGATGGCAAGAGGAAGCCCTTCACATTTGTCTACCATTTGTCTGCAGATGGGTTCTAAATGAGGAGGGCAAGGCTGGGAAGAGAATGTTTTCTTACAGAATAGTCCCCACGAATCACTTTCAGATAAACGTTGCAGGTGAAACATGGTACCTTGGGAGTCGTCGCAGGTTGTCGCGTATCTTGCCACCTCTTCGTTACGAGTGGTGATTAAGATTCTGCTGGCACAGTGTTCATTGGGAAATGCGAGTTTCACGCAATCCCAATGCTCTTTTTTCCACACGTCATCAAGTACAATCAAATATCTTGCAGATTGAATCAAACCCTTCATGGTTTCTTTCAGTTCATGGGTGCTCATCGTGTGAGATAGGATTTCCTGAGAACCAACATTGCAGAGCTGCTGAACCATGTCGGTTAGAAGCTCCTCTTCGTTTAACGATTGAGAAAGCGTCACAAACACTATCTTCTTGAAGCACTCTCTGATATAACCATGATGATGGATTTGACGTGCCATGGTGGTTTTCCCCATCCCTCCTTCTGCAACAATTGCCACTACTTTATTCATGGCAGAGTCATCACCCTCTAAGAGACAACCAAGCAGAGTCTCTTTGGCCTCCATCCGACCAACGCCAACCAGTTGGCCTTCGTCCACTACGTTATACAAACTGCTCCGAAACTGATGAGTCATTTTGCTGCTTTCTGGTACCACGCTTGAAACAACATCGTACTTCCTTGGCTTGTCGGGTATTCCCTTGATTTTGGCTCTGATGTTTCGCAATTCAGAGCCGATTTTGTAGTTGGTTTTGCAGTTTCTGACGAAGGAACACGACGGTGAGGTGTGTGGGCGATCTTCATCCCAACGATGTTCGAAAATGTAGAGCAAGAACTCGTCAACGATATCTTCAATTTCATAAGCAACATCTCTCACTCTGTTAATCCATGACTCGAGACTTTGGTCTTCGTACTCTAATTTGTTATCATCGATGCTGCCTAAGAAGGCCCTTATGGATTTTACTTGGCGTTTGATGCTCACAATGTCTTGTTCAGCTCCTCTCTTCAATTGGAACTCCTCGTTGAGGACTTGGAAGAGCTCATTCAGTCGAAATTCCACAACTTTTTTTGCCATCCTCTTCAACGATGTGTTTCCGAAGAAGGGGTACGATTTTAACTTCTAATAATCAAGATCTTTTTCTTTGGGCTCACTTGATAATCCTTTTTAGCTTGTGTGTTCCTGTGTATAAACATGATGGATGATCAACTCCAAGATCTAGACCATTTAGAACTAATCTTAACGGTTCAGATTTAATTTTCTTTAAAGAATTAGCATTCCCTTAATTGTGTTTGCAACCTTTCCTGACGAATCTTAATTATGCTTTTATTCCATCAAGGAGAAACCCCATGTACTGGGGAAGGCATAAAGAGAACTATTTTTCGTCCAATATCCACTTTTTTGCAAGGAGAAAGTAAGAGGAAAAGACCTGCACGAAATGTTTGTTAATGCTATCATATAAGCATGTTTCGCAATAAATTTACAACATTCCACATTGCCGTACAGTTATTGCCTTGAATTGATTCATAACCTTACTTAAATTATAATTATGCTTTCCTTAGTGGCCATGCAAAGAGATTCCATTCTGAAGCTGTAACTTCAAGAGTGGAATTATACCCGATACATCAAAATGAATTTAGGACAATATTTCGCCAAGCCTTTAGAGGATTGCATCAAGGCGACTGTAATTTTTGTGATATAATTATATGATACTCCTTCAGTTCCTTCAGTTCCTAATACAAGATCTAATTATTAAATTAATTTTGACATTAAATATAAGATTTATTTATCATATTTGTCAGTTTTCTCTAAATTATTCCTATCGATACTTCATCAACCATAATCAAGCAAGTGAGGGAGGGAGTATGTTAAGAAAGATGATTATGGTGTTTTAGAAAAAACATGTCATTTTTTATAATTAACTAGCTTACCTAACTTCCTTAATCTAATCAAATTAGTTAAATAGGTTTTATATTAAAGACCAGAAGAGTATTTAGCATTATTGTGTTATACTTGAGCACTGTGAAACTCAATTGAGAGTAACTCTTTTAAATATATTTTGTACATTAATATAGATCTAAATTTAAGCTCTCATGCTCAAATTGTTATAACTCCGCTCATTAGGACTAATGCATGTCAGTTAAGGCAACTCTAATTTAGATTTTTTTTAATGCTTTTACTTACAATTCAACCATTTATTATAAAATGAGTACAGTTTTTAAAAAATGAGGGCACAAAATCTTAGTCACCTTCTTAAAAGTGGTTTTTGTATATATTAAAGGTGAAGGAAAACCCAAAAAAAATTGTGAATTTTAAAATCCCAATTACTCTTATTTCCTATACTTTAATAATAATTGATTATATTTAAAAAGTAAACAACAATATATTACTGTATGAATTCCTAATTTACGGTTTTGAAATTTAAGTGGTTTTTTTTGAAATTTAAAAGGGGCAAATTACATGAGGATGCAGAACTTTTTAAACTTCCATGTAAGCAAAATTTGGGAACCAATAGTATATAATTGCGATTTTAAAAGAAAGATATTTCAAGTTTCATAATTAATAAATAATAATCAATGGTTTCAAGAAAAATAAAAATACTTTTAACAAACAGTATATAATAAATTATTATTAATTTTTAATTTATTATTCGTACTTTTGAAAATTATAATGTAATGTTTTATTTACGAAAAGATGTTTAAAATTATCACTATTCCCGAATTGAAATACTTTTATAATATTTGCGAGATTATGTTGTAATTTCAAGGGCATTTGATAATTTTGACAAGGTGGTAATACGCAATTTATTCTTTTTTAGTGCAATAATAATATAATCTGGTAATTACTAAAAGCAAACACAAAACAAAGAATGTCAAAAGGGAGAGAATATAATAATTTAAACATTATCGATGGCGATGGCAAAGTGGGGAAAAGGTGACAGAGAGGTAGTTAAATTAATTGATTCGAATTTTTAATATCAATCTCAAAGTCAACGCTCCTAGTGGTGGTCCCCCTTGCTTTTCCCTTCCCTGCTTACTCGCTGCATTTTCCTTATAATTCTTCTCCCGTGCTCTGATTTTGACTCTTTCTGCTATCTTGCGCCGAGCTAATTTTCTTTTCATTCAAAAAGACTCATACTCTTTTGGCCAAAAAAAAATCTCATACTCATCTTTTAATATTTATTGTTTATAAAAAAATATGGCTTATTATAAATTTATTTACATTGAGTATCAACTATATGAAAGATATATGTATTTTATTAATTTTTGTAAAGAATATTATAAAAAAACTGTTTATAAATTACTAACAACATTATTTAATTTTCAATGCAACATATAATTGATTTTAGTAAATAGTCATTGGATCAAATGAAAAGAATAAAAATGTTTGAGTAGAAACCAAACTATAATTTTAAAAATAATTTTATAAGTTCTAATTGACTAATTTGGAAAGATTAAAGAAATTAGTTAAGTTAATTATTTATTATGAATAAGTGTTATCTTTCCTAAAACACTCTTGTTAATTATGTATATTACCTAGAGTTATCATTTCATGAAACCTTTCATATGTGCAACCACTTTAAGAACTATTTTAAAAAAATAAATAAATATAAAAAATAAAATAGATTAAGATTTTATATTTAGGATCAAATTAAAAATCAAATAAGTTTCTATAATAAAAAACAGAGGTAGTATAAAATAAATACGTGGAAGATAATTTTATGAAAAGAATAATACTCCTCTGGTCCTTATTATAAGACCCAATTTGACTTTTTATTTGGTCCTAATTATAAGACCCAATCCATTTTGTCTCTTATATTTATGCATTTTTTTTTCAAGATAATCCTTCTGATAATTATAGTTTTAGCCAATATACTTAATTAGTAAGGATATTTTAGGAATGACAACACTTATTTATTATAAATAACCAATTTAACTTACTTCCTTAATCTCCTCAAATAAGTCAATTGGGTCTTATAATTAGGACCGGAGGAGTATATTGATTTTCGTTCACGAGAGTGCGCAGGATAAGAAAAGAGGGGCACCACCCCTCCGTGCGTTTGAGTCCACCTTGCGTCATAGTCAGCGAGGTTTACTAATTCGCAGTCCCACACACACCAAAAATAACGCTTACAGGACAGCCTCTGCCTCACGCATTATAGCTCCCAGGTCACAAGCATCTTCACCACTACTCTCTCTCCCCCATTTTCATTCTCAAATTCTGACGCAGATCCCATTATCATCACTACTCCCCCCCCCTCTCTCTCTCAAAAGCCATGGAGGATCTTCCTCAAGGTTACCGTCCCAATGTCGGAGTCTGTATTATCAACTCCGATGATCAGGTTTTTGCTGCTCCTCCTTCATTCTCTGGCCTCACTAATTCCCCCCCCCCCTTAGCTTTCAGGAATCTGCACTTTTCTGTTCTGTAAAATTGATTGCTTATGGTTTACTTTTGATTCATTGTTTTCTATTTTGGGGTAAACATCTCCTTTATGAGCTATGTATGCTGGAATAAAATCTATAGTTCATGATTTGTGTTTCAGCGTGTTTTTGCTTATCTAGATTTAGAAAATTATACTAGTGTATTGCCGTTTTCCTCTTGCCAATCGTCATAACTTACTGCTTAAAAGCTCAAGTAACTGGAGTAGCAGTGTTGCAACAGTTGTAAATGAAAACTGCAAGGATTTTATAAATTTTGTTTCTCTTCTGTTCGTCCCTGACCGAGATCCTAAGTTCTGTTCTGTTTTCATTCAAAACCTGGTTATAGTTGTCAATCATTTTTAAATATTGCTTTTATTGATTCTCTCCTTTCTATTTTCTGGTAGTCTGAGTTTGATATGCTATTAGTATTTTTTTAATAAAAAATAATATTTGTATTTGTGAAAATTTTGCCATTCACAGTCTATGGTTTACATTTTAAATCATCAACCTGTTCAGAAAATTGTAAAGACATGTATATATCTGAAGAAAAATTGCAGCTTCTCGTCCACATCACAGTCTTTTTGGTCCAGTATGTATATCTAGATGAGCAAGAGGAAGAATCCATGAAACCCAATCGTTTATTTCAGGTTTTTGTGGCTTCTAAATTGAATTCTCCAGGAGCATGGCAAATGCCTCAGGTGACTTTCCTTTACATGCTGTTTCAGCCTTGAGAACAACATATTTTACCCCATTAATGCGAAGAAGATGGATAACACGTGTATTCCTCCAATGGGCATAAAATACTTAGGATTATAGATTTAACCCAGGAGCTAAGGGAAATACATGATAAGTCCAAAGTAAGTGTTTTGGTAAAAAAATGCGCATTATTCATTCTTTAAATGATCCCAACTTCTCAACTATCATCTTCTTTTGCTTTTCTTTCGTGACTCGTAATTTAATAACACTAGACATGGCTACATTAACTCGGTTCCAATAAAGTTAACGTCTATCCTGCCTCTCCTGTGTGATTACTGGTTTCCACTTAAAACAAATTCATGAAGATGTATTCTTTGCAGTTAACTTCTGTTGAGTTGCGATGGATCCAACTCCGCAACTCTGGTGATATCTAATATCTTCATGCAGTTGAAGTAGAATCGTGAGATTCATAGACATGGCTACTTTGATTTAGTCATCGACTCATAACATTGACTTTGTGACTCATTGTGAATCATACGATCTTAATGCCTATTTTGAGCTAGCTTTCTCGTGACATGCTAACTATTTGAAAATAGATGGCACATCAACGCCAAGAGTATGTTAATAATTTAGTAGCTTAATTTTGTTTCAAATGCAATCACCATTCTGTTGCTTTACTGGTGGGAGCTGGGAAGGGCTTACTGTCTTTATTGAAATTCTGATTCCTCTTGTCACGTTCTCACGAGAGGATTTTTCCAGCAATATGCCACAGAGTGTTATGCTGCCTTTCGTTTAAGGTTGTCTTGTTGTTCCCTCAGTATATTCAATGCATTATCATTAGCAGCTCTCCTGCATATGAAAATTTTCTTCCTATTGTTGGCCTGGGTCAATTTTGGTCTTACAATATACTGAGCAGCCAGATCCCTTCTGAAAATTTCCATAAAGTATAGCTTAGAATGCTGTGGAGAGGGATATAGACTGTAGTTCCAAGCTTTTTCAGAAGTGGACTCTCGTATTTTAGATATGAATTTGGGAATTTTTTTCTCATTTCGCCTGTAATAAATTTTCAACTCTAGCATGGCTTCAAATTCTTTTGCTAAGATAATATATATGTTATGTTCTTTTGTATTCTTGAATATCAGGGCGGAATTGAAGATGGTGAAGAGCCTATATCTGCTGCCATTCGGGAACTGCGACAAGAAACTGGAATAGTATCTGCTGAAATAATTGCTGAGGTTTGTGCAGATTTCTATCATGAGTTTGTTTTGGTTTTTATTATTTATTTTGCTAAAAAGTGAGTAATGTGCAGGCTTTCATCTATGCTCTATAAACAAGTGCTATCTGACAACTAAATATCCATGTGCAATCTAGATTACTTTTATCCTTGAGTATTAAAAGGTGAACAAAAAATGTTAGAAATGGAAGAAGCTATACTGCTCGACTTGGATATAAGAGAAGCAGTTAGACATCATGCTGGTTTTGATACATTATATTAGTAATTCTTTTGAGCATGATTTTATGATTGAATGGAGGTTAATCGTTTTGTATCTTTGACAGGTCCCAAGATGGTTAACCTATGACTTTCCGCCTCATGTGAAGGCTAAAGTCAATCGGCTCTGGAGAGGTGATTGGCATGGACATGCACAAAAGTGGTGCGCTTGTGTTTTGCTTTCAAGTCATTGATTGAATGACCAAGTACTTGCATACTTGTCACATTAAAGAAAAACCTGAGTTTTATTTCCGTATTGAAATTTTGACCTACAATGTCGCGGTATCATTCCTGTGCATGCCACATGGAAGCATTTAAGAACCACTGTCATTCTGTATCTTTGTATTGTTTCTGCCATACATGGGTTCACGTATATGCTTGCGTGGCATGTAGGCAATAAGTGATTAAGCCATGGTTTGACATTAACAAATAGACAACGAAGGAAGGCAAAAGCCTTGTCAGTTTGTACCTGGTTAAAAGCATGCCTCAGACTAAGGTTGCTTAACGTGCAGAGGTTAACATGTCATTCTTGCTCTTAAAGGGAGAGGGAAGAAGGGGGAAAATCAAAGCCCTCTGAGTGTGAAAGACATTAGTTCAATATAAGGCCTGGATTGTGGGGTGTGAAAAAGTTCCTCTGAATGGCTCTGGTATTATTTTTCATGTTCCTAATCACCATAGCCTCTGAGAGATGTAGTATCTGAACAGATAGGCCTTGCTGTAATTGTATTTTTTGAAGGAGAAAAGTGACTTTTGTACAGGTCATTAACTTGTCATCCTCGATGTAGTGGAGTAGTTCTTGGACTTTGTTCTATGGTCTTGCCATCAATGTTTCCAGTCTTCTGTAAAATTTCTGTTACTGAGTAGGCTTGGCATATGATGGTTACTATTTTTCTTTGATCATGTTGTTAATTAAATTGGTATTATCTTATTTTTTGTTCTGAGTAAATTAATTCAGTATTTTACCGACACTCTGCTTGCTACATTAATACTGAATGCTTGATAGGTTTCTCATGCGATTCACTAAAGATGACAGTGAGATCAACTTAGCTAATGGTGAAGCAGACCCTGAATTTGCAGAATGGAAATGGTCAAGCCCTGAAGAAGTTATTGACCAGGCTAGTTGCTAAAAGTTTCTTATAAACGTTAAAGTGTTTTTATTTTGCTCTTGGAAAGACTAATTGCGGATAAATTATTACAGGCCGCGGAATATAAAAAACCAATCTATGAAGAAGTTTTGAGAACCTTTAAGCCTTACTTCCAAGGGAATGCAATATCTGCCAAATGTAAATCTTCAAAGTGGTGAATGGTACAAGTCATTGTAGTTCTATCCATATCGTTAAGTAATCTTATTTAAACAACTTGATAGCACTTGTCTCTTTGTAAATAGATAGTAGTTACATGGTTAGAACTTATCGTTTCCTGCTTTTAATGATGAGATATGTGTGTCAGTACCTAATTATTTTTCCCCTCTTAACTTTGCTGGGATTACGTTTGCAGGCGTCTCTATACAAATGGTATGTGGTGTAGGAAGCCTAGTGATTGGCTACAAACTTGTTTTCAAAATACTTTAGATCAAGAATCTCTAAAGTAACTGGAAAAAAGGCATCGTCTATTGCTTGAAGCCCTGTGTAACATGCGTTATTGTTAATGACTTATAAATAAGTGCGGCTTCTTATAAATTTTTTAGATACATAGATATAGATTTTTGTGAGAAAAATTAACTCCGTTAATCAACTTTTAGAGGACTAAGAATTAGGTAGATTTTGTGTGTATGTGGTGTATTTGCTGTTTAATTTGAATAGAATTATGACAAGAGAGGAGTAATGCGATGTTCCGTTGTAAAAGATATAAGCTTACTCTGTTTTACTGGAGAACTTACCGTCAAAGAATTAAAAAAAAAAAAATTGCAAAAGCATTTCCCTTCATAGAATGGACATTATTGTGATAGTGGAAGTTCACTTAAAAACGGGGCTTTTAATAAAATAAATAATCAAACGAAGAAAATTTCTCAATTTCTCACGGATAAGATATGACCGTGAGAAAAGTTTAGCAAATTCTCGCGGTAACATAAAAGCTGTGAGACAATATCGCCCTGTAATTAACTGTCTCAACTCTCAAGTGAGGGTCTCAAAGCTTATGGATTCTAATTTCTCATACACTATTACGTGTCTCTGGCGAAAAAAAGCAATATTGTGTTTCATTTTCCAAATTATGTATAAATAATCTTTTTTAAAGATGATTTTATAGTTGGAAAAAATTTAATGATATTTATATTTTTTATCATTAAGAGATATAATGATAAACTTCTTTTGGCCTGGGAAAAAAAAAAAGGAACATAAACTTCTGAGTTCTGATTAGATGGCACCGCTGCTTTATCTTGATTCTTGATAATGATTGTTATATTAATAAGGAAAGTTTGTTCAGTCTGATTAGGAAAATTTGAAAATTTATTTTATATTCTGCTTATCAAATATTATTTAAAATAATAATTTTTCATTTTAATATAATTAAAAATACCAGTAATTATTGGTGAAATTTTAATTTATGATTAATTTTTTTGGTAGTGATTTTGAGTTTAAATGTTATTCAAAAATAGCTAGTTTTTTAAGTTTGAATGAAATAAGTTATCTTCTAGTACTATCTTTTTTTTTAAAATATTCCTAATAGGAGTATTAATTAATAATTTTAAATATATAAGCACTATTTTTACTGAAAGTAACAGCTTATTAAAATTAAAATTTTGCTGGCAGATCTTAAAATTTGAATTTATTTAGTTCCACATATTTCTATTACTTATTTTTATTTTATCCTGTTTATACAACTATTATTTCTTCTATTTTGTTTATACTTCAGCATTTTTTTTTAATTTTTTATTCAGTCTGCGCACCGCCAAGAATCCGTAACTATAAATACCCCGAAGATTTGAAGAGCACAAGGGCTCTCTAGTCTTTAGTCGACTTTCGACTCAAATTTCGGCGCTTCGGGACCCTGTCGTTCCGGCTGCCATGGAAGAACCCCAATCTCAGTTACAGCTTCGCGTCACAGATTGCAGGGACACCCGCATTATGGGTAAGATTAAGGACTTTCTCTTCTCTCAGTCTTCCGCAATTAATGCTTCCGTCGTCGAACGTCGAATTCAAGAGCTTTTCACCTCCTTTGAAACCCCAACTCATCCGCCATACGCCTTGGTAATTATCATCTTCCCCTAACTCACGAGCTTCTGTGCCTGTTCTAGTATTTTTGGGGATCGAACTAGACAATGCTGTAATTGAATCTCATTTGAAAAATTTGACCTTTTTTCGCTTATTGTTCGATTTATTCACGCAATTCCTGCCGGCCTGGGTGTGCAGATGATACAGGAGGCAGTAAAGGAGTTAAATGAAAGAAACGGATCGACTGAGGAGGCTATCTCGGAGTTTATCAAAAATGAGTTCCAACATTTACCCTGGGCTCATTCGAGGATTCTTGGTCTTCATCTGAAAAAGCTTTGCCAGGCTAAGGAGCTTTTTCGCACAGATAGTGGTACATATACGCTTATGGATGATTACTATAAGTTTGATGAGAGGAAAGAGAAAGGTTGGAGGGGTGGCAGAAGGAGAAAGAAAAACAGAAGGGGACGAAATCACAGAGGTGGAGAGACACTGGAAAGAATTGAAGGTGCAGAGAGATGTAATAATTTGCATGAGCGTAAGAATGAAGAAAAAAATCATCTTTCAGAGTTACATGGTACAGGGACCGATGAACCAATTGAGGAAGAGGGACAACCTGAAATAGGGCAACTTGGTGTGACTGAAGCGTGCCATGAACTGGTGGTTCAGGGACAAGATGAAACAGAAACACGACAAATTGAAAACTCCGACGAACGAATTCAAGTAATGTGTGATTTAACAGTAATTTATGGCTTTTATTTTTGGTTAGTCTGCCTTTGTAGAATTGGGATTTTGCTTTTGCGTCAGTAAGCTAATACTCTAACGAACAGACAAAAGCTACAGTGCCTTTTTAAGAATCAAAATTAAATATAACATCAACAACATCATTTACCTTTTATAATAATAATGCTTGGTTGATTCGTGTTTTTTCTCTCCGTCCATTCTTTTCCTAGGAATAAGTGCACTAACAGGCAAGCTAGAGAACCTTTTTTAAAATCCAAATTGAAAAATAATAACAACACAACACCAGTATCATCATCATCACCACCTTTTAAAATAATAACACTTAATTGATTCTTGTTTTTTCTCACCTTGATTCATAAGGCTCACCATGCATTCTTTCCTCCCACCTCTAACCCTTAAATTAAGGCATGCAACTAACCTACTATTTGGTGCATATCGGATTTCACAATCTTAACGTAATCATGATAAACAACGTCCAAAGAACTTTCAAGAGTGTGCCTATCCCCTTCCTTTGAGAGTTATTATGCTATGAACTTTATGACTGGAAAGATAAAGCATTGAGGTTGTTTTCTGAATGGACTAATTATTTTTCATTTGTTTCATGTTAAAAAGTGCAGATGGATCGTTCTATTTTTCACTTTCATTATACTTGTCAACAAAAAACATATTACAGAAGGACATGGAAGTTGATTGCTTTAAAAACTTGAAAAGTGTGAAATGGTGCAGAAATTTTGTCCTTGATTGCTCTGCATTTTTTGGTTTTGTTATGCCAATTTTTTTAGGTAAATACGATTTGACTTGTTCTAAGTTCCTTGAATTGCATTGCACTGTTATTCTTTTTTGTCACTATTTTTTATCTTGATCTAATGAAATTTTTTATTTGTCCGAATTTTATCTCATCATCCGTCTCATTATTTTTGGTTGAGGTATATTTTACATTGTCTTACTTTTGATGTAGGAGGCAATCATGGAGTTGAATGACAAAATCAGCTCAAGCGAAATTATGAGCACCGAGCCTCATATCGTGAGGCTCGTGGAAAGACAGAACCCCATGGTGATCAAGCTACGCATTCAATGTGAGAAACAGTCAGATAATTTGAGAGGTGAAGAGACGCTGCAAAGAACTGAAGATGCAGAGAGATGTAATGAGTTGCTAGAGCATGAGAATGAAGAACAAAATCAACTTTCTGACTTACATGGCACGGGGACTAATCAAATGATTGAGGAACAGGGGAAATCTGAAATGGGGCAGCCTGGGGTGACTGAAGAGTGCCATGGACGGTGGGTTCAGGAACAGGGTCAAGGAGAAACACGACAAAATGAAAATACCGACAAATGTGAGAAACAAATTGAGGCCACAACTCAGATATCAAGATTCTGCTCAGATGAAATCAGTAATAATGAAAACTTAAGTTCTTCACTTGGTTATCCTACTGTTGCAGAAAATCAATGTGAGAATCAGTCAGATAATCTGTTGGCCATGGTAGAAAATCAATCACTTACACAGCATATTGAGGCCACAACTGAGGTATCAAGATTCTGTTCGGATGAAATCAGCAATAATGAAAACTTGAGTGCTTCACTTTCTAGTCCTACTGTTGCCGTTATTCCAAAAGAAAAATTGCAGACTTCAGAGCAAGAAGAACAGCATCAGAACGAGACGCCTTCCGTCCAGCAGAAATTCTCTGGTGCCTGTGAATTGCTTGTGGATCAGGAGGCTCTCGGATTTCATATGGAAACTCCTTGTTCATCCCTGCTGACAGCACCAGACCTTCCAATTGATCTGACTTCCAATTCCCAGACTTGTCTGACATTACCTGTTTCTACTGAGTTCTTGGAGCACGCACCATCAGAATGGGTAGAATTAACCCCAACACAATTGCCCGTTCAAACCCTTAAGTGTGGTATTGCAGAGACTGATTTATATGCAGCAACCAAAACGTTAGCTTGTATGACTGTTCACGGGCACAAACAACAGGATGATATGCCAGGAAGTCCCAAAGGGAGGGTGGAAGAGAGCACGGCTTTTTGGGATCTGGAGAAGCACATGCCAATAACGCAATGCGGTGAGTGGCAACCTAACGAGAAGTCTTTTACTGACTCTCCAGAGGTGTCATTGTTGCCCTCGGATGGTAGCATTGGTAACACGCAGAAGCCTAAATATAAGCAGCTGCAGTTGAGACCTCAAGGTGAGGTTAGAGGGCGTGGTCGTGGGAGATCTTTCGAGCTAGATAGAAGTCCTCATCAACACAAGGAGCAGTTACAGCTCCAGGACCAAGCTCTCACTTCAGTGAGCTTTCCTAGTTTAGAACCAGATGAAACAATTTACTCATTGCCTAATCCAAACCTTCCTGCCGCTCCTAAGCTGCAGCAGTTAGTTGATCCAACTTCTGAAGATGGCCCAGGTTGCACAACGAGAGAAACATCACAACTACAGTTGGAACTGCAAATGTCATGGCAAAGACTTGTATACGGAGATTTGGGCACAGCATCCAAAATGGAAGATTCATTGTCTTCTATGAGTGGTTTAGAAGACAAGCCACAGCAACATGGGAATAAAGGACGTCCTAAGCGAAAGTTGAATTTGGATGGGAAAACAGAATTTGGACACCTTGAACAGAAGTTGCCAAAGCGAAGACGTAGAGGGAGGCCTCCTAATCCAGTGCCTACTGAAGACTGCTCATGGACATGGGTGCCAGTGGCGCCCTCAAACAATGGCAGTAATAGTGAGAGAAACCCAAATTTCTACAACATTGTGACACACAGGAGGTTGCAATCCCCAGGAAGTATTGAACGTCATTGTGAGTTCTGGCCACAAGACCAAGGTCAAGTTCAGGTGCATTCTCCAAATTTGGCAGATGATAATAACCCAAGTTGGGAGCAGACACAGAGGACGGGCCCTAAACAGAAGTCAGATGCAGATAGAAGCTGTCAGAAGCAGATGCTTTTGCGACGTAGTAGCAGTAAAGTTCGGCATAGGGGCGAGCTGGTGCAGCTGAAACTATCCAATGCATACCAAAACAATCAACAGCTATCACCAGAAACTTGTCAGAGCCAAGGTAAACGCCTGTTGAGGTCCAGCTTGACTAAATCAAATTGGGGTGCAAGCTAACCCTGTAACGGTGTAAGAGGAATGAACAATGATGTTTTGTAACACGTGTCTGACCGTACAATCCTGACCGTACAATGATGTTTTGTTTTAAGTGCGCCTTATTAATTATGATATTAGAACGTGTATTGTATGTTCATGATTTGATAAGGATTCTTGCACTTTTTTCCTGTTGCTGATCTTCGTTTGTTGAATGCGTTTTGCTGATATTTGTTATAGCATGTTTTCAACTTGCTCTTCTATGCAGAAGTGCAGAGGCGTCTGGCATGTGCAATTGGGGAAAAAAAACATTTTTTGATATGTGACTTTTGTCATGTTATTATAATTTGTTTGTTTATTGTTGTACAATTTTTCATTTTTGATTACATGGCATGGATAATTTTTTAAAATTATTTTATTTTATTTTATTTACTTTCTATTTGGCATACCAAAGTAACTAAAATATTTAACCGCCAAAATGTTCACCTTTATGTATGGTGTTTTAATGCACACGGCTTTAGTACTTTAGCCGATCAATTAGAATGCTTAATGTTCAAATTAGGTGTGCATTAATTATCATTTCTTTTTTTTTTTTAAAAAGAAAGAAGCTCGTAGTTGCGGAGTAAAACAATTATATGTTTATAAATATATATATATCAAAAATAATTTCCACTGGACTTCATGCCTCTATTTCATTTTGCCAATATTGTTTTGATCTTGTAACTTTTCCCTCTTTTTCTCTTTTTAAATCAGAAATTTGAATGTGAATTCTTAGCTAAAATTTTGCTCAAGACAATGTATATTTTTAGCAAAAAATTTCAATCAAATTATCCTGTATACCTTATGTCGTACAGGAAACTAATCTTGTTTATTTAAATCCTTCTTGCTTCTGATGTGATACACACACATATACATAAAATAAATAGTATAGCTGACTTTAAACTTAATAAAATGCATTAACAAACTTATCTGATTCAAGTAAAAGAAGCTGATTCATCGAAGCATCATTGAAAAACAAAAAAATAAAAAACTTTTTAAGATTTTAAAAGGTATTTAGGTGAAAACCAAACAAAAGTTTTAGAAGTGATTTTATAAAATTAAAAATTTTATCTCGTCTTGTATGAAAATATTTTCCAAAAAAAATCCAAACACCCTTTTAATTTGGCTGGAGAAGAGAAAAAGAAGCTGTGTGGGTATTAGTGAGGCAATTAAAAGAATCCTAATTCTAGAGGAAAACATTTATGTTTGTAGAGGATAATGGAGTATACACGCATACGGAGAAGACTTTTCTTTTTGTCAACTGCATGAAAGAGACTTCTCTCATTAATTACAAATAATTCTTTAATAAAATATTAACAATTAATTTTTGCTCTGGCAAAAAAATTAAAATTAATTTTTTTACATTATATTTTTTTTGGGCCAGACACGTTATCATATACGTTTGGAGAGTTGATTGTAATAAATATTTGAAAAGTAGACAATTTTATCGGATTATGCATGCACTCTTTAGGCAATATGTAACTCTTAGAGGCAACGACACGGTGTTTGGGAAGCTAATAAACATTTTTCAAAGTACTTTTTTGTAAATCAAGATAAACTCATTCATATATTTACTTGTATATCATAAAAGTATTTCTGAAACCATAGTTTTGATCTTACCAAACACCCTTACATCGCTTTAAATTTAATTTTATATTGATTTATCAACTCAATATATTATATATGAATATTATGTAATTAACGAGTTTTTAACATTTTAAATGACTTTGTTATTAATTACTACTTCTGTCTTAATATAATATCCATTTAACTAATTTGATTAGATTAAAAAATTAAATAAGTTAGTTAATTATAAGAATATGACATGTTTTTCCTAAAATACCATAATCGTCTTTCTTAATACCTTTCTTCCTCTTCTACTTGATTATGGTTGAGGGAGTATCTATAAGAGTAATTTAGAGAAAATTGATAAATATGATAAATGGGTCTTATATTTAGGACCAAACCAATTCAATAATTGGGTCCTATATTAAAGACCGGAGGAGTATAATATTTTTTTTATGGAAATATATTTTAGGTGAAGTTGATTGTTTTTCATAAATAAAATTAATTTGTATTTTTTACGTTTGTTTGGCATCAAGACAAACAGTTTGTTGCTTGCTAGCCTGTCCAAAGACCCGGGCTACGTTTAATTATTTATATTTATTTTGGACTTGAATATAATATTTTATAATAGTATTAATGATATGGTATATTACTAATTTTTATATCTTAATTATAAAATCTTGTTTATAAATTACAAATCAGGTCTTATAATTAGGATTAGAGGTAATCTCCTCCAGTCCTTGACTTTTTCCCATTTGACTTTATATAAATTAAAGAAGTTTAATTAAGGATTTATAATAAAAAGTGTTGTTATTCCTAAAATATCTTAATTAAGTATAAAAAACTTCTTATACAAGGACATCACGGAAAATAATGATAAATATAGAGAGAGAAAATGAATTAAATTAGGAAAAAAAAGAGACAAATGGGTCTTGGAAACGTTGACATGGGGACTTTTTCTATTTGCTCTTATATAAATCTCTTTGATTTACATCCTAGGACAATATTACAAGCGAAAAATCTCTTAGTTATATCCTACTATATAATCTTAATACAATATAATAACCAATCCTTCTTAAATACAGCCGTACAATGCACGGGAACAATAATTAGAAAATAAGTTTGAGAGAATGAAAATGAATTAAGATGAGGAAGAAAAGAGAGAGAGAAGAGAGAGAAATGGAAGCGGTGGAAGATCACTCCTCCCTTCTTGGAAACGTTGTTTGAGATATTGGGGAAACTTAACAATATATATATGTGTATGTATGCATATATATAATATAGTAGTGTATCGCTTTTAAAATAATAAATGAAGCTCAGCCGTTAGATCATATTAGAAATGAAGACCAACTGCACCCATTTCTCCTGAGTCCGATCCCGCGGATTACGAACCCAGTCTAGATTGACCTCCCGTTACCGCCGGCGGGAGCAAAATCTAGCCCCGCCTCCTATGCCACGTCACTATTTTAACGACTCTTCAGCATCGTCTCCGACGAGCTACGACGTGCAGTTCATGATTGCTGATCGCCATGCGTGAAGAGGTCAGCTGGAAGTCTTCAAAAACGGAGTTGATTGAAGAGAACAGAGAAAAAATTGATACAGGTTTAATTCATGTCCACTTTCATTTCATATCTGCTCAATTTGAACATACCTCAATCGTTCTTAAAAAACACCGTATAATTTTTCATGTGTCTCGATCACGTGGTGCTCTGTATCCTTATTAATAACCGCGCTTCTTTTATGTTGCAGGTCCAGTTGTGCTAACTTCTCTGACTCTTTCTATGTGCTTGAATAGAAGATTCCGTTAAGGCCTGCATATCGAGGCTTCTTGCCGCAATTATCTATCCTTTTCTTGAGCTAATATATTGCCGTATTTGGACTACATGCTGTTCCATTTGTTTTTATATTTTTATTTCTCTCTTTATGTCTGATTTTGTAATATTATCAAGTTTTATTTCTTCCCTGCTTTTGAGGAATTTTAAGCGTGATGGATGATCATGGAAGTTTGGCTGTCAAGTTCAAAATTTAAGGAGCGTTTTCTCCAAAGAAAAAAAATAACTTTGTGAGATTTTATTTTGATTGGTTCCTTTTCTTCAGTGAATTACTGGACATTTCCGCGAATCTGGAACGAACAGCTTTCTGAGTGCTGAGTTTGACTGGTTGCAGAGTAAAATCGAAGTTTCCAATTTTGAAGGGCATATTATGTATAGATATCAAACATTCTTTTATCTTGATCAATTCTTATTCTTATAGATTACCTGAGCATGTCAGTGAGTCGGGAACGAACTATCATCTGAGGTTGACTGGCTGCAGAGCAAAGTCTAGGTTCAGATTTCTTCTTTGTATACAAAATAGTCTCATGAAATTCTTATTTTTTTATATTGTTATTTGGCTAATAGTCTTGGTTGTGTTTTCGCTGAATTCTTGTGGCATCACAATACTTACTTCTCAGAATTCAAATCAGCCTCTGAATAATCAAAACACAATGAATGCTACATGCTTCAAAATTCAAATGTCCGGTTTTCGAATTTTATGTTTTACAATAAGCTAATTGGCGCTAGTATTTTGAGTTTACTTAATTCACAATTATTAGGCCGTCTTTATCTTTCAAAGACTAAATTGAGAAGTTTTTTCTCTCAAGGACCAAATTGGGAGGAGAGTTATCTATAAGGAATTTTCATTGTAATGAAATAGTCCCTCTGGTCCTTATAAGGGTTTTCTAGAACCCATTTTTCGTCCACAATATCAGGGATGATGTAATATCTATTCTTTGGACATTTATATCCCTGATCCATTAATGAGTCCTCTTGGAGATAATGGAAAAGAGGGGAAGTAACAACCTTTTAATAGGGGAAAAACTGGAATTTTTGGATTTATTTTTGACAAATTTAAGAATGTAATGACTTTTTCTTAAGATGCGTGAAAATGCTGGAAACATGTTATAATAAGGATCAGAGGCAATAGTATTTATGCATAATTTTTTAATTAATGAGAACTATATTAATAACAGCAATGAGATCTGCATATTTGCAGCTGAATGTAAGAGGTTATTTGGCATCAATTGTCCTTTTGGTATTATTTTGCTTATTGTGTTATCTTTCTTAAGCTTATCTAATGTTGGTTTGGTTGAACATAGAGAATGCTGGACAAAGATTTCTTCACTGAGTATGGAGAGGCAAGTCGGTATGAAATTCAAGAAGTTGTCGGAAAGGGCAGCTATGGTGTTGTTGCATCTGCAATTGATACATACAGTGGAGACAGGGTTGCTATCAAGAAGATGAACAATGTGTTTGAACATGTCTCTAGTGCCACTCGCATTCTTCGGGAAATAGAGCTCCTTCGGCTGCTCAAACATCCAGATATAGTAGAAATAAAGCACATAATGCTTCCTCCATGTCAAAGAGAATTTGAAGACATTTATGTGGTATTTGAGTTAATGGAATCTGATCTTCATGAAGTTATTGAAGCCAACCATGATCTCACTCCTGGACATTACCAATTCTTCTTGTATCAGCTTCTTCGAGCTCTAAAATACATACATTCAGGTTTGATATCTTGCCATAATGTCCTTGACTGAATGTTGCTTAGCTTTGCCATTCTTTATAACTGTCAATGGGCCAGACTGGGCCATGCTTGGACTGAAGACCATTATACATCTTAGGTATGGACTGGGCTAAATCCAACTTTATTAGGGCCCTTAAATAAAGGCCAGATATTGGTCTGAGTCTATCAGTAAATCTTAGGCTTCATCCATGTTTATTGGTTTAAACTACCAATCTGTTATAAAATTTAGATGGAAAAGAGAGAGAAAGAGGGGTGAAGAGAGAGAAAAGACAGAGAGATAGAGGGAAAAAATAATAAGTTCCATCCTTATAGATAAAAATCTTAATAGATATCCTAATCTTTAGTAAATATTCTATGGACATCCTGATCTATGAAATCCTACTACTTAATTAAATCCTACCTAAATCATTCTAATAAAAAGATAACGTCCAAAACCCATTTAAATCTATTTTAGATAAAATAAATCCTAGTAATTAACGAAATCTTATCTAAATCCCTAATTACATATCATTATTCCCCCAGATTTGATAAACTCTCCGTGGGGTATTTAATCTTGTTGAACCAAGCTCTAAACCTTCGTCTAAGCCTATAAGTTAGACCAAGTATGCTTTAGGCCTGTTTACTCATGAAATTCTAGACTATATTTGTTCTGATATCTAATCTCCATTGATTATGCAGCGAATGTCTTCCATCGAGACTTGAAACCAAAAAACATTCTGGCTAATGCAGACTGCAAACTAAAGATTTGTGATTTTGGGCTTGCCCGTGCATCATTTGATGAGGCCCCATCTGCTATTTTTTGGACAGTATGTGCTCTTATCATTCAATGGTTTCTTTTTCTAATAACAGAAAAATTCCAAGTAAACTGAGAGCTATAACCCTTCTGTTAGCAGCATCTTCTACACAAGTTTTACCATAATGCTATGTGGCTGTTTTATTATAGCACTTGCAGCATAATCAATCTCATCACTTCCAGAAGAGATTTTGGTTTAAAATTGTTGCTTCACATACCTATCATTGATCTATTCCGTGGTTTAAATTTAGAGCTATTCTGCTGGGCATATATTGCGTCCTGACACCTATCTTTTTACAACTACTAAGGATTATGTTGCGACTCGATGGTATCGTGCTCCAGAACTATGTGGCTCTTTTTTCTCCAAGGTGACTGAAACTAATTTCTGACACATTCTGTAATTATCTTAATATCTTGCAAAGACATTTTGATTTTTAACTTCTTTCAAATATATTATTCCATTAACCATTTATGTTCTGAAGGTTATTTACTAACCATGAGTGCCAGCATTGTAGAGTCCAGGAAAGGTTTTTTGTACACATTAAGATTAGTACTAGAGTAACTACCAAGTCACAGTAACTACAGCATCCTAAAGTTCCTAAAAAGGTTAACGAAAAGTTTTATCGCATTGCTAGAGGACCAATAATGCTATATGGTAGTGAGTATTGGGCTTTAAAGGGAGCGTGAACATAAAATGGAGGCAGGCAAAATGAGAATACTGATGGATGTATAGTCATATGAGAAAAAATAGTCTTTGTTCTGAACATGTACGTGGAAAAGTTGGAGTGGCTGCTATAGATGAGAAAATGATAAAAAAACCATTTGAGGTGGTTTGGTCATATGCAAAGAAGGCCTTTGGATGAGCCAATGAAAAAGGTTGATCAAACAGTATGGAGTCCTCTAAAACAGGATAGAGGAATGCCAAAGAGAACCCTTAATGAAGTTATTGAGCGAGATTTTTCAATTAACAACATATCCAAAGATTTGGCCTTGGATAGAGCTCAATAACATCGTGTGATCTAAGCAGCCGACCCCACCTAGTGGGATAAAATTTTGTTCTTGTTATTGTACATATGTTCTATTTTTGGAAAAAATAACCCTAGCCTCTGTTAAGGATTGAGGGCATGTGCTTTGCCATGCTGAGTTAAGAAATACGCACACGCACATATTGTGAGATGTTAACAATTATATTTGAAATGCCTTCTTTAAGTCAGAATGGGACCTGCTATTTTGCTTCTTTTGAGGTGCTCTTTGGTTCATGAGGTCCAGGCGAAAGAAAAGAAATCTCGCATTGCTGGACGAATTCAGCTTTGCCAATTATTTTGATGCTCCTTAAATGTGTTCTAACATGTGTTTCAGTTTTGGCTCAATAAGAATAAACAAATGGATTTTTCTGTTTTTTATCTTCTTTTTAATTTTTTCCTGATGTTCTGAACACTTTTTTCTTATGCAGTACACCCCTGCCATAGATATCTGGAGCATAGGATGTATTTTTGCGGAGATGCTAACTGGGGAGCCTTTGTTTCCCGGAAAGAATGTGAGGCATCAATTGGATCTTATAACTGATTTGCTTGGAACTCCTTCTGTTGAATGCATTGCAAGGGTTTGTTACTTTCACTATGACTTTGTCGTAAGGAAATCTTTCAATCTAAGGAGCATAGACACTAACATGGACTCATGAGATATGATATGTACACAAACACCTTGACATAGCAAAATTTGAGGTTGTTGGCGTTGAGTGTCACATTATCTTTTTTGTCACCTGTCAGTTCTTAAAGATTCCATGCTTCATAGAGACTTTTGTTGTGGTTGTCCTACGGATGATCTCTACAGCCAGTTCATAAATGCTGATCTTATCACTTGGCTATTTCGTTAATTTGTTCAGATACGGAATGAAAAAGCTAGAACATATTTAAATAGCATGGGGAGAAAGCCATCCATTCCTTTATCAGAAAAATTTCCTCATGCAGACCCAATGGCTCTTCGTTTACTTCAGCGCTTGCTTGCGTTCGATCCTACTGAGCGTCCTTCTGCTGAAGAGGTAAGATTCAGACATTCAGTGCACTCTTTTGTTATTAGATGATTTTTTTTTTATGTTTCTACAATAAATTTATAAAATTTGAATTTTTTTTTTCTTTTGAAACAATCAAGGACTCAGATTTGAATTTTTTTTTCTTTTGAAACAATCAAGGATGCAGCTCTGAGTTTAAAAATATGTAAATATGTTTTCATTTTGGGGGGGAAAAAACTGAGAAACTAACCTATGTTTGTTTCATCCTTTTTTACTGCGAAGTCTGTTTTATCTGAAACATATGCGGCTCGGCTTCTGATATTTAATTTCCATTTTACAGGCACTTGCCGATCCCTATTTTTATGGTTTGGCAAATTTGGCTGATGAACCATCCATGAAACCAATTTCGAAGTTTGAGTTCGAGTTTGAAAGAAGAAAATTGACTAAAGATGATATAAGAGAACTAATATATAGAGAGGTATGAACCCACCTGTGATGCTTGTTACTGTCATGAAGTTGAGCATTTTATTTTTTCTTGTCATTCCCGGTCTAGATGTCTAATTTGTTTATTTATTGAGGATGAAGATTTTAGAATATCATCCAGAGATGCTGCAGGAGTATGCTCATGGTGCAGGGAAGATTAGCTTTATGTATCCCAGGTAAGGCATCATACGATAGGTGCTTTTGATGATCTTAGTAACTGAATTTTACAAAGACGAGAAAATCTTCCTAACAACGACTTGATCTCAAAAAAATTAGCCTGATAATTTCTATGATTCACATCCAAGACTGATAGTCCTTGGAAATTCATGGGATCCTGGCAGATCTGATCATATGGTGAATTTTTAGTTTTATTTCTCATAGAAAACTGTTGAATCTTCAGTTCATAACTCCCCTGCAAACAGCCCATAATTAGATCTACTTCAAAATGTTAGTGTTTTTCTTTTTATTGGACTATTAGGCATTTTGATCCGATGATCCTTTAGGTATGTCCAATAAGGAGTGGGATTACTATGTATTGTTGATTCCCACATTGGCAGAAACTTGATCACACGTATAGTTTCCTCTTCTGAGGCCATTTATTTCCCTCCCACAAAATTATATCCAAGTAACTTCTCTGTTTGTTTATACCATTCTCTGCTGGAAATCATTGATCATATGATGAACACTTAACCAGTGGACTTGATGGCTTCAAGCACCGATTTGCTGATCTTGAGGAAAATAATAGCAGAAGGGAAAGAAGCACACTGCTATATAGGAAATATGCCTCATTGCCCAGGTACCATGCTGACCATAATGTTGAGATTTAGCGAGTGGCTATGCTGAAGCATTAGATAGACGACCCTTGAAACGCTATATATTTTCTCATGTCTTGACCTGTATCCTTAGTGGCTATGCTATTGGATTTCCTTGTTTCTTCTGAATTGATTGGCTAGTTCACTACAGGGAGCGGGTATGCGCAGCTGAGGAAGAGGAGGAGGAGGAGGAGGAGGAGGAGGAAACGAACAGAAATTCGCTCAAGAAGGAGAATGCAGCTTCTGTTGTGCGTGCAAGCATTCTGAGTCCTCCAGGGTCCCGGAATGGTAAAAAAATGGAAGATGCTCGCGGAAACTCATTAATAATGCAGAACAACCGATGCAAAACAGCTTATAAGGGCCATAGACTTGTAAAGAGTGCTAGTCTGAATAATTCTATGTGGGCAGTTGTCATGGATCCAAAACCAGGAAGTAAATTTTAAGAGTACCCTGCTGACATCAACTGCCATCTCTGGATCACGGACACAATTTCAAGGACCAGACCCTGCCCCTGCCCCTGCCCCGAGACGCTACCATGTGAGACATGGGCAATTCATAAAATTTGGGTGGGTGGGGGGGGGGGGGATGGACTTGAATATTTTTATTATCGTTCTTGTACAGGCGTGAATACGTTTAAATTAAGCCAACTAGACGTGAATACATTTAAATAATAGTATCGAAAGTGACTATTCTTCACAGAGTGACAAATTAAGGTTCAAACTCCAGTTAGGAGAGTTGTTTATATTAAAAATTATCTCTAATAAAAAGAAAAAAAAAACAAATTAAATATTAATATTTGAATTGACATTATTTATTTATTTTAGTTATTCCTCAACATTTCATTTTATACATTTCTGCGATAGAGTGCACATGATCATTTTGGTTTTATTTACAAATTATTTCAAGTATGTTTTATACAGATAAAGAAAAATTTTAAATTTCATCAACTCTCAAAATTTAACAGTTTAAATTTTATCCTTATCTAACTTGCATTTTACTCTATGAAAATAAAGTCAATATAATAATAAATGAATGGTAAAATTGTATTCTTATATGAAAATTTTTTCTCTCTATCTTTAAATACATTCAAAAAAATTTCCTCTCTCTCTCTGTACAATACTAGCGGAGGAGTAGCTAGCTTATTAATGATCCAAACCCTGCTAATTTTATAACACGTTAAAATTTTATTTACTTATTTCTATGGGGTGGGAGAGGTGCAGCATAAGTTCTCACCGTTATCTTTCCTGCTTTCCTGCTATTTGGTAATTGGTACGAGGGAAATGAATGGGAGATAGAGAGGGAAAAAAAATTTAATGGGCCCTACTTGAAAAATTAGAAAAATTGGGTTTTAAAATTTTAATAATAATAATAATAATTAATTAAAAAGCTTTTAATCTTATTTTTTCAAATTAAATTTTTTTTCTCTTCCTTTCTCTTCTTTTTCCTCGTACCAAAGGTACCTTCAAAGTTCTCATCTTTTTTCTTTTTTTAACCGGCCCTCAAAATTCTCATCTTTAGATTTTTTTTTGGTGAAAATACAGGGTAGAGCCCAAAATCCTATTCCGTCACTATAGACCGTGGGAAAGCAACACCCACACAGTCATTGTACAAGCATTGTAACAATTCCTTTGGCAACCTATCAAAGAATCTGACTCTCATATCCTGTGTTAGACTCAAATTAGTAAGCTTATCTACACAAGTATTCCCTTACCAATATATATGTTGTACTTTGAAACTATCAAAATAACTCAGCTCGTTCTTTAAAATCTGACACAAGCTAGAATTTCTCAAATCACCCTCCATAACTTTCTCTAAAAGATTAACTATAGCAACAGAATCACATTCAGTGATGAGTTTGTTAGAGCAAACCTCTCGCGCCATTTGAAGCCCCATAATGACACCCCACAGCTCTGCCTTAATCATAGAGGATCTTCCCAGCCTTTTCGCAAATCCCTTTACCCATCCTCCGTCACCGCTTCGCAGTATACCTCCACTGCCTGCCTCGCCTAGCAAACCTTTCACAGCACCATCCACATTCAACTTCAGCCAGCCAATCTCAGGAGCCTGCCAGCTGATATTCTTCACCTGTTTTCTGCTTCCTATAGCACCAAAGCTGCAGTTTGCAGAAAGTATTTCATTCACATAATTGTTTACAACTACTTTCTGATCAGGAGGCATAGTAAAATTCTCCTTAAAGAGTTCCCTATTCCTCTAGTTCCATAAGTACCAACATCCGACCCCCAACACTAGCACCCACTTCATATTCCTCCTACTCAGGTTCCACCTAAACCACTCCTTTCCATTCAAGCTATAGAATTTCAGTCCTCCAATTAGGCCATTCCATTGTTCCCATAAACTCTTCGCCGCCCCACAGTCTCGTAGTACGTGCATTAAATTCTTCATCACTCCTTGGCATTTGTGGCATTCTTTCGAGCACCCCAGAAACCTTCCCCTTCTTTTAGCCGTTAGAAGCCTATAATGAGCTGCAATCCATAGGAAGACTTGAATTCGTCTAGGACCCCTCCACTTCCATATTTTGTCCCATAGTATATCCTTCTTCCCTTTTCATCAAAGCATACATCTCCGCAACCACATAATCTTGCTGCAAGGAGTAACCCCATTTGATTCTGTCCTTACCCAGTTCATCACCAGGAGGAGGAGTTGCCCTAATCAACTTTAGAACATTGTCCGGGATTTGTCGTTCTAGCTTCTCAAAATTCCAGTTACCGCTTTCATCAACCATATTACTTACTACACTATCTATTTCCTCCTCATCTAGTTGTATGTTACAACTGTCAGCTAGTGTCTTTCCATCTTCCAGCCACATGTCCCTCTAGAACTTAACTGTTCTTCCATCCCCTACTTCCCACACCATTCCTTTTCTAATATATGGCTAGATCCTTTCCAAGTTCTTCCATATGTCAGGATATGATTTTCTCACTACTTGCTCATGACCCAAGCCCATCTTCCTTCCATATTTTCCCCTCAAAACTTGAGAACATAAGTTCTGAGGTTTAGAGATTAAATTCCACCCAATTCGTTCGAGCAATGCATCATTCAGCTTGCTTAGGTCTTTCATACCGTATCCTCCCAGCTTTTTCGGTGTGCAAATAAGATCCCAACCTATTGCATGTATTCTCTTTTTTCCATCCATATTGTTCCAGATGATATATATTTCTTTAATGCCAAAAAATATATTTCTAGCAGAATCTTGAGAAGTCTGAGTGTAATTTTCAAAAGCATCAATAAGCTTGAAAAATATGAACCTAACTTTGATAGTTAAAAGAATAATTGTATTAGAATAATTATTATCTTATATAGATGTTTAAGTGTTATTTTTTCGGAAAAAAGTTATTTTCGCTAATAATTAACCCATCTTAAGTTATTGATTATTGATCAATGAATGTTATCATATATAATATAAATTTAAATTACTATAACAGGTGTTTTTTCACATCTCAATACTTTATATAATAGTATCATCATATGATATAAAGAGTGAAAAAATAATAATTAATTGATTGTTTGATCATATTTTAATATTTTTTTCCTAATAATGTTTAATTAAAAAAGACGTCTTAATTATGAAAAAAGGAGGATAAAAAGTCCACATTGGGAGGATCCGGAGTCGTGATTATTAAATTTATAATAAATAATAATTAGGAGGGCTGACCCCAAAAAAAAAATGAGGAGACCATAGACTCATTCTCAGACAATCCACAGAAACGCAAGGTAAGGCCATCGTCTCCTGGGAGCTTAGTTCAGTTTGCCGAAGGAGGAAACTGTAACTTGTGAGAGCTTCGAAGCAGTGTAGTTCGTATTTTGATTCCATTCGATTCGATTCGGTTTGATTTATTGGGATCTGCATTGAGTTTCTAGATCAACTTTCGAATTTCGATCCCTGGAGATCCACGATGGTGAAGCCCAGGTACTCGCGCCTTCCTCCTCGGAAATCATCTTTGTCCACGCTCATCCTCACCTTGCTCGTCATCTTCACCTTCCTCATTCTCATCCTTCTTGCTCTCGGCATTCTCTCCGTTCCCAATAGTTCTGGTGATCGTGATTTGCCCAAGGCCAATGATCTTAACTCCATAATTCGTAGCACTCACGACAGGTATAGCCATAGGTCGCATTCAATTCAACTTGGTTGTCTTTTACTTCTTTTATCTGTTTAGATTTTGTTCTCCTGTCAGATGGTTTGAATTTTCTGTTCTTGCTGCTTTTAAGCAGAAGTGAAGGTGAAGAGGGAAAGGGAGAGCGGTGGGTTGAAATAATATCATGGGAGCCTAGAGCTTTTGTTTATCATAATTTTCTGGTGAGTTCAAGAAAGAATATTTGATCTTCTATTTAATTTTTTTGTCGGCATTCTTAAATTTTTGCTGTTTTCTATTCTGTATACACTCACCTTGGATGATCCGAGGGGCGTCGTCCAGCGGAAACTGCAAATTCAAGTTTGTCTGATTGGCAAAATACATATGTATGTCTGAAAAATGAAAAAGAAAAGAAATTTTTTTTTGCTGATGTCACTTGCAATCCAGGTTTATGGAATGCATTCTGATGGTTCGCTAATAATTCCATCTCGAGATTTATGAAAGGTTTCTCAAAAAAGGATGCTATGTTTGTAAATTTGAATGTTTTATCTGAATTATTGTCATGATCTCTTAGAAAGAAGAACTGCCTAATATTTGGTGATATCAATGCATTTTATGAACACAATTGAGTACAGCAAAGGCTTCTGGGTTGTCTCAGAGGAAAAAAATGAGGATGGTTTGAGTACTGTAGCACTGGAAGTAAAACTGTTGTTCTTGTAAAATTCCTCCCTTTTATCTCCATCTTCATGGCTTGATGCTTGTGATATCGCCAAATTGGCAAATCGTGGTTCTATATTTTCCTTGGCTACGCCATGCTTGGCAGAACAACCAAACGGTGTGTCTTATAATTACAGTGTTAGTTTTGCAGAGTGTCAAACTCTTGGTTGGGGTTCTTGCTTTGCTGGAGCGTTAATATTTTATATATGTTGTCTCCACTTTTCAAATACTAAAGTTGAACTGATTAATCTGAGCAGACAAGGGAGGAGTGTGAATATCTAATCGAGACAGCCAAGCCACATATGCACAAGTCAACAGTTGTTGATAGTGAAACTGGAAAGAGCAAAGACAGCAGGTTTGATTATTCCCCCATCCTTGTCTATCAAGTGTCATGTAAATTCGTTATCGAAAAGAAATAATGGCTTACTTCCAATGAAAAAAGAAAATAAATAATTACTTGCTTTATTTACATGCGCTTGCCCCTTCCATGACTGAATACTTTAATTGTCCATACTACTTTGATATTTAGAGTACGTACAAGTTCTGGAACATTTCTTGCCAGAGGACGTGATAAGATTGTGAGGAATATTGAGAAAAGAATTGCTGATTTTACTTTTATACCTGTAGGTAAGTACTTTAGGCCTCTTGAATTCAAACTAGTGTTTAGCTTGTTGTGAAATTTAATTAGTCTGAGATGTCCGTGCAGATTATTATTTCTGTGTAAGTGAAATTGTATATCTGAACCATGATTCTGCTTATGCATTTTTGTGTTTTTGTTCTGTATTCTGAAATGAAAAACAACAAAGATGTAGGACAAGGATTTCTTTTAGAAAACATCAATCATTCGCATTCATATTGTTTTTAACAATTAATGTTTAATAATGCAAATTATTTCTTTCATTGAGGGATCTTGAATTACTGCTATTAGTTATAGACACTTCCATTGTGGTAAACTTGGCTCTGTTTGTACTTATGAAAAGAATTGTTCCAGCTAATGGCCATGATAGGAATATTTATAATTACATCCACTATCTGGAATTTTGGTTTTGTGATGTTCAGAAAGTGAATTATCATTCATCCTATTCACATACCTCCAAAACCACCATCTAAACTATGTCTCACAACATACAGAGCATGGTGAAGGACTTCAAGTTCTCCACTATGAAGTTGGACAGAAGTATGAGCCTCACTATGACTACTTTCAAGATGAGTTTAACACCAAGAATGGGGGGCAGCGTATAGCAACTGTGCTGATGTACCTGTAAGTGGCTCCAAGTGCCCTCTTGATTATTCTTATCTTTCTCTTCTTGGTCTTTTGGGTATGAACGGGTTCATTTTGTATTGTTTTTGTATTTAATGATACAGTACAGATGTTGAAGAAGGGGGTGAGACAGTGTTCCCATCCGCGAAGGGAAATTTCAGCTCTGTGCCATGGTGGAATGAACTTTCTGATTGTGGAAAGAAAGGACTTTCGATTAAGCCAAAGCAGGGTGATGCCTTACTTTTCTGGAGCATGAGGCCTGATGCATCTTTAGATCCTTCAAGTTTACATGGTAAGATACCATACTTCTATTACTGAGCTGCTTGATGTGCTTACGACATTAACCTTTGGTGGAGATAAACTAATTAGATTAACTCTTCTGTTGATCATCTTCAGGAGGTTGTCCAGTAATCAAGGGCAACAAGTGGTCATCTACCAAATGGATGCGTGTCAATGAATACAAAGTTTAAAAATAAATTACTATATAGGTAATTGTCCCACAACCCTTGCACTGTTGAAAAATATCATCTTGTAGTTGACCTAAGACAATAGATTACCTTTCAAATGTTATCGAGGCTGGGAGATTGTTTACATGCAGTTTTGTGTTGTCATGTATGTTGCCTTCAGTGACATATCCTCTCAGTATTAAATGAATGGTAGGCTCAAACGAGCGATTCATGAATTTATGATTTCTCCTGCCCCTATCACGAACATTTTCTCCTGGAATTGATGGATTGAACTGAACTTATTGTCATGCATTCAGCCCAAACATCTAGAGTGGAGACTGGATATAGGTTCAAGCTGGGTGCCGTGTATTTATTTTTTTGCTTCTTTCCCCCCCCCCCCAAGAGCAGCAGATCTAAACTGGAACACTTGTCTGACCCAAAAAAAAAAAACACTGGAACACTTGGACCTTTTTGTGATCTCTGTGATTTACTCTGATCCAAAAAAGTCCTGGTAGGTTTTAACGTTAGGGGTGAAATTTACAAAATTTTAGCGAACGGGAAATTTGTAGTGGGTTTAAAAATAAAGCGAAATTCTGTATAAATTCAATAAAATTCAGGGAATGTCTTCATCTAAATTTTAATGTGCTGCGTAGCGTTTCCCCCCACATTCTCACAAACTGATTTCGTTTTCAGGCTTTTGAATTATTTGCGCCCATGTTGTTCCATTTGAGAGCCTGATCAAGTGCTTAACAACGATTCCCTCCAAGTCTCTGAAGGAAATATTGTTAACAGCTCACAGCATCACGCGGCATTTTGTAATTTTGTTTGTATTGCTTGACTAGCTATTTGTTTTTCCCCCCTCTTGTTTCCTTGTGTGCTTTCATTTATTTAGCGATATTATAATAAAAGTTTGACATATTTGTTAATGTTGCATTACCGAGGCTGAGGAAAAATGTACGAGATAATACATAAGATGGTGAGTATATCTGCTTGCTAACTTGAGATTTCTTCCACGTTTCGGCTTGTTTTACTCTTCCACAAATTGCAACCGTATGGTCCTGATTAGCTTGTTCTTGTTTTTTTTCTTTTTTTCCCCAACGCCTGATAAACTTGTTCATAACATTAAATAAATATCTTGACAGTTCATGATTTCACTAAAAGTTAAACTTAAAACTAATGTTCTTGAAAACGGACTGGTCAATGTGAATCTCAAGAAATGAATATAATCACACAAAAAAAAAAATATTAAAAACCAGTAAGTGCCATAGATCTTAATTTATGAGATTTTTTGTTAACGACATTCCTTTCCTTAGCACCATAGATGACATTCCCTTTTTTATTTGATGGTAAATAATTAAAATGCAATTAAATTGGTGATAGGTAGAGCTATATTTTGAAGTTACTAAGATTCATAATAAATTAAGTGTGCCTGAAATTATTTTAGAAAAAGGTCACTGTTTGTGCTAAACTCAGATCTGAGCGCAAGCGATGAAAGGGAACCTGAGGGGGTTTTGGAGATCAAAAGAAAAGGTTGTCTCAATTTTTTCAATTTTATTAGAAGTTTGGAATATTGATGTCAGGCAAAGTTAGGCGTAAAATGTGGAAATGCGCAATGTCAAATCATTCATTTTGTGTTAGATTGAATAGTTTATATGATCTAGATGGTAAGAAAATCGCATTTGTCGGCGGACAAATTAATTTTAAAAAATAATAATAAAAACTCATACAAAAATTTTACATAGTCGTAGTTTGAAAATTTGATACGAGTCTATAAATTTTCTTGAAGCCAACTGCCAAGGTGTCCAGGGCAACCAAGTCAGCAGGACAGGCAATTCCCGCAACAGGATATGTAATTTTTGTGACATGAGAATTTTTGTACTGTGGAATATGGGCCTCAAATTTGGGCCGACTCAGGGCTCACCGTCATTTTTTTTTGCGTCACCAATATCACTGTCCTTAGAGTATTTATAAAATATAAATATTTTTTTTTTACAAATTTATAAACATGTTGCCAGATACTACTTCCGGTCTTTAATACTATCTCCGGTCCTAATTATAAGACCCAATTGACTTATTTGAGGAGATTAAGGAAGTAAATTAAGTTAGTTATTTGTAATAAATAAGTGTTGTCATTCCTAAAATATCCTTGCTAATTAAGTGTATTGGCTAGAACTATCATTGTTAAAAGGACTATCTTGGAAAAAAAATGTATAAATATGAGAGACAAAATGGATTGGGGTCTTATAATTAGGACCAAGTAAAAAGTCAAAAGGGGTCTTATATTAAGGACCGGAGGTAGTATAAAACTTTATTTGATTTTTATTTTAGTCCTAAATATAATACTCCAATCCATTTTATCTATAATATTTATGCATTTCTTAATAAAATAGTCTTTCTAACAATAGTAATTATAACCAATACACTTGATTAATAAGAATATTTTAGAAAAAATAACACATATTTATTATAAATAACTAACTTAACTTATTTTCTTAACTTTCTCAAATTAGTCAACTACCTCTTATAATTAAGACTAGAGGTAGTACTAAATAGTATTTGCGTCAAAATTACTAGTCATTACATGAAGTTATAAATATTTTTTTACAAATTTATAAACATATAGTTGCTCAGTTCCAGTATTGGATATCCATTTCAAGTTTTTGCTCCCCAACCAAGACATTTTAGGTTGCAATCATTATCCGTTGAAAAGTGGAAAATCACTTTTATTGGAGCTCTTTGTTCATTGCACATATTTTCATAAATATTTATTCATTGAACTTGAAGAGAACGCGTCAATTCATTGAATCTCTCTCCTCCTCATTTGTTCATTGAACAAACTAATCACCATGCATTTCACATTATGTTATCTATATTTATGCGTAAACATCTCCTAAAATTGTCAGACAGAAAAGAAAAACAACATTTATTAAAATCGTTCATTAGGATGAAGGGAAATGCATAATGCATTCACCTTTTGTTATTAGACAATGAAGCAACACAAAATCCAGAGCAGTCATTTCTTTGATTCCCATGGCCAATTTACTTTATTTCATGAGTTATGCAAAAAAAAGTGTCATTTTTTCGACCAGCAAAAATTAATGTAATTAGAATAAATCGTAATAAATTAGTCATGCGTAATTTATCTATTTGCATTTCTCTAAATTTTTTTATTATTTTATTAGCAATTATAATTTACCGCGTGAATACTCCGTGAACCTTGCTAGCTGGCCATTTGACTTGTATGTTACAAGTCCATGCTGGTGACTGTGAGATCTCAGATATTTATTGTTTAATTTGATTCTATATAAAAAAAAATGTTAAAGATAAATAAAAGATAAATTTTTTATCAACTTTCTGGATAGATTTTTATCGACTTCTAACTAACTTGTATTGATCTTGCCGACGCAGGCTGACAGTAGGGACTAGTTGCTCTGCCCTTTTCAGTGCAACAGCAAATAGGATGATTCGGTGAGTCCTACTTTAAATGCGAGTTAGTTGATGGTAGTTTCCTGATTTCCTTCCACACACCCTCTTGAGCTATAACCTTCGCTCAGTGACTTTGATTCCTTCGTAAACCAAAATCCCTGACTTCTACCCTAATCTCTGCTTCCAATTCGTGCCATTTCTAAGCCACCCACATGGATTTTCTGGCAAATCCATGTCCTTCGCCTCTATCTGTGCTGTTTTCGTTCCGGAATTTCGTTGAAAGGGTGAAACAGATCAGCAGTCTCGCGTTTTCTGCCGTCGTGGGGAACATCTTCTCTGCGATCTTGACCTTCTGCTTTGCTTTAGGTTCGAATTCGATTCGTCTCTTTCTTTTGATAGCATCCTTGGGTGTTTTCCTTGGACATTTCGCCAAATTCTCAGTCTGCTTCTGCTTTTTCCGTTCGATTAACCCTAGACATGTCCTTGGGGTTTTGCATTTCTTTATACGGAACGGATGATTCAGGTGTTTTCGCGCAACGAAAAAATCCACTTTCGGTAAAAAGTGAAACTCGGTGTGCAATTTGTTTATGGCATAGATTGGCATATGTTCCAATTTGTTGTGTTGTACTTGTATTATTTCCATGGTTAAATTCATCCAAAATTGTGAGTTTTCCGAGGCCAATAATCTAATGCCTCTGCTTCTGTGACATATGCATCTGTTCGAAATCGCCCAAGGCCAATAAGAAAATAAATCTTAAAGCTCTGGAGATGACTTCTATATCTTTAAGCCATAGCTGATTCGTATGTGTGACCCTAAAGCTCTGGAGATGACTTCTATTGGATACGTCATTCGATTTGTGGATCGTGCTTTGCAAACTGCAAATACATGCAGCGTATTCTAATAAATTTACTGTTGACTCTTTTTTCCCCCTGAATACTCCAAACCGTTTCAATTGCTTATGGAGAGTGTTAAATGATACGAGCAAGACTCAATTTTACACTCGAAATGCTTGTTTAAGACTCAATTTTTTATATTATTCTTTTTTTATATGTATATATATCATACCCATGCACTGAAATTTTAAAATTCGCAAAATTTGCTGTATTTCGTGTCAGTACATGGTACCTGTACCCTTGCAAATTGAACAAAGGTAATGGCTTTTTTTTATTTGTTGGCAGTGGGAACGCTGTTGGGTGCTATGACTGGAGCGTTGATAGGCCAAGAGACAGAGAGTGGCTTCATTAGAGGAGCTGCTGTAGGAGCCATATCGGGAGCTGTGTTTTCCCTTGAAGTGTTTGAATCTTCTCTTATTCTTTGGCAAACCGACGAATCTGGGATTGGGTGTCTGTTGTACTTGGTGAGTGACTCAACCTTTTACCCCTCTTGTCAAAATTGAAAAGACAGCTTCTGTTGATTCAGAAGCTTACGCTGGCATATGACCATCAATTTAGTTCTCATTGGCATAATTTTTTGGGTTACATGTGTTACATATGCAGATTGACGTTATTACTAGCCTACTGAGTGGGAGACTTGTCCGTGAGAGGATAGGTCCAGCCATGCTAAGTGCTGTCCAGAGCCAGGTAATTTTGCTGCGTTTGAAGTTCATTTTAAGTTAAGAAGCACAGAAACTTCTATAAAGAAGATACGGCCAACATGAACATTGTCATACCCAAGTTATATCATTGACATGAATTTCGATGGATCTCCTTTATTATCTATGACAAGGACCTGACTAAAATTCCTGGGACGAAAAAAGAGCTGAATAGGCCTTAGTACAAAGGAAGATGGAAAGAAAGAACCTCCTTATGGGATGGGATACCTAGTATCGCATTGAGTAATATGGAAAGTTTTATGAAATAGTTAACTAAGTTGGTTCTTCTTCCTGGCTAACTTTTTCGCAGTCATTCTCCATCTTACTGGGGTGCCTATCAAATTTCAAGTGTGATCTGCCTTATCTAATGAGTATTTGAATATTAGACACAAGATATAACTGTTTTTGAAGCATGGTTGCCTCATAATTTTGTTGTGTTAAGACTGAAATTTTCTCTATTTCCTCGTCCATGTCAGATGGGTGCTGTTGAGGCAAGCTTTGACGAGATTCAAAACCTCTTTGACACTGGAGGTGCCAAAGGTTTATCCGGAGATTTAGTTGAAAAAATTCCAATAATAACAATCACGGGTGACGACAATGTTGATGCTTGTGGTGAAAGAGTTTCCTGTTCAGTTTGCCTCCAGGTTTGCTTATACTGCCACCACACACGCACACGCCAATGTGTGTGTATACATATAAGATGAATTCGTTCTATTCATTGCTGTATATTACCAATCCATGAGATCAAATCAATTGTGTTTCTGAATGTAATTTTCGTATTTTTCATTTCATTTTTTGTGTCCTTGACTTCCGTGTTTTTTAGAAAACATTTAAATATTCTGCCGCAATGCATTGGCTGGCTATTCTAAATATTTGATTTGTATATTGTAAAAAGTTTTGATTCAGCTTATCCATTTTGAAAATCATATTGTAAATATGCAGGACTTTCAGCTTGGAGAGACAGTTAGAAAATTGCCCCATTGCCATCACATGTTCCACCTGCCTTGTATAGATAAGTGGCTTTTCAGGCATGGTTCTTGCCCGTTGTGCAGAAGAGATCTGTAACTTGTATATGCAGATTCATGACTCGAATCATTGTATTTAGTTAGCATGAAAAAATTTTGTACACAGAAAAGGTGTCACTTCGAACCCTATGTATTTGGTCAAACATGCACAAAGTAATAAAATTTTAATGTAGATCCTGACGTGGGAGTGCTAGCAGCAGAAAATAATCATACCAGTGATGAATGGGGATATGCACCAAAAGAGGATAGTTTCACAGTATTTAATACTGATCTCAATGCCTCCTCCTCTTTCTTTTGTTGTATTTGTTTGGGTGAAAGCGGCAATCATGAGACTCCCGTCGGGGCATCGGCTTCTGTTGTAGTGCGTAGGAGCTAGGAGAATACCAGTGCTTTGTTGAAATATTTTTTCTGTTAAATTGATACAATTAAAATAAATGAAAATATTTAAAATTATGGAAGTTTTTTTTAACCCGAAAATTAGGGAGGTTAATATGAAGCGTTTATGTAAAATGATATATTTATATCAAATGAGTTGAGCATAATATAATAAATAATTTCAATCTTTGTTGCAAGATACCAAAACAGAGACCCAAAAAGGGAAAATCGCCAAAGAAAATTAATTGCAAAATTTATCGTATACCCCCTTGTTGGTAAAATAAATTGGTGAGATCAAATCCACGTGGATATGATCACCTCGGAACCCGAAAGAAGGAAGATAACCCACAGGGGCCCCGGGGGCCTAAAAGCAAGGTCGTGAAAGACACTGGATAATCACCGCATTTATTGTCTGGTGAAACACGTGTATCTCGCAAGGGTTATATTTATCTTGGCTTCTTGATCTGCCCAGATAAAATAAATTTTTATTGAATCTTATTTAAAATTTAATAATTTTTTAATTTTATTTTTATTTAATATATATTATATATCATGTAAATAAAATTAACACAATAATAAATAAAGAGTAAAATTGTACATTGATATAAAAAATTTCTCTCACTGCTTTTTAAATATGACAAAAAATATTTTTTTCTCTGTCCTTATAAATAGAATTAAAGAAGTATAACCAGTGCCACCATATGATACTGACTCAATGATCACCATGGGGACTGCACTCGGATGGCCCTCGGAAGATGAACAGAGACATAGAAGGAATCAAACACACGATGGAATGGAATCATAGAACATACTAATGGGAATATTTGGATATTGGATCCCACCCAACCCAGGCAAACCATGAAGTCTTTAGCCGACCATTCTCCTCCTTTCAACATAAGCCATGTGGCCACTAGATAATGTTCTCAAACACGCCACCCCACCAAGATGAGCCTGCATCCAACCCTCATCCTGGGTTATATGCAAACATATTAAAATCATAACAAGTTGTTCTATTCCTGAGTTATAAATAATACTCTTCCGGTCATAAATATACGAGTTATTTTGTAGTATAATTTAAACTACAAAATGAGTTTTATATTCAGGATCAGGAAGTACATTTTATTTTTATATCTTTGTATGAAGCACGATCTCAAATTGTTATTATGCAATGAACATTTTTCCTAATACCGGCCACCCTTGCTCTTTTATGAACGGATTCCTTGAATAACACCTTCCTTGTACGGACGCAGTCCTCCTCCCAAAATCTCTCGCAGTCACTCTGTACGGGATACGGGAGATGGGCGGACTTTAGCCATATGAGCTCGGCCCATTAAACCCCGGCCCAAACTCTGTTTTTTTTTTGAAAAAATAATCACATTATTACATTATACGTGCAATCTCTATGATATAAATTAAGAGGTGATACTCATATTTAATACTCGACAGTATCTCAAATGGAATTGTCTCTAATAAAAAAATACTTATACTTTTACCTGAAAAAAATACTAAGAGGTGATGCTAGTCATAAGCATGAGTTTCAAAATTAGGAGGAGATTTCAATACACGAGTCCCAGAGGTTTTTTTCATGAGTCCACAAATGCTGTCTATAATCAGCAAAATTAACTAATATAATTGGGCTTAGTAAAAAGAGCTAAGTCTTTTGCAACTTAACAAATTAAAGCTTAAATTCATACTCAAAAAAAGTATTTATATTTAATGTCTAATATAACTTAGGAAATAAGAAGCGGGACAGTGTGCTTTAAAAAGAACAGGGCTAGTAATAGGGTTACCTTCACGCCATTACCATGTGGCTCCTACCCACACGTCGTAAACGGACCCGGCAAATGGAAAATATGCTCAACAACCAAAAAACCCAGGCATTCTCCTTTCCATTCTTTTGTGTGTTTTTGAGAGCATATGATATGCCCCTCAAACTCTTTGAATGGCGGAAGGCAAAACGGAAATTATAGGGCACCAAAGCAGGGGCTAGGAAATTCATTTGTACCATTTAGCTTAGCTGTCTCTTTCACTGCAAAATGTGCATCATGTTTTCCATTAGAATTTCATTCCTGTCAGTTATTAATCAATTACCAATTCTCTTGAAAAATCAGGATAATTTAAAAGTATTTTCCATATGATTAGTTAGTTAGGTCATATTTGAATTTTGTCGGCTCAACTGAGTATGATTTTCTCCGAGACATTTTCCACATCAAACCGAAAGCCTAATATTTCTTCCTCTCAAACCCAACCTTTTTAGTGAATTAAAAATATTTTTACAAATTATATCATTTAGAAAACACTAACACGGCACAGCTCGATGTTTAATTTGTGTCCACCTGGATGCGTATGCTTTATCATACAATCTAATAAATATTAATAATTAATGATTAACAAATGACTTTGTAAAAGGAGTAGCACTGTACACCCATTGTGAATAACATAACCCTTAATAATTTTTTAAGAAATTTAAATATCATTAATTAATAATTAATATTTCGCAGGAATCTTTGAGTCTTTGATTGTCACATAGTAATAGTAGCTGCAGCATATTTATTTGACGTGCGAATGAATTAACACTAACATTACTGGGTAACTTCCGCTTTGCCATTCGGACCCCAATGAACTTTCCGGGCTCAGCAGCTCAATTGCCGGGAAGGAGAGTCACTGTCCAGCGAAAAGACCAACATTCGTTATGAGAGGGGCATTTCCGTAAAATCGTGCCACACGGAAAACCTGGCATCGGAAGTATTCCCACACCCAAGCCAAAAAGTCCAAGAACCAATGGAATGCCAAGTAGCCAAAGAGAGAGAATAAAAAGCGAGGGGGTAGAGAGAGAGAGACAGACAGACGGACAAGAGAAAGAAAGTAAGAGCAGCGCGGAGCCTCCGTTCCCCTATACGCCTTCTCTCTCAAGCCAAACCTCTTCCCTGCGATCTGATCGCTCAATTTTTGGAAACACTACTTTGCTGCATTCATTGCGAGTTTGTTTCAAACCCTAAATCACACTTCCCCAGATCAATTTTTTCCCAAGAATCTTTCATTTTACTCTCGTCGATCATCTCATCGACGGCCTCCTTCTTTAGACTAACCCTAAAATGGCCATGAGTGGTACTGCTTCCAATCATTCTCCACGACATTCCCCTGATAACGTTGACAGTCCTCAATCACGGCGTGCAGTGAGGCCTGTTGTTTCTTCGCCGTGGAACCAGGTTGTTCGCGGTGAATCGGAGCCAACTGCTGCTGCTCCTTTGTCTCCGTCGCCTCCGGCGACGCTGGTTGAATCTTCCCCGGTCGTTCCGCCGTCTTTGCCGATGGACGATTCGAGCTCTGTCGGCGAGAGCTTGGACAACGGTAGCGTCCCGAATGGCAATACGGGTAAGAGACCTGCTTGGAACAAGCCGTCCAATGGGGCTGATTCTGAAGCTAAGCCGGTCATGGGAGCTGTGTCTTGGCCCGCCTTATCGGAATCTACCAGAGCAACGATGAAGTCGTCTACTGAATCACCCAAAGGTGGAGTGGATGGATCGTCTGTATCCCAATTGCAGGTTTGGTTTGTACTATTTCTGTTTCTTCGAGCTTGAAAAATGCTAGTGTTTCAAGTACCGTCATCTTTCTGATTTCGGTAAAATTGAAAATTTCAGGCAGTGAGAACAGGGTAGGAAGGCCGATGTCTAATATATTCCTGATCTCGGCAAGGGAGGAATGTTTTTGTCATATATTTATAATTGTTGGAACACTTGGCAAACTGATTATTTATGAGTTTCGTTTTTGTTGGTTTACATTTTTTTTTTTAAATGAGAGCGAAGTGGTAGCTGCTCTGGTTTAGTAGGATATCAATGTTGATTTAGGATTAAATTGGTTTTCTCCCCCTTTTTGGAAGCGCTATATCATAACAGTCTTTTGCTATGTCTTAGCAACCATATAGGCTTGAAAATACATTCTTCTTTAGCATTGCTGGTGTGTGTGTGTGAGAGAGAGAGAGAGAGCGTGATTGCTTGTGTATGTGTGTATATTCTCTTTTTATATGGTTTATATATGCATATATCTGTAGTCTAATCGTTTGAAGTGCCACTTATAGGGTGCTGGAATCACACCTTCCTCTTCAATAAGACAAGTTAGTGATAATGCAAACCCAAACAATGTGGTGCCAACTCGCCAGAAATCAATAAAACGAAATGGTCCAAACGCATCATTTAATGGTGGCCACCAGCAACAATCTGCACCTCAAGGTCAAATAACTGCAACGGGTTTCCACAACACCTCTCCAAAGGACCATACACAAAGAAGTGGATATGTGTCTCAAAACCATAATGTACATGATCACCCACAACAGCGTAATTCATTTAGGAATCGTAATGGTGGTCCTCATCAGCGCGGAGATGGTACTCATCATCATAATTATGGTAGCAGGCGTGAACAAGATCGTGGAAATCAAGATTGGAATACTTACCGTAATTTTAATGGTAGAGACTCTCATATGTCTCCAAGAGTTTTTCCAAGATTTATGAGGCCACCTCCTCCTCCTCCTCCACCTACTTCTGGTCAATTTATTCCCCCACCACCAGTGCGACCTTTTGGTGGCCCTGTGGGATTTCCTGGTAAGCATTATAAATTCAAGATTTTTTTTTGCCTTTCGGATGCGTATATGATCTGTGACTATTTATTTCAGAGTTAACACCTCCAGTGGTATATGTAGCAGCTCCACCCCCAGATTCAATTAGAGGTGTTCCTTTTGCACCACCATTGCCACCTCATGCTATGTTTTTTTCAGCTCCTGATCTTCAGTTACCTGCTAAAATAGTCAACCAGATTGACTACTATTTTAGGTAGTGTTTTCATTGGCCAGATGTTATTTTTCATATGCTTTCTTCCTGTGCTTTTAAACTTCCTTGTTTAAGAAGTTTAACTGTAGATATGCCACGACTTGACTATTGCAGTGGTGAGAATTTAATTAAAGATACATACTTGCGGCTGAACATGGATGAACAGGGTTGGGTCCCAATAAAATTAATAGCAGGCTTCAAGAAAGTAAGTTGTCTGGGGCATTTCATTGCTTATTCCCCTCTGTTTTATTATAAGATGTTAGAGACTTAACTTTTATATTAAAGGCTGCTTTAGTTTCAAAAGGCTAAGCATTATTTAAGGGTCCTCTGTTATCACTTACTGGAAGTTACTTGTTGATTGAAGTCGGTGCTTCTTTGCAAGTAATAGGTCATGATTGTACACAAAAAGTTGAAGTATCTATTGTCTCCCTATGATTGTGGTGTTCCTATAGAATATTATCTGTGGAAAGCATATTATAAAGACAAATTTTGCACTTTAGGATCAAGGTCTTTTAATTGGATTTTGGACAGTGAGGTATGCGCTTTAGTGTGCTTGTTTGTTAAACCTTTTGGAAACAGAAAACAGATATGAAAAAATTTACTTGGAGGGCTTTTACCATTTTCATTTACTCACTGACTAGGCATGCTATTTTAACAATCGGAATGGCATCCAGCTTGTTTGCTCTCTAGGAAATATTTGCAGAGGTCCATGTCTCTAATTTTGCGTGCTTTCCTTGAAATATTTCATACAAGCATCTAGCGTGCTCGGACCTTGACTTTTGTGATTGGATATCATCCATTTTCTGCTTATGATTTTAATATAGTTTGTCTCCAACAATCAATAGGCTCAATCAACTTTTTACTTGATTCTCTGACTCTGATTCTGATTCTGCCGATAGCCCTCACATTTATATGAAAATCATTGCTATTCGGTGTCTGACTTTATGTGGTGCATTCACATCCATTATATACTTGCTAACCAGATATCTCTACGCATTTTGTTCCCAATATAATCAAGCAACTCTTTTGGTTTGATCATTTAGAATTTGCTTTTGTTGATAGAATCTGTGGACTTATACTGCATAGAACCCCCTTTTTTCTTAACTTTTATAACTCAACAGGAAACTATGAGTGCAGAAATAGGTCTTAGATTAGTTTAGACATGAATGCATGCAGTTCCATTTTATGAATAAAAGCTTGTGAACCAAAAACAAGTGCTTAATTTTTGCATATCACAGTTGCACTTGCTGAGTTGAAGATTCAAGTTTTTTTGTTTGTGTTTGTTAAACATGACAAAAAAAGTGTCACGATTCATTGTTTTGTCCGTCTTCAATAAATATTGCAAGATCTGCCTAGGACATGACCTATCCTTGGGAAATAGGTAACCATATCCCGATCTTCTCTGTTCTTTCAAGGAGCCTTCTTTCAAGGACATTAAATGCATTGGAAGAGCAAATCACTAACATCACAATACTCGGATGAAAACAACCAATTGCATCATGTTTCCCAAATCAACCTGCACATCTGAGCAAAAAGTCTCTGACTTTGCCTGCATTACGGGTGGTGTTCCAATCTGTCCAGTCCTGCCATAAAATATATTGAGCTTTATTTGTACTGGCTTCTAAGCTTTGCCTTGTGATCATGACTTGGTAGGGTAAAAATTTGTCTTCAGATTGATGATCATGGTGCTTTGTATAAGCTCTGATTTTATGATGAAGGCATGATGTATTGAGGACCTCTTCCTTAGAAACTTGAATGATCAGAATATCAAGACTGAAGTATTAAACTATCTTTTTTATTTTTGCCAGGAAAGTATTAAACTATCTCTTCAATGTATGTTGAACTTTCTGGAAATTTAGTTACGACTGACTGAGGTGAAATGGTGATATAGATTTGATGTGTATGATTGTATTAATGTTTTGCCCTATTGTGCCCATTTCTCTAACTCTACTTTGGCGGCCTTTAAAGGGCATTGTGTATCATATCTATGCCATATCAATGATTTGTTGAAATATTTTAACTGTCAAAGCTATCTACATCAAGTATTATAAACTATTCTGCTGCTTTAGTTGATGACGCAGATCTGTTTGGCCTGCCACTTCTAATGCCTGAGTATTTTATGTGGCCTTGTTTATCATCCTTTACTGGTTTTCATTGTTCTGCTTTTCAAAGTTTAAAATTATCTCCCCAAACAATATAAAATCCCCTCTACATTGCGGATTGAGTTGTAACATTGATCACTGCTGGATGATAACGTTTATGTCTCTATCAGGTCATGCAGTTGACGGACAACGTCCAGCTTATATTAGACGCTCTTCGAACTTCATCTGTTGTTGAAGTGCAGGTAATTTTCTGTAGCTTGCCTTGAAGGTTGTTATATATTATAATTTTATAACTTGATGTCATAATTTCTTAGTTCATACCATGTTTGTAACTTGTAAGTTTAGGTTAACTCAATACCGACTATATCACAAAATTAAATATAGGCCTGCTGGTAAATTTTATTTGCTCAATAATCTAAAATCAAACTGAACCCAACCTATGAACATCTCTAGACAACATGTTATAGGAATGAGCTTCAATAAGCGTTTGACTGCGAAAGAAACCACATGATGCATGAGAAATCCAACAACTGGAATCAAAATGAAGGTATTCATGCAGCTAGACACTTTGACAGCAAAAAGATTATGAGAAGTGGAATTTTTATGTATAATCAAGTCAGACTACAACCACCAAAAAACCACCACCCACCTACCGGGCTTCAACCACGCCCCACAGGCAGGAAGAGAAGCTGTTGCTTCTCTGGTTTCTTGCTCATGTTGACAGTATCAAAAATATGAAAAGTGTGGATGCTTTTGAAATTTGAGGTTTGCTTGATGAAATGCAGATTTTCATAAGAGAGGACAGTACCATTTAGCAGGTGTTGTTGAACTTGGTAATCTCAGTTTAAACTTGTAATGTTCTGAGTTTTATTCAAGTCATTTGAGTCAACAAGTTTTCTTGGCCTAGAATCTTAAGCTCATATGATTTGTTTGTGTGGATGGGGTTTCAAGTAGATTTTAAGACTTAATATTAGTTTATTTACATCAGGAAATAAGCATTACAATGTATACAAACACGTGCAATGCGGCCTTTCTGGGAATTAAACTTTAATTCTTGATGTGATTTAGATATTGTGATTGTTTTATTAACATGCAAAAGCATAATTTGAAGTATGTATTTATACTCTAGGGTGACAAAATAAGGAGAAAATTTGATTGGAAGAGATGGATCATGCCTACTTCTGTTCCTCCTGATGTCATGGGCTCCCAAAGTCCTGGAAAGGTTAGTCACGACATGCTGCTAGCAGTACGAAATATTTCCTTGGATCATAAAACTAGCAATGATGCTGTGGGACAATTAGATATTCCATCTGACGCTTCACAGAATAAATCTTCATTTGGGGATTTGAACAACCAGCTGCAGCTTTCCACTGCTGAGGGAACTAATGAAGTTGGAATTCAAGGATCTGATCACTCTATTTATGCAAGAAATTAGCTGTAGATGTGCTTTAGCCCAAATTTTGAGAAGAATATTCTTCAGAGGGAGTTGGGAAACAGGAATTTAAGAGTGATCTCACGAAATTTTCACAGATAAAGACTTCGCAGAAGGAGCAATTGGATATATGATATTTTCCGTGGTATTTAGGAAGATGCTATTGAGAAGACAGAGCAAAAGATAACAAGGAAGGAAAACTAGTGGTAAACCACCCCATAAAAAAGGCACGTTTTTCCTCTTTATATATGGAGCTAGTGGCATGACTCTATTAATTGCCTTTTTTTTTTAATGGGGTACGACTCTTTGATGTTGGGATGGTTGTTACTTCAATCTGGGGATTTTTATTTTGCTTCCCCTCACTGCCCCTCAGCTGCTTTTTATAATCTTTGGGGTCGGCATTACACGTGAGATTGTGAGTGTTGAATGATTGGGCCACACAGTTCGTTAACTAGCTCTTTCCTCTGAAGATAAGAAAAGGAGTAAAGATGACTCTGCTGCTGGAGCTTGTCCTACAATTGCATTTTGTCCTTTTTTGGGTCACGTTACATTCAAAATGACATTGATGTTTACATGCTTTTTAGACTTTATGGAATTAAACGTGCACAAATTTTGAAGCATAAATGCCCTCAGTGGGCAGATGAAAACTTAAATTATTCTATCCAGGTTTTAGCTGGATGATGTTGGGGTTTTTATCAATTTGGACTTTGATGTTGCATGTTTCTTAATTCCCACCTCTTGGTTATTTTGTTATCCTGCTTGATTTGTCATTAATTACTCATTGATTATTGATATTTATTTATTAATATGATTTGTATCATTAGTATTTTATCTTGTTTAGTATAACGAGATATTTTTATGTGCATTGCATTTAGTTTGAAAACTGGGCTGTTCATAAAATGTCTGAGATAACTGATATATTCATAAACTAACTTTGGAAATATGTTGTATACTTTAATTTGCATGAAATAAGAGGAAGAGACTGGAATGAGAGGAAGTGCTGTATTGCGTCTGGTTTAAGTTTGTTAAGGTTTCAGATTTTCCCCTTGGTAAAGCTTGCCGTCTTATTACATGTGTGGTCTTCTAATTTTAAAAGGGGTGTTGGGGTAAAAGTGTAAAACCCAAATCATAATTTTAAAAATAATTTTACAGTATACGAAATAAATATATGATAGAAATTACCTCAATTCGTGGGAAAGCACTTTTCTCTGCCAAAAGCCTCCTAAGACTTGCTTTATTTATTTTTCTGGTTTTAATAAATTGTTAGCCTTGAACTTTTTAGATGTGGTGAAAAAATCTTTTAATACTTAATGGAAAATTTATCTTATCAATGAATTTTGCCTTGATTAATCTAATTATTATGATTATAATATTTTCAGGTTTAAATAATGATTCGTTGAAAACAAAATTGAAAATATCTTAAGACAGATTAACAACCTGACAAGTATTTTTAAACTTTAGAAAATTACAACGTCAAAATGGGGGGAGGAAAAAAAGGAAGAGATTTGGAGGCATGTAGGAAAGCGTAGCCTGTAAACTTTAAAATATTTTGAAGGTTTTAATTCTTTATTTCAAGCCTCAAAAGGGATTATGGAAGCAAATCTGAAAAGCGGCGAGCACCTTCATGAGACGCGGACGGAAATCCGAAATTGTGTCCTTACGTAGCTGAAAGTAGGACTGTTTACAGGACAGAACCAGAACAAGCTCGTTCAAGTCCCGTCTTGATGGGTAGGGGTGGGGTTGGGATAGGAAATGTGTGCCCTGTCCTGTTTCAACCAGGTGTTGTCCCGGTCTTCGTAGGATTTTTTGTAGCATGTATTTTATTGCTTTGAGCTTTTTTTTTATCTGAATTGCTTTGAGCTTAGTTCTCATGAAGAAAAGTGCAAATATATAATAATCAGTAACATAATAACTCTAAAATTCATTTTCACCATTCTAAAAATCATAAGCAACTATAAAAACTCTAAATAAATAATAACTATTCAACTACATATGTCTTGAAGGCTATAAATATAAATATTTTATATTACACATGTCTTAAACATTTTGTACTTTTAACATTTAATAATTATAATATTATTAAAAAAATAAAAATATTACTACCGGGACAAGACGATTCCATCCCGTGTCCCATCCCGTCTTGGTCTTATTTTTTGTCCCGTCCTGAAAAAATTTTAAGATTGGTCTATCCCGTTCCAATATGATCAGAAGTGAGATGAGCCTATTTGAACACCTTTTGCTGAAAGCGCTGTGATGATTGGAATCGTATCCATCACATTTGCCCACTGCTTTTTAATTTTATAGAGGCACTTTTCTTTTATTCATTTTATGTTTACTATTCCTATCGATCCCTTTGAAGATGATGATATGTATACATCGCAATTCATGGAAAAGAACTTGTGTGATATGGAAAAAGGATCGGAAAGGAAAAGGAATTTAACCCAAAAAAAGAATTTAAATTGAAAAAATAATTTTATATAATTTCTTTGCATTCATAGTTTTAAAAATTATTAAAGATAATTAAAAAAATAAATCTATGAGTATAAGCTTGGTAATCAAACTGGGTGCAGCAACATAATCACGTTTAATTGGATTAAATAAGAGAACCATTTTAAATTAGTATGAATCGTATGCCATAGACTCTCAACTTACTTGGTTTTTTTTAAATATTTATATGAAAAATAAGTCTATTTGAGAGAGAAATTCAATTCAATAATAATTGTAGTACTAGTAATAACAACGCTTCATGGAATGGGGTTCCAATATTTGTCAACTTTTGACAAGGAACAATGTGCGTCCCATATTGCCACCAGAACTTGATATGACCACTCGCACCAATTTAAGTGAAAAACAAATTCTCCCTTTGAAAAAAGGAAAAAAAAATCACGAAATCTAAATTGCTTGAGTATAATTCGTATAATCTAAATTATTGTCATAATTATGTTTAATCCATCGAAAATGCTTAAAGAAAATTACACGTAGATCAACTAACAAGCACAACTAAGATTTTTAAAAATGGAAGTCCTAAATTAAAATGTCCCAAATGCTTGTAGCCCAGTAGTCCCACCACTTAGCTTCCTGTGTTTACTATTGTACATATATTCCCTCTCCAGAATCAAATGATCTCTATATATCACTGTTATTACCATCTTCTTGCTCGGCAAGATCCAACAGAGCAGCATGGAAGAATTCTGGAAAGACATCAATCACGTTCCTCTCGTCACTGCCCATTATGTTCCTTCTTCTTCTTCTTCATCTGCTTCTCCTCCTTCTTCTTCAGCCTCCAAGCTCCACGAATTCTTCTCCCAACCCTTTCGCATTGACTCGTCCTCGTCTTCTTCCACCAGCTTTGCTTCCTCTGCTTCGCTTTTCCCTTCCTCCTCCCACAAGAGGCTCTCTGCGTCCGACAGCGACCGGCGGAGCAAGCGTATGATCAAGAACCGCGAATCTGCTGCTCGATCTAGAGCTCGCAAGCAGGAAAAATACTGCTTCTTCCACTTCTGATCTTTATAATTAATTTCTTTCCCCATGCTCTCATTTCTGATTTGTGTTCCTTTTCATTTTAACTTCGCTTCTTTCTTCCTGCAGGCTTACACGTACGAGTTGGAGCAAAAGCTCGCTCTCTTAAAGGAAGAGAATGCCATGCTCACAAAACAGCTTGAACAGGTAATTAAGTTCTATATTATTATACGTTCTCCATCAATCATTATACGCACACAAACGCATAAAAACATTTGTTTTGTGCAAATCCTTGTGTGTCTGTGTGAGAAGGTAGTATAATTATTATTGCGATTTTGGTTGCTTTTTGTAGCTGGATGAAGCTCTTGCAACAAACATACACAAGGTGAAGAAGCCGCCGTGTCGAACATTGACGGCTCCATTTTAAGAAGTCTTTCAAGTTCCACCCTTTCGTTTTCTTTTTCAAACAAATCCGAATGTGTCTGAGAGTGGATTCTCTCCCGCCATGCATGTTTTTGTAGCCTTTTTGTTTAGCCAAGTATCATCCATCTCTACATTATATACATATATGTATGTATATATATGTAATGAAGCTCGATTTTCCACTAAAGAACTTGAGATTTAAGATACTTCATTTTCAGCTTAATTAGAGCACTAGCACTTCTTCGTATTAAGTATCGCTTGTTTTATGTAGACAAAATATTGTACGTGTTCTAAATAATATGCTTTAATTACCCGAAGTACCTGGAGAGTTTGAAGTCTTATAATTTCGAGTACCTGGTGGCACAAGTAGTGGATCAGATTTCGCTGAACAGAAACCTGCAGCAAAAGTTAGCTGCAGAGGATTCGCATCTCCGTATGAAGGAATTGATGCTTGGGGGGGGGGGGTTTCTATGATTTACTTGTTAGTGTTTGTAGATCAGCTTTCAAGGACAAAGTTCACAGAATTATATATGGCACCATGTAATTTGTCATTTATGCCAATATTAATTAGTAGTATATGGTTACATTTCGCGGGTACTCTTATCAAATGAGTGAGTGGGGATGATGCCATTTAGTACCTATAAATATTATTTGAGAAGGAGAGCCGGCATCTTTAAATATTATTTGATAATGAGATAGGTAGCCTCCAATTTAGACAAGGGGCGTTTTTGAAAAAGGTATTAATTGTACCTATAAATAGGGAAAATGATAGAACGGTGTACTGAAATTGCATATTTCCATTAAAATGTTAGATTAGAGGTGAGCGTGCATCTTTAAATGTTTGAAAATGAGAAAGGTCATCTAGAATTAAGATTAGGGATTTTTTTTTGGGAAAAAAAGGTATTACTTATACCTACAAATATGCATTTAAACTAATATTTAGAAAAAAAATGAAAATAAAAATCAAGACTTATATTTTAGGGGCAGAGGAAGTGTGATTTTATCATGAACTTAAAAAAACTATTTATCAAATATTTTACTTCTCCAGTCCTAAATATAAAACTCTTATACATACTAGTATAAGGATCTTATATTTAGAACCCGATAATTATTATTTATTATGATCTTTTTCCAAGTTTTGAGATGGATTACCAAGCTTGAAAGGGGACAGGGGCAGGTTAGCTAAGGTCTCCCATCTTTTCCCCTTTTTGTTGTAATTTTGTTTATTTCCTCTTTTTTGAAATAATGATTTTCAGTTTTCATTCAAAGAAAAATGTATAAATAATAAGAAAATTGTGGATGAGTGAGTGGGATAGGGGAAGGTTACCAAAAGTGTATGAAGTCAGGCTCAAACCTTTGGATGAAAGATGGGACACTTTGTTCTCTTCCCAACATATTGCAATCAAACATCATCTTATCTCTTTTATCTCTACCCTCCTTGAAGGACATCCTTCGGCTTTTCTTCTCCACGTTCTTTCTTTTGATGTGATTGTTTTTGCGAAAAAAAAAATCAATATTAATTATGCCAATGAGTTTTGAGATATTTTCAAAAGAATTGCAGTTACTATATAGATGAAATTATTTCAGAGTTATGGATAACATAGTTGGTATTAATTATGTGCGTCACTAAAAATATACGTCTAGTTATAAATAAAAATCAATATTTCTTCCTTGATGGTGGACCTTTGTTTTTTGTTTTTTGCGTGTATCTATAATTCTCCCACAAATTCTTTTCCTTTCCCAAAACTTGCGTTTTATGGGACTGCCTTGTGGATCAGATTCCTTTACAAGACCAACTTTGAATGTCTCGCTTTTGAGCATTAGCTGGTCACAAATGATAGTTTTAAGAATATTTGTTTAATCTTTTGTAAATGGAATATTTTTATCTCTTTAGGATCTTTCAAATGTAACTTTGAAGCCGGGTAGTACCTAGTATTACCTGAGTAGTTTGCTCTTGTATTTTGCTTTATTTTTTGTTTTCTTTTCTGTCTTATCAAAAAAGAAAAAAATGAATCGAATAAAAAATGAGTAGCACCAGATTTGAGTTAATTTGTCACGCGTCATTCAGTCATTGAATGTCACTTGCTCATTTAATTCAATACTACCTCCGGTCCTAATTATAAGAGCCAATTAACTAATTTGAGGAAATTAAGGAAGTAAGTTGAGTTAGTTATTTGTCCTAAATAGGTGTTGTCTTTCCTAAAATATTCTTGCTAATCAAGTGTATTAACTAGAACTATTATTGTTAGAAGGACTATTTTAGGGAAAAAAATGTATAAATATGAGTTAAGGAAGTAATTCAATACTACCTCCGGTCCTAATTATAAGAGCCAATTAACTAATTTGAGGAAATTAAGGAAGTAAGTTGAGTTAGTTATTTGTCCTAAATAGGTGTTGTCTTTCCTAAAATATTCTTGCTAATCAAGTGTATTAACTAGAACTATTATTGTTAGAAGGACTATTTTAGGGAAAAAAATGTATAAATATGAGAGACAAAGTGGATTGGGATCTTATATTTAGGACCAAAATAAAAGTTAAACAGAATCTTATATTAAGGATCGAAGGTAGTAGCAGCTTAATGTTTGGAATGCTGGGGACATTATTAGTTTAATAATAAAGTTGGCAAAACCTTTTTTTCTTAAATGTGGGCTTGATAGAATTAATTAAGGAAAGAAATTGCATGGTTTGTTACCATTTTTTTGTAACCAAAACATTACGTCCATCCCGAACTCAAAATTGGATTTCACCTCATAAATATTTTTTATAACCATATGCTTTCAGTTTTTATAACGTTTCAAACCTAAGTCTAGTATCATTTGGAATTTATCGTAAATTAATATTAATTTCAAATACTTGAAGGCATGTTGATATATAATACTAAGTCCGGTCTTTAATATAAGAGCTAGTATGACGTTTAATTTGGTTCTAAATATAAGATTTCAATCAACTTTGTCTTTTATATTTATTTATTTTTTTAAAGATAGTCTTTATGGCAGTTTACATATTAAAAGTTTCATCCAATAGTAATTTTAGTTATTAGTAAGGATATTTTAGGAAAGGCAATACATATTCATTACAAATAACTAATTTTCTTAATTTTATCAATGAATTTGCTCATATAACCTAGGTATGCATGATTTATTAGGTTGAATATAATGAAAGAGTCTATATCTTATCAATTTTATATAGAGAAGACAAAGCACATGGCACCAATAATGTTTGTTCGATGATTGCATCATTGAATTTGAAGTTCAAGCAAAAATTATGAATTTTTTAGAAAAATCAACAATCTTGTAGTCTAGTGATATAAAAAAAAAATTTATTTGCAAATGATAAATTGTGAGTTTGATCTCATTCTTACCTGCAATCTCATGCCCATTTATTTGACAAAATTGTGGCATGAAAAAGAGGAGCAGCAAAAGGAAGTGGGGAGTACGATGGGAAGGGATTGTCCACTTTGAAGGGATGATGGCTTTAGTGAAAGGGAAAACAAGAATAAAGGAGGGGAAGGCTCAAGTGAGAGATTGAAACGTGGCAATGCCAACTTTGACCACTGGGGAAGCAGCTGCACCACTATCGGCCTCCTTCAGACTTCAAATCACACTTCTCAGACACTCTCATGTGACCCCTCCCCTCCCCTCCCCTTATCATCAGTGTCTCCCTCCAGTGTCCTTCTCCCTTGTCTTCACTTTGTTTTTGTCTCCTACTCTTTTCGTCTTTTTCTTGCCATCTTCTCTCCTTTTGCTTCCCATTTAAATTCAACGGCTTCATTAACGTTGCACATCGTAGTCATATATATTAACCTAAACAAAAAGCCTCATGGTCTTGTAACCCAAAAAAAAAGAAAAAAAAGAAAGCCTCATGGTCTGTTTGTTTATCAATCAATGGTTATGATTTGGAGAACTTTAGAAAAAGAAATGCCTTCGTGTTCCTTACCTTATGCTTGGTATGAGGAAAATAGAGAAAATAAAAGGAGAGCAAAAATTTTAATGAGCTTATTTTAAAAAATGAGAGAAGTAGGGTTTTCAAATTTAGGGTTAATATAATTTTTTGTCTTTTAAATTTGCCCTCGTTTTAGTTTTAATCCATTAAATTTCAAACCATAGGTTTTAGTTCCTTAAGGGCCTGTTTGGTTTGAGGAGAGGGTAGGGGAGGGAGGGGAGGGGAGGTTTTATCCTTACCTTGTTTGGTTTGATTAAAAAAGAGGAGAGAAAGGGATATTTAATTATCCCTTGTTTGGTTCAAGAAGGGGAGGGGGATAGTAATAATCAATTTACTATTTTATCCTTACATACTAATTTATATTTTTTATTGATATATTATATAAATTAATTTACATCTTAATTTAAATCATATAATTTAATAAAAATTCAGTCTTATCATGTTAATATATGCATTAAAAAATTGGTACAATGTTTTTTTAAATTCTAATTAATATGATAATAAATTTGAAATAATCAAATTAACAAATTTTATATGCTCTAAAAAAACTGAAATTTTATACTCTTTAGACTATGCCTTTTTTCAGCTTTAAAATATATTTAATAAATAATATATTTTTTACTTATAATAATTTATATTTTTTATTTTTTACTTAGGATAATATTATTTTTTATTTAAAATAAATATTATAATAATATATTTTATGAGTAGTTGTAGAATATCAAAAAAATCAAAAGGGTATAATGGTCCAAAAATTTAGCTCCCCTCTCCTCCCCTCCAACCAAACAAACCCTAAGAGGTAAAATGGTTCAATTTTTAATTAGATTATAGGGGTCAATGTTATAAATGAAAATAAACTTAGAAAACCAAAACTTATGATTTGAAACTCGATGGACCAAACTCTATATTAACCCTAAAATTTTAATGAAAAAATACGTAAGATAAAAAAAAGTAATAAAAATTAATTAAAAATTTTCAACGCTACTTTTTTAATTTTCTAAAAATAGCCCGCTAAAATTTTCCCTCTACTGCTCTTCTCTCTGTTTTCTTCGTACTAAACGCTTACAAAAGATATGTCATATGTACGAGGAAGGCAATAATAATTATAATGGGAGGATGCTTGGAGATGGAATAAATTAAAAGACCTATATATACAGATATTGATGTAATCCGAAAATCATTCTCAAGTCGTTGTTTTGACCAAGTGCATATCTAAGATGAAATTCCCAAAAGTATATGCTCTGAAGCTAAGGGTTAAGATAAAAAGGTCAAGTCCCAGTTTGAATTACGGAAACAGGCTTTCAAATTGAAGCATCGGGGCTTGAGTATAAGCATCACTGCAAATTTAATATGATTTCAGAATTCAGAAATGGTTTGGAGGTGGAAAACTGAAAATTATAAATTAAACTACGACAACATCAGTGACAATTTAAATATGTGTTGTTAATATTACAAAATGATTCGATGGCATATTATTATTATATAAGAAAATATGCTTAAGTCGGTTGATTGGAATGAAGGAAAGCATCGCATCAAGAATTGTCTGCGATTGTGGAGTTCCTACGAAATTTCAAAAGAAAGTTTTATCGAGTTGATGTTACCCGTTCCCCACCTCCTTCCATGAAAAGACTTTGACCCAATTTTCTCGGCACAATTATTACCAAAAAAAAAAAACAAGGCGCAATTATTGTTTCTTATACTATCTTCGGTCTTTAATATAATATCTCGTTTGATTTTTATTTTAATAATAACTATAAGATTCTAATTTTGTCTTTCATATTTATTCATTTTTTCTCAAAGTAGTTCTTATAATAATGGTAGTTCTAGCCAATAAATTTATTAGTAATGACATTTTAAGAAAAATAATAACTATTTATTATAAATAAATAATTTAACTTATTTTTTTAAATTAGTCAACTAGCTCTCACAATTAGGATTGGAGGTAGTAGGAAATAATAGGTGAGGTCACAGTTGGCCATCACTATTTTTTCCTATCTCTTTATTTTTTGTGTTAACTTTTAAAGAATGAATATCTTGGTCATTTTAGTTTAATTTATCCCTACTTTTTCTATTTTGATCACGCCAAGTGTAACCCGGAAGAAATATTTTATTTCTCACACACACCAAGCATTACTTCGCCATTTATTTTCCCGTTCTCACTCCCTTTCCCCTTTTGTTTCACAGATATAATTAAATACTACTTTTGTCTTTAATATAATACTATATTTGACTTTTATTTTGATCCTAAATATAAAATCCCAATCTATTTTGTCTCTCATATTTATACATTTTTTTCAAAGTAGCTCTTCTAATAATAAGAGTTCTAGTCAATAGACTTGATTAGTAAGGATATTTTAGGAAAGACAACACCTATTTAGGACAAATAAGTAACTCAACTTACTTCCTTAATCTCCTCAAATTAGTCAACTAGCTCTTATAATTAGAACCGAAGGTAGTAGAATAATATGATACCATACATATAGCTACCTAATAGGTTAAAACTCTCTTTTTTATACGGATCGTTCAACATAATATCTTAGATTAATTAAGTTATTTAATTAACAAAATTGTAGTTGAATTAAAACGACCATGTCATAAGGATATGATGATGAGTTTGAATCTTGCTACTAATGTAAGTAATTTTTTAATTGAATAATTTTTAAATATATTAGTAATCATTTTATGAATTTTGGAATTGTTATTTGTGAAACCTATCCTGATCCTAATAAGCTTTAAGAACCTAACTGATCACTTAAACTTTCTTGTGTAGAAAAGGATTTCAACATCTTTAGTTATATATATAAGTATTATACGAAAAATAAGAAGGATAACTTTTGTGAATTCTTAATGGGTTTTTATTTTGCGTAAAATCAATTAGCTGGACTAATGACAAAATTTCATAAAATTATGTTTTTGTTTGGGCTTCATCTTCCACTTGGGCTTCATGGGGTTGGGCCGCAGGAGTTGAGGAAGGGTATTTTGGGCTTCATGTTGAAGAAATGGTCCTTCAGGCACACAGTTGGGCTCATGTAATGCAACCTTCGCAACCCACTCAGATCGCTGGCATTCGACTCATCGGCCGCTTCACTGGTTAATGTGCACGGCTTAAAGAACAATAAGGAAGGATCAAGTTCAACTCTAAAATTGGTTGTAAAGTATGATAAGTGTCGGGAAAAAAAAAATCTGGGATCGATTCAAAAATCGAAGCAAGCAACCAGAGGAAAAGGTTATTTTCATATTTTAGAGATTTTTTTTACATTTCCCAAAAATTCTTATATAATTTCTGTTTTGCATTGTTATCTTACTATCTCGTGTCCTAATTATAAAACTTCGTTTAATATCTACTAAAACTTGATAGCAGTTTTTGATCCTTCTCTTAGGAGCAGTTATTTTAATGGTGAGTTTCGTCAATTAGAAGTCTTGGACGTAATTTCACCAAGATGGTCAAAATATTCATGCGGGCGCCTTCAGGGATAAATAAGCCTTAAAATATTCATTTTTGACCTGCATTCTTGGGGACCCACAAAAAAAAAAAAAGGAACAGATCATGAAACGGAGGGATCTTTAAATAATTTCCATTCGGCAAAGTGGACAACCACTGATATTGCCTCACTACCTAATCACCTAATCAATAACAAAGATTCAAGAGACGTATTTAAGACTGAATATTCAGAGAATGATAGATATAAAAGAAATCATAAGTACAATGATGACGTGTAAGCCCTACAAATTATTGTATTTTTATTTTACTCTTTCTTTATCCTAAAATCACACCCAAAGAGTTTGATTGTAAAAAGAAGAGAATTGTTAAAAGATAAAAGCGATCGATTGGGAGTGTAATCAAGAGGTATGAACCACATATCTAGTCTTTTTTTTTTTTTTTTAATCACTGTACTTTTTATCCAAATACGAACTTATATGACGTAAAAATCACTCCCAGAGAATAGAATTTTGTTCACCAATAGCACAAGTTAGGGGGCGAAATAAATTCCATATGAACGACTGGGTCAAGCTGCAAAAAGAAAGAAAACAAGGGTCTGTAATTCACGAACTTTCCAGAAAATTAAACAATTATAGCAGCCATTCTGATTAAACTGCTTTAAATTCTGATATTAACACTCTTCATTATCATGGCAATTCTTTACTAACATCCACTGGTTCATTTGCACCCATAAAACATTACAATTACATATATGGGTTCATCTAAGCTTTTGCTCAGACTTGGATCATCTTCATTAGAATTTTACAGAAAAATCAAAACTTGATGATGAAGCAGTGTCCTTTTTCGGGACTTCAACTCCTTATTATTAGACCAAGATCATTTCAGATGCCAGCAATATGGAAAGAAGAAAACCATATTACCATATCCTCAGTGAATTCTGCAGAAGCGAGAGACTTATTCTGATCTTCTGCTGCAACCATTGAGAAACGACACAGAGGACATGTTTTGTGGTGACCCTTATTGAGCCATTTATCTACACACAGTTTATGGAATCTGTGAAAGCAAGGAAGAACCTTCGTCTCATCTTTCTCCTTTAACCTCGACAAACACACACAGCACCAGTCAACTTCGATCAACCTTGGAGCTTCTGCCGAATCACTTGCAATTGCCTGCTTCTGATGATTGATCTTGTACGGGACAAGACCAATAAAGTCGAACACGAGCGAAACCAGACCTGTTAGACTCATTTGATTCAAGGAAAGCCGAAGATATCGATCTGTGTTAGAGTCTTATAAGCTACTAATTATAGGTGAATCGATCACAGTGTACGTAGAGTCTTATTATTTAGTCATAGTGTTAGTTTTTTGCTTGGTTTGAAAGGGTGGTTAGATGAGGTGTGACAGCTTCAGTGTTCCAAACACAAAGCGGTTACACCAACACAGAGTGTAACTCTTGACCTATATATATATACACATATTACGTTATTTCTCTTAGTGGGGAAATTTGCTCCAAGTTACGTAACACTTGAAACTAAGCATGGGAGAAGCATGGGCTTATAAGTAGTCTGGTTTCCTTATAACGTCTCTTTCTTCCTTTTTCCCATTTGCTTATTATACGTTATTGATATTTTAGATGTCCCCATATCTTACCTACTTCTCACCCAAAAGAATCAATGCATCTCTTTGAAAAGAAACAGAAGGATTAATGGATCATTCATTATACAAATATCTAAGAAGGGCGTCATAACAATTCAGGAAAACTAGTGTCATAAAACCATTGAGGTAAGGGAAAAAAATTACTGAAGTTGCTAATATGAGAAGGTTGTAATTGCAATTAGATACAAAGGAAGCTCACTAAAATATACATGTTACACACACACACACATGTATATGAACGAGTATTTTGGGTTGATATATCAGCCCACAAGAAGATTTGTGAACAAAATCTCGAATGCTTTTTCAGGCTCTAGGGTCACAGAGGTTTGGATAAGAGATCAAAAGAACATATATGATGGATCAAACCATCAGAACTCATGGATGTTGCATTCACGCCCATTGGGTATGTGGCATCGGATAAGATTTAAAAGTGGAAAAATTAAAAATATAAGAACGAAACAGAACTAAATTTTAATACAGACAATCGGAACAAAGATAAGGACATCCTTGGAATCCAATAGCCCATAATAAAGCTGCATGCTCCTTTTTATTTGTAAACTAAATAAATGGTTCGAAGCAATCCACCACATTGGGGCCACGCAATTTTAGGACAAGTTGGCCCACAAAAAATTATCTTTTCCTTAACATTACCCAACCAAAATCAAAGTCATGTAATATAATAATCAATTCACTTAAAAGAATCAACACAGAACAGGTGGCACGTGGCAAGCCCTCAGGTTTCATCTTCATCCCAAGCCGGGTCAAAGAAATTAATCGTCGCCCTCGCATGCAAATTTTGGTCGCCGAAACAAAAATATCTACGCCCGTCATATGCCCTGCAAAAATATCTGCTTACTGCGTCCACGTTTCGCCGTACCATTATGCTTCCCGAACTTTCCAGCATTTGCCGAAACTCGCCAAGTCCTTCTTTTCCTCAGATATTTTTAGCGTTTCCGGAGCCGCAGCTTCCGTAACCGCCATCCATCCTTTATAAATGCATCGAGAGATATTTTGCTTCTTTCGTTGTGCTAAAGCATGAGCCCTCATATGTGACTGCACATGTCTGGTTTATTGCTTTAAGTAAGTCCATGTGCTTTGTATTTTGGTGGGTGGTTCGAGGCTGATCGCATTCGGTGACGTTAATGGAGGCTGATGTTGATACAGTGAGTTCCTCATCACCATCTTACTACAGCATTCTCGGTGTCGATTCGGATTCTTCTCTCGAAGAAATAAGGCGCGCTTATCGCAAGCTTGCAATGGTAATTAGCGCTTTTCCTCCAACTCCAACAGCTGAATCTTTTGAACTTTCGTCTTCTTTCCTTAACAGATTAAGTTGTGAGAGACTCGTTTCTTCATAATTAACTTGAAATTTTCGGATTGTCTTCGTATGTTCTATCTATCTCTTCTGCTTCCGATTGAATCAGTGTACTTATGATAAGGATACTGATGTAACTGGGTTTTCTGAACCTGGTGTAGCAATGGCATCCGGATCGGTGGACGAGAACACCAACCCTACTGAGTGAAGCAAAACGAAAGTTCCAAGAAATTCAGGAAGCCTACTCAGGTATGGTGATTTCGGATCTTCTACCGGTTTCTTTAGAAAATCTTGTATTTTAAAGTTCTGGGTTTTTATCTATGAGTGAGTGATTTTCCATATTTCACAGGTGCATACTTGTGCTTTGGTTTTTTGTTGGAATATTTTTACTAATATTGAAGTTTTTCCCCGACTTTTCCTTGGAACAGTGTTATCGGACGAAAGCAAAAGAACCATGTACGATGCAGGCTTATACGATCCCCAAGAAGAAGAGGATGAGGTAAGTGCTTGTCCTGGAATTGGGCCGCCTTCAATGGATGTTTTGCTTTTAGCATGACCCTAAAATCCTGTTGTTATTGTTGTTGATTACAGGAGTTTTATGACTTTGTGCAAGAGCTAAAGACGCAAGTGAGCAGAGAGGTAAAGTTGGTAGTCACTTGAGGTTGAGAGTTGCTGCTTTCTTTTTGTAGCTATTAGCTCTGCTTTAACCAAAATTAGGAAGAATGCTTGAATTTTCCCTGGCATGGTTGAGACTGTTGCGGTTTTTTTTTTTTTTTTTAAATTCTGTAGGGTACATTAAACTGGCTTCTGAATTTAGTTGTTACATGTCTGAAAATCTTCGTAGGTTAGGTTGTAGTGCTTGCCGGTACAATCGTTGAATTAGCAGTAAATAATGTGGAAGGAGTGAAGTCTGGCCAAGGCTGCACATCATCGCCTCCATATTGATCTACATGTTGGGGCCAAAAAATTAACCCAAAAAAAAAAATGTTGTGATGCAGGAGAAGGAATATAGCATAGAGGAGTTGCAAAGTATGCTGATGGAAATGGTTCAAGGATTCGAGAATCCTTCATGGCAATTTGGAGCCTCACCGGTGGATGAGGAGAGCCAGTGCTCAAAGAGGGCTCGCCTGGACTCGAACTTGAAGATGAACTTAGGGTCACCTTTCTATGAGCCTGGGCTTCACTTGTTTGAAACGAGGGGCTTCTGTAGTTAGGAGTTCAGAATCATTGGTTCTGCTTCTTAATGTTGTAAAATTCAGAACTTTTGGCAGCTTGATGTTTTTGGCTTGAGGGATGCATCAAAAATTTGTATTGTGACGTGGGCCCGTGTTTCTGTTGTATGTGCTGTATTTTGTTTTGGGACGTGAAGGTGGGCTTCGGAAATGGACACTTATTGTGGGCTCATGGGAGAGTTCATTTCTTTAGTTTGATGACTCTTGTCTTAATAGTGAAAGTCAGTGGGTTTGAAGGGCATTCAAGAAGTAGCTACATGGGCCGAGAAAAAGAAGTGAGGAAGTTGGAGAAAGCAAATGATGGAAGATGGGTGGGAGTGTGGAATAGTCAAAGAAAGTGACTTATGTGTGAAGGGAAGGAGGGGGAGGAAGAGTCCTCCGAATATGAGGAGGGAAGGAAGGACAGTGTGAGATGTAGCGCTGCGTTGTATTATTATCATTAGGGCCGTCCATGTTGTGTAAATTATTTACTTCATGACACGTATTGATGTTTGTTTGCTTCTGTCAACTTCCAGCCTCATCTTCCTCTCCTAGTCCTTTTTCCTTTCGTCTTTATTCGTCCTATAATTTAATTCCCTTTTGATGCCCATCCTCATCATCTTCACCTAACCTATCCTCTACTGTTGACCTTTTCTTCAAACTTATACAGCTCTTTAGTCTACGCACAGACCGGAAATTTATGTATATATTTATATTTATAGTAGGTACCTTTTCTATTTTGATAACTGGATGATCTTTTTAGTCCTTCTTCCTTTCCTGAAACGTTGCTTTTATTATACGTCCTTATGATTTAAACCTGAAAATACTGTCATGTAATCTCGAGTTTTACAACAGCGAAAAAAGCCTGACGCTGCAAAAAGTTGCACTTTCACAGGAAAAGAATGTGGCTTTATTGCCTTCGCAAGTTACGATCGAACTCTCATCAAATTCGTATGTGAGCGGATTGCTTGTGCTGATGTCTCGGGTACTGATCAAATTCCAATTTTAATCCTCAAAATTGGATTTAAACGTTTTACCCGCCAGTCCTAATCAATTTATACTCCTCCGGTTTTTAATATAAGACTCATTTAACTAATTTGATTAGATTAAGGAAGTTAGGTAAGTTAGTTAATTATATGAAAAGTGACATATTTTTCCTAAAACACTATAATCATCTTTCTTAATACCCCATCTCCTTCCTCTACTTGATTATGGTTGAGGGAGTATCCATAAGGGTAATTTAGAGAAAATCAATAAATATGAAAAATGGGTCTTATATTTAGGATCAAAATCAATTCAAGAATTGGGTCTTATATTAAGGACCGGAGGAGTATTAAATTATCTAGTGTTTTTAAGGAGTGCGCACATATAAACATACGACCCTATACAGCGTATGTAATACAGTGAGGTGCCCACAAAGGCACATGATTTTAGGGGCTGCCTTATTCAATGGGGTAGGAATTGTGGCCTTGGGGGTCTGGCGTTTCTTGGTAGACTTGGCTCTCTAGAAGGCCATTACCCAAAGTGCCTTTCAGTTTTACCCTCCAATTTAAAGGACCCGTGCACCTAAATAACGTAACAGATCCTTCCCCCTCACCTTTCTTCCTCCAAGTTCTCGCTCCCTTTATCTTCCCCATAACTGATCTTCTTCTCTCACACGCACAAGCAAAAGCTCTATTAAACTCCTCGTTTCCCACCAAACCCCAAAATGTTAATCGAAACGTCTCATCAGATTAAGCTTCCTTTGATTGTTAGCTTGTCCTTAATTGTGATTATTTCCGTTGTTTTTACGGCTCCTCTGCCAGTCGCCACTGCCGAAACTAGGAAACTCGATGAAACCGCCGCCCCTGCCACCCCAAGCGGTGGCGAGAAGTGCACACCATGCGGTAACAGCTCTCCCCCACCCAGTCCTCCGTATTATCCGTCGCCGCCACCTCCTCCGCCCTATTATCCACCGCCCCCGCCTCCATACGAATATTCATCGCCGCCGCCTCCGAAGAAAAATCCACCATCGCAGTATTGTCCTCCGCCTCCCGCATCGATCATGTACATCACCGGACCTCCGGGGAACCTATATCCCGTCGACGAAAATTTCAACCGCGCAAGCCGCCAGAGTTTCGCCGCGGCCTTGCCTCTTTTAGCCGGCCTGTTGACCGTGCTGGCCTTACGGTGATCGACTGATCAAGGATCATTCGCTTGTGGAAGGTAAAAGGATTCCAGGAAAAAAATAGAGAAGTAATTTTTAGTTGGAAATAGAATAATTTTGTGTCAGATTTTAGTTTTGCGTCACGTATCACTCTGTTTCGTCCCCTTGTGATCCCAATCATGTTGAATAAAAATTTCACAGTTAGATCAGCAGCTTTTCTGTAAAAAAGGAAGCTTCAATCCCATTCTCCTAAATGAATTCTCTTTTAAAAAAAATACATTCAATTAATTGTTTGCAGGGGGTGTGTGTATAAATATCAGGAAATCATCTGATGAATAAATAATTATAGATCATCCACCCTATTCCCAAATACAGCGATGGTTCTGCCTTGTTGCATTAATTAATTAATTAATTATTTCAATTGGGTGGTCCCTCCCCTCGGTGCTGTTTAAAGCATGTTCATGCTTACACATGCCCAATTCTGCTTCATTCACTTTCTCCGTCTTCTCAAGTTTTACTTACCGATGGCACGATCATTTTTTTTTTTCAGCAAAAGATAAGAGACTTTGGGATTAAGGAGGAAAAGCATAGATCAGGGACACGTCAGTTTTTCTTAAAACCTTAGCCATAAAAAGATTCATACCTATTTTTATTAATCTTAAAAAAAACATGAAAATGACATGCGAAATATTGCACGCCAAAACATTAACGATGTGATGTTTGGAGGGCAAGATGAGATGAGTTGATGAATGGCAGTAATTTCTTCATTTAAAATGGTGAGAACAATATGGAATGTGATTTGGTAGAGAATGAATGATTAACAAATGCAAAAAAGTAATGTCCAAATGAGCAAACACTACAAAAAGGGCCAAACCAGGGACAAGAAGGGGGGGTATTGTGTGTGGAATTTCATGGTTATCGTTCTGGTAAAGTGGATATGGAAAAATAATACTAATAATAATGTAAAGAAGGAATGAACTATTAGGTCCTGTGCTGGATTGTGATGTCAGAGTTCAATCCAACTGAACCCCATCGCTTTTAAGGTGTCAGTGTCCTGAAAGATCAACTTCGGTATTGACCAACCAAGTCCCTAATCATAGGGTCCCACTTTGCCACGTTTCGGTTTCTCCATATATTTTTACTGTTTGTGTTTATCTTTTTCCATTTTTCCAAGTTAAAAAATTACCAAGCAAGCAAGGGAAATTCAGTGAGGCACGACTCCTACGCCGAGCCGCCTCAAGGGGCAAATGGACGTATGTGGTTTCTTCTCGACATGACTTGGGAGAGTCGAGTTTGTAAATAGATTCTGAAACCGTAAGAAAAAGGTAAAAGTAACGTAAATCAAATTGTTCATTACTACCTCTCGTTGCAAGTTTCACTTTTCAGAAGGAGTGGATTCAATTTATAAGCTTTATTTTAAGCTTTATCTGAATATAATACCTTTTTTCTCAATTTTATTCTTAATTTATTGTATTTAGTGTTTTATTTTTTTAATGACATTAATTAAAAAGGTGGCTATCTTGATTTCCCTATAATTATTTTAGTAATTCTTCCTATTCTCTCTGGCATATATTACCCCATATATTTTCTCTCATCATTTTTATATCTATTGTCAATTACTCTCATGATAAGTATGGGTGTATATGTAAAAAAAAATATTATTTATTATTTTTAACTAATTTTAACTCTTTGTTCATTGTATGTTGTTCTTATATATAGGAATGAAGAGAGAGTAATATTTTATTCTTCCAGCATATTGATGATTGCATTTATTTAATCTGAGATGTCAATTCGTAACGGTGGAATTCATTTGATAGTACTGTGGAAATCGAAGCATGCAAGAATGTCCAATGCATCTCTACTAAAGATATGCTAAATCACTTTTTTCCTTAAACAAAGGACACCGTGTTAACGTAACCAACTCATCATCAAATCGCAAATTAATATTAAATATATATACACGTTGGGCCATTTTTTAATGGAGTGTTTTTTCACCTGCATCTTTTTTTACAGAGTTAAAAATGCTGCCATACAGTCTGGATTACAGAAAGAAAAGGGCTTAGTCAATAGAAACCAGCAAATAAAATAGCCTCATATTAAGATCAGAGGATGCATTATATTTTCATTTCAGCATTTCCTGCAGCTTATTCATTAAGTAGCGCCATATCATGAATAGTATTACTCTTCCGGTCTATATGAAATATGTTGAAAATAATTTATAAATAAGACTAAAAGAGTAATATTTATGATTAATTAAGTTGACATAAATTTCAAGAACCACAGATAGATAAAGAGGTTTATAAGAAGACAGCACTAACTTATCTATGAAGCAGGGGAGGGCTCTTTCACTGAATTTGAGGCACCTAATTGGATTGGAGTTGATTGGTGATTATTTAGAATAATTATTATTCTAAGTCTCATCAATTGCGTTACAGACTACTTTTTTGTTTGGTTTTGTCTTTGTTGGGCGACGTCCTTTAACCAACAACTATAGGCTCTTTCCAACAAACTAATTAAAAACTCCAGATAAGAAAATAACACTCTTTCAGTTCTAAATACAAGACTCTTATACTAGTATATATAAGGGTTTTTTATTTAGGAGAGAAGGAGTACCTTTTTTCTTTCTTTTCCCCCTCTTTTCAGCTCGATGCTTTAATTTGTCGACGCTATTTTTTTTTTTTTGCCTCATTAATATCGATTTTTCATTCAATGGATGATCTTTTAGCTAACACCTATTTCTTTCACTGAACGTAACCAGACTGATAACCCATGCATTGCTTTAAGAAACAAACATCTAAGATGAATAAATATTATACCATTTGATTCAAATTCAAATCAATTGACACATAGTAATTAAAAAATTGTTAAATTATTATAGTATTACTCACAGGTCAAGCGACATAGTTTAGCCTCATAGAAAATTTATATGTTTGTGTATTAGAAAACAAATTGAAGTGTCCGGGATTTGATGCGAGAGATAATACGTAATTAAGAAATCGAAGACAAGATATAGTGAACAAAAGCAACGTGTCATGTTCAACCAAGAAGACAAAGGAAAAAGTAATGTTGAGTCTCAGTTATTATAAGTGGCCCTATAAACAATGGAGAGGAACGACAATTAGTGCCCCGTTTGTATTGTTTGGAAGAGTGTTGTCGAAGAAAGTAAAAACGAAAGTGGAATAAAAAATTGGAAGAAAAATATGAAGAAAGTGGTGGGTTTTTTAGAGTGCGTCGTTTAATCATGTTTATGTGAATTTAATATAAATTTTAATTAATTTATGTATTTATATCACAAAATTAAAGGATACTGAATCGAGGAGAGAAGGAAAAGGTCAAGGTTAAAATGTTCGCGAGGGTTAAAAAGTACCAAAATTATATTTTAATGAAGCATTTTAGCGTTCAATAAATTCAACCGAGAAACCCATTTTCATCAGAATGTGATTAACGTTCAAGCCAAACAAGATAAGTAATTCTAAAATTTTTCATTTGACTTCCATTTCCACGCTCCTTTCACACTCATTCTATTCACAATATAAATTATTTTCTTTTAATTTGTTTTGGTTCAAAATATCATTCCTTTTAACAGGATCTATACTATTCATATATATTTTTTTCATTTCGCCTTTATGCACAATTCAATTTTATAAGTGATCAGTTCATTAAAATTAATGTAGTGTTAACTTTTGATGATAATGTGTACTTGAAAAGTGTCACAGAACTTTTACATATTCATATGCAACTTCCTTTTAATTGTTAATTTTTATATATATTTTCAATATTTAGATCTTATTTGTATTGTAGATTGGAGTGTCTAACATAGGATAGAAGAATTGAGAAATCCATGGTGTGGTCAGGAAAGTGCAAAGAAGCTCAAGACACGCATGTTCACATAGAAGATTCTTCAGACTCTGCGAAATTTCCCATTTCACTCATCATTAATTTTCTCGACCGACATGGACTTAAATAATTGACTTTGAAAAAGCCAATACATATAGAAAGGTAGCAAGCCAGAATTGACATGCACTATAATCTTCCCTTGTGTTGGCATGGTCCAATTCAATATTGAATTAATACGTTAATTCATCAACTGAAACACAATCCAATTATTGTATGATATATTTATAATACACACGACTGACTTTAGGAAATAATTTTCGTCAATTTTGTGAAATTAATTTATTGGTAAAATCTGCATCACTAGTCTCATGAATATTTACACACATTGCACCGCATTCGTAGTTCTTGGTATCTTATACAGTATTTTTTACGACTATTAATACTGGTGTTAATATCAATTTTAAATTTTGTATTATTAAGTACAATCTATTGCTAGATATTGGCGTACGAACTAGTTCTAGAAATCTTAGTAATAAAAGCAAACAGAAGTTGGGCAGAAAATGAAAATATCGTCACCTATTTAACTTATTTTTTGTCACCTGCCACGTTTCTTGATTTTTTTTTTTTTGCCAGCACACTTTTCTTGATCTTGAGGATATATCAATCATGCTGGCAAAAAATGCATGGACCATATGCAATGTTAAGGTTAAGAGATCACAAATGCCGGAGATTAATTTTAAGTAATGCATTATTATAAAGAAGTAAAATAAATTAAAGTGAAAAATTAATTATCAACGGGGGGAATCTTGGAAAGTTGAGGAGAGGTGCGTGAACACAAGGAAGGAAACAAAAAGAAGAAATAAGAATAGGGAGGGACTTTGATTTCAAATTAGTGGGCATTACTGCTCCCACACGTCAACACAAGAAAACAGAGACCAACTCCATCACTTCAACTTCCACCGACACTGATTAATTACACCTACCCAAAACCTTCCTTTACTTCTCTTTGATTTTCAACGCGCATGTCCGGTGCCAATATTTTTCACTTACTTCCCAGACATAATTAATTTGTTGCTTACTCACTTTGATTCTAGATATGAATTATTTTTTCAAACAAAATATGAATCACTTCTTATTATTTACATATATTAAAAATTCTTAATTTGTTAAACTACGTTATAATGGAATTGCAAAGACTTTACTTAACTTTAAGTAATAATACAAAAATTAAATAAAATTTGCCGCTTTAATTTAACAACAATTTTTGTTTGTTTTATCCTCGTTTGCAATAGAAGGGTTTAATCAACTGGGTATGTCATGAAATCTTTCTAAAATCTAACAAAATATTAATACTGTACAATTAAGTTGATGAACATGGTGATAGTGTTGGGGGGTGTAAATGATTGGCTGAGAGCAGTGAAGATGAAAGTGTTATGAGTGGGAGGAATTAAGTTTGTTATTCATAAACAAGAGCCACCGGAGAGAAGGGATTAGGCTAAGTGAGGTGTGGTGTTAGACATGAAGTTGGCCCACCTGTCATGATCATGAATGGGATGCGTTGTGCAGATATCGTTATCCCCAGTTGTGCCTTTCATGTTTGTGTGTGGTGGTTGCGTGTGAAATGGGTTTGTGAGGTCCAAAATTAATTAATTAAGCTTCTCAACTCAGCAAATGTGTTGGACTCTTCCTTCACTCACAATCTTCTCCACATGCTCCTCCCTCCATCATCATTTCATTCCCTCTCTCTATACATACTCATCCCAAATAAATAGATTCACCCCTTTTCTGTTCACTTATTCTCCTTGCCTAATCATCCATATTCCTTATTTAATCATTTCCTAAATTATACATGCTACATCGGGTCCTTAACGCAAGAATCAATTAAGAATTGTATCTGGTTCTAAATATAAAATTCACTTTATTTTTTAAATTTATAATTTATTTTTTAAAGTATTTCTATTGATTACACATGTCGAGGGGTTTTTATCGAATAAAAGTCATGATTAAAGAAATACTTTAGAAAAATCAATTCATATTTAATACAAATAGCTAAATTAACTAACTTTTTTAATATACTTAAATTAGTTAAGTAGTTCTTATATTAAATATCAGAGCTAATACTACATATATATTCCTATATATGTGCAATAACTTCTCATTTGCTTCCTTTGTGACTCCTTGAAATTGTTATGATCAGAATTGCACCTTCGTAGTCCCCTAATATAAGATCTTTTGTTTTAAACATTATTTCTTTTTCTAAACTTCCCTTGCTCTCTTAAACTGTGTGGCGAACATACTTGTAATCTTTCTTAATCTCTTTTTAATCTCGGAAAATATATTGATTGGTTCAAAGAGTATATTAGCGTGGTTGGGAAATCGAGACATAGCCAGTGAGATCCAATGAATTAGGGATTTTTTTTTTTGGGGACTGAAATGAATTAGGGATATCACGGAACATATCTCAACTAGGGCACAAATTCTCTCAAATGGGATGAATTAACTTATGGAGAAGCACAAACTTGATGATTCTGAATTACATCTTTCGTCAAGGGGAAGCATCGTTTTCTCTGAGAAGTGAGAACACAGTTCAATCAGACACTCTTATCAGTTTCTATCACTTGGGGTCATGGAAATCGATGTTTGCTTCTCTCCAAGGAGACCTCCATCTCTTTCCGCTACACTTGCATGCTCCTTCATATTAATTTCAAGCTTATAAATTATTATTATATTCCAGAAATTTGAAATAAACTTGTGATAGTTTTATTTTTATTTTTTCTACCTTCGTGGTAGCAGTTTTAAATTTATATATGTATTGATGATTGCGGTGATGTTTTTCTTTTTTTAAAAATTAAACGGCTTTAATGACTTTGGCTGCAATTATTTTTGCTTTACTTCAACATAAGAAAAAGCCGTATCGATTAAGTAAATCCCAAATAGAAAAAGCTCAAGAAAAGTACGTCTTTTAGTGCCTTTTCTGTTCTTTTTCGCCCTTTTATTATCAACGTTAGATGCATTATTGATTCCATATCTTTTATCTTAAACAATAAAATTAAATACTTTTGTGGCGCTTGATAGAGACTCGGCTCGATAAATCCAGCACTAAAAGAGAATTAAAAATGACTTCAAAAATTAATAAATTTTGAGCCAAAAAAAAAGAAGATAAATAATTAAAGCTTGTGAAGGAAAATGCTTATTTTCTATGTTGGAGTGTTGTGTGTTCTTTTAACTTTTAAGATTCTGATGTGCTTTTCACTATCAGCTGGAGATTTAGAGTACTACTTATGGTTTGGAAGCTTGACGAAAAAAATAATCAATTAGCTACGGAGGTTGTTGTCATAAGCCATATTATTTTCAGTATATACACATAATTCCTCAATATTGCAGGCGCATCATGTGCAATGATTATTATTCTTTGCCAACAACCCAACTAAATTTTCCTTCTATTATCACTTGCATTTAATTTAATATAGCCCAATCCAGGGCTTTGATCCATGTCCACCGGCGCCCTCCTCTTCAACCTTTGTTTCTTGATTTTCACCATTAATTAAATGCAGATAAATTAAACCAAAATCAGTACCGTATTAATTAATTAGAACCAAACACTTATTTATAGGTGGTGTCTGCAATTACAATAAGCTCTTGTTGGGGGGGGGGGGAACCAATTACAATAAGCTCTTGGACTATATTTAATAATTTATAATTTACAATATAATTGCTTCAGCAAAAACTTTAGTGAGTACTGAGCAAATCATAATTATATACATTAAGAGTGGTAAATAAATTTTGTTTGGATTGCAAACAAAACTAACTTCATATCACGTTCTTATTAAGGAAGTTCAGAGCAGAGATATCATCAATTGTAGTTATTATTAATTTTTGGCTTGTGGTTCTTATAATTAGGGTTAAAAACAGGATAATAATTAGAAGGATCAAAGCTTCAAAAGTCCATGTGAGACCAAGCTTGACTATAGTTGTTTAATTTCCGGCTCCAACACGGGCAGCAAAAGCATCTCTATTGGTAGCTACGACTTTGTTTTCAAAGCTTTTAATCACTCTCAGCCTCCTCCTCTTCCTATGGTTCATCGCTACACAAACCCTCCTCCCCTCGCCGTCTTCTTCTATCTCCAAAATTCACAGACCCACTTGAATTTTCTCTACGCCCACCTTCATAATTTTCCTTCCTCCCCAACATGTCCCACTTCGCTTCCTTGCTCTTCGTCCTCTCCATCACTACCCTCCTCAGTTTTCCGAGCACCATCAGATCCGACGAGCCATGCCCGTATCCATGTTACCCGCCTCCCATCGGTGGCACCACTCCGACAACTCCTTCCGTCACACCGGCACCGCCTCAGCCCGTCTCATCCTATCCACCCCCTTCTGGATATTACCCTTACGCCCCTCCGCCGCCCTACGGTGGTGACTTTAACGGCGGTTCCGGTATGACCCCGCCGCCTCCTGACCCGATTCTGCCTTACTTTCCGTTCTACTTCAGGAAGCCTCCTCACAAGACAGACGAGTCGTCGGAAGCACCCACTCTGCAGAGATGGACGGGGACGATGATCGCCACGACCTGCTTTTTGACTTTGACTTTTCTCCTCGTGTAATATAAATTTCAGTGAACAACTCGATGTATTTATTAAGCTGTAGTTTCGAAATGAGGGTTTCGAAATTTGCAGTAATTATTTGTAATTTGAATTTCTTTTTTCTCGTTCGATGAGACTTCTATGTTCTGTTGTGCGCGTAGTTATATGCAGGGGAAGGGGAAAACAGAGGAGATGAAGAGAAAGTGAAAATCGGGAAAGCTGGGGAGAAGAAGAAAGAAAACGCAGAAAATAATAAGAGATGATGAACCATCCTTCTATCTCGAGAATTTTCAATTACTACATGAAGGTTTCAACAAAATTTTGAGTTATTATATAAATATATGCATAATTCAGAAGGTTTCATAATATGAAGATTGTTGTTTTTTTATTGATAACCTGGTATTTAATTGTTACATGTGAGTGTAAAGTACAAAATAAGTTAACAGTGAGCAGGCAAAAATGAGAGATTATGGAGTGGGAGAAGGGAAGAATTCAGAGTGTTCCTTTCGTTTGGGGGTCATAATAAACTTACGAGTGTTCTGGCATTCTGGAACAGGTGGTTTCAAAACGAAGTATGGTGCGCAAGGCACGAAAGCGTCACAATTGGGAGAAATAGGGGTGTCAGAAATACTAAAACCCGTTATTTGACAAAATTAACACTCTCTTCTTTTGCGACTTAAAAGTTAATTAGAGATTCAATCTGGTGTTAGATATTACCTCTAATTTTAATTATAAAACTTTGTTTATAAACCACAAATGAGGTTCTAATTTATAAATAAAGTCTTATAATTAGGACTGGAAATAATATAAAATGTCAATTTTTTGGGACAAAATATATAAAACGCTAGTCTACCTTTTCAAATTTATCTATTCTGCCTTAATGAATTCCTATGATTATTACATGTATTAATAAGTTTCTATCAAGAAATAATTTAAATACATAATATTAACAAAAATATTTTAAAAAAATAATATTTATGTATTATAAATAACTAATTTTTTTTGTTATTGGTGAATTAGTAAGGAAGTAGTATATAATAAGTGGCAGGCACTAGAAATTTCAATGGAGGAAACGCAAGGACAGAACGATGTTGACGTAAGGAATGAAGATATGAGTGCGTGAGTGGGAGGGGAGAGAGTGAGAAAGGCAACAACTTGAGATATGGTGCTTGCTTGCTTCGCTAACTCCTCAAATGCTGTCACCACCTGCAAACCGTTTTTTCAACTAATTTCGACCTCCCTACTTCACCTCTTAATATCTTTTGAATTGATTAATAAGCCTGTTCAATAAATCTCACTTTCTTCTTCTCTATTTTCAACAACCTGTGTCACTAAAACGTAAATCTGATTGGATAATGAGAAGTAGAAGTACAGAGCGGGGCTCGTAGGAGAAGGGCATTACAGCTTGAGGCCCAACCCTTGTGAATGGGCTCGTTGTTGCTCCTGCAAAAGCATAAGATGGGCATTACCCCTCTTAACTCTCTCCTGTCCCCATTTTTCGTTTTCTTCTTCCTTTTTTTTTTTGCCAACCCTTCTCTTGTTTTTTATTTTAGTGAATGGACCACTGAGTATGGATCAATAGGCTCTTATCCAAGGAATTAGCCCACAACCCCATTTTTAATATACAGGACAGCCCAAAATGATTATCATCTCTTAAATGAGGCCCAACACAAAACCAGTCAGTAAATAATGGGCCTCCATAAAAGAACACAACTTACGCCTCCGTGCTTATTTCCCCCCCCCCCCAGTTTAAGTTACAATGTCAGATTCCGTGGTCCATATAAAAAACAAAAAATGGAGAACGCACGGCATATGAAAAACAAAACAAAAAAGGGGGAGAGGAAAATGAGGGAATGTGAAGAGAAGTGGGAAAAGAGGGGACCAAAGGAGGGAAGGAGAAGAGAATTGGGACTGTCGTCGTTGGAATGATGCGAGGCATGTCAGCTGCCATTTCGGTGCTCATTTAATTTCCTTATCATCACTCTACCTCTGCCCCCCACCCTTTTTGTCTCTTTCCCTTCTCTTTGTTCCCAAAAAAAAAAAAAAATTCCCCATCATTCCTTATTCACAGATCATTTTATTCATAAGAAAAAAAAATGGAGTGACATTTTTCTGCATATTTCTCTCTCTGTTGATAACGCAGAAAAGAGAGGAGATAAGTAGAAGGAAGATGTGCTAAAAGTCGAAGGTTGTGAAGGCAGCAGCCAGCAGAGCCTTGCCTTAAATGGTCCCGGGGCAGCCTCATGGACCACCCCCAACTGGCTCATGTCCGTGGTTCACCCTACAACGCACCATCACTCTGCTTTTATTATCTTTTGTTCCCACTCTCCCTCCTCTCCCACCTATCCCTTCACTTTCTTCTGCTCCATCGTCCTACAATCACAATCCCTCTTCTTTATTCATTTTAATCCGACTTTGTCTTCTTCTGATTTAAAGGGATGAAAGCTTGTTGCGTTACTCATCTGAATTACACTCCATATTCTTCTTCCATTCACCTGCATAAATTCTTTCCCAATCACATTCACTATAACTGCTGGCTAGTTGCCTGGTTCATCAAATTAAATGCTGAGAAGAGTTCTTTCAGCGTGTGTGCATATAATATCCATCGCTTTCTTAACTTTCATTACAGCCACTGAAATTAGAAGGCTTGCATTTTCTACCAGTGTGTGTATGTACATCTCCTGCAAGATAAGGCCACGCGCACGAGGGCTCAGCCATATATCCACGGGACTAGCCTTTCATTTTCAGGCATGCCCTCCTTATTAATTATTAATAGTATTATGTCTTCCCCTATTACTACCTCTCTCAGTCATTCCACTGTTCTTGTCCTTTTAAGCCCTCATCAATTTTTTTTTTTTTGGAGGCGTTATTGCAATCACCAGTTTTTCAAACTTGAATAGCTATTGAATGACAACGGGGGAAACTTTGGAACATGCTTGCTTGCTGACCTGTTTAGTCGGTTTGTAATTGTTTGTAGAAGCAAATTTCCATCTCCATTGCATTGTTTTTATAATTGAGTAAAACAAAAGGAGTTGCTTGAACGGTTAAACCCCATTAATTATATATGGCCAAATAGCCAATACAAAAGAGGTAATAATTAAGAACTTAATAATTTCATATGCTGGTGATGGTCAAGGACAAGACTTTTGATATAAATTTTTGGAAGTGTGTTAATGATATCTGGTCTCCGAATTGTTTCCAGTGTCAGATATATCTGATTGATGATCCATTTTCTGCCTGTCAGACGCAACAAGGAAAGTAGTTTATGACAGTTTCTGAAACTGTAAATAATACAAGCCAGCCTTGTTGTACTCTGTACATATCAATCAGATGCCATATATGAGTTGTGGGGGATATATAACTTTCTTTCTCTTTTGCAGAATTCTGACAGTCATCTCTCTCTCTCTCTCTCACTTGGGAGGGGAAGGCCAGGTAATGAAAGAGATCCAGAAACTGAGAATAAAATGGTAGGACCCTAGTGATGGTGGTTGATGTTCAAGTGAGGGGTCCATATATATGAAATAAAAGTGGCATTCAAAACCTAATAGATCAGATTCATTCAAAGCCTAGTACTGCAACTACAGGCTGTGATCAGTTTTTGCTTTAACTTCATTCTCATCATCTCTACCTCTTTGACCCTACCTTAGTTGGAATTCAATTCCTCTCTCTTTCCTTCCAAGTCTGCAATAATGAATCAATGCAGATACACACCACACCATGTTTGGTTTCCATCACATGAAGCCTGTATGGGCAACCACATGAGCATGGGCCCCATTTTATCCTCCATGATATGGCTTTAATTTCCTTGTCTAAATAATACCTATCAGGTCATATTCTTAAATCATAGCTAGATAAGTTCGCCACATTCATTTGACGAATTCAAATTCAAATTGTGTATATTTCACGGTTGAAATACTTCTCAGAATAATTCATCCGTAAACTTGCTCTGTGTGTGTGTGTGTGTGTGTGTATGAGCTAATCTATAATTGTCTGTGTCAAAGGGATGACACAAAAGATTAAAACTTGGCCCATGCCTAGGTTTTGTGTGGGAGCACATAGATTTGCAGTTAATATCCATGTCTAAAGTCCACATATATGTAGAACCGACAATGAAGTTCTAATCGAAAACCTGGACCTCTCTAGCTAGCTATTTTGGATGGAACTTTAATTCCGTCTAACACAAAACCCTCATCTTTATATATGAAAAGCAGTTCAAGGATATCATGGATAAGAATATTTGGAAAGACATAAAAGAAAAGCAGTATACATAAATAAAGCGCGGATTAAAAAGGATTATATATCATCCTCTTCAACTCCATTTTTGTTCGCCACACATATCTCCACTGGTGATTGATGAAAGGAAGTTCACCATCACAGAAATTCATGATCACACACACACACACACACACACACACATGACAACAGAATGGCTGTTCTCCACTCATATATACTTTTTTCTCAGAAAAAACAGAATTAACACTGCCATCTATCCAGCGGAAAAGTATTTATATATATATAATCCAATCAATTAAAAGCAACTCAAATAATGAATGAATGAATGAATAGTATTAGGTAGATGTATGGGGAAACAGTTTACATAATATCAGTAACGTGAGTCCAAAAGGCCGAGGATGATGCAGGCAAACTAAACGAGGGACAACGAGAGAGACGCGAGATGTGTCTTTTGGAAGGTTGCTGAGAAAATCAATGTAGCGAGAATATGTGAGTGTGTGCATATATATATATATATATATATATATATATAGTGAAGTTAATACGAAGAAGATTATGATTACAAGTAGACAAAGAGATAGGGACATAATAAATACTACACACACACACACACACTACATATTGTTTGGTGTTTAATTCTCTGCTGTTTTTGAAACCAGAAGAACACTGAGAAATGAGAGAATATATATTATTTGAGATGGCTTTGGCATGCACGGAAATGGACGACACACAAGCTGTGGTTGAAGAGATAATGACTCGGTTCGTGATGCCATTTGATGATTGGAGGATCACGTACTTTGTTCAAACAGTATCATACTCTGATAAATCACCATCCATCCATCCTTCCTTCTTCATTATTACATATAGACCTTATATTACCACCTTTCATTTCATTGCCCATCACCATTATATTGGTACTCGATTAGATATTGGTACTTAATTAGGGTCCTTATGATACATCAATTTTTGGACTCAATCGGGTAAGGACAAGTAAGTTAAAGAAGATTAATTAGGTAAAAGAAACTAAAAAAGTACGTCTTGCATGAGTATGTAGCCATCACACTGCTTTTTCTTAGTTTGGCGTGTACGTATGATCAGAAAATGAAGATAAGCCCTCCACAAATTATGGATGCTGTTGTGACTTGACCAGCAACTGCGAACAAAAAAATTGCAATCAATCTAATGCAAAATTTCAGTACGAGGCGAGATGAGATATACATATACTAGGGCTTTCTTCATTAAAAAAAGAACAGTACCAATCTCTGATGCTTAATATAAGAGTTGGATAGGTAATTTATAAATATTAAGAAAATTAGTTAAGCATGTTATTTGTAACAAATTAAATGTGTGTTGGCTTTTCTAATATATCATTTTTAACTACATGTATTTGAACTAGGGCTTGGTGGAAATCCTCTTGATATGTATGATCAGTAAGAATATTTTGAGAAAAAATTTATAAATTTAGGAGATAAAATAAACTGAAATATTATGTTGAGGACCAAATTAAACATTAAAATAACTCTTTTATTAAGAATAAAATGCAGTAATTAATACGGAGACCATGTTCAAAATAGTTGTTTAGTTAGATGTCAACTTCAAATTCATATAATTAATAATGAACGAGTGAATGAATGAGCGGATGAGCTTAGAGCCAAACCCAAAACTTAAGGCTAACCAACCAAACCTGACCCGTGGATTGTTGGTGTGTGATTAGTACAGGGCAGTGGGTCAGGACTCAGGAATTGTGTGTATAACAAATAGTAAATAGAAGAGATACACACACACACATTTATATAGGCACGCGTGAGAATAATAGACTAATTTAAGGATTGAAGTAATGAGAGGGAGCTAATTAATCGCTATAATTAAGAAATGAGATTAGGAGGGGGGAGTCACTTTCAGAAAATTGCAAAATACTGGTGAGGCATATGTGCGGTGGGGTCCAGCAAAGGCCAAGATTTAAGGGGAAAGCAATTTCTTATCCAAAATCAAAGGCACAATCACACGTGAGCTTCAACCAACTTTGCCCCGATTGCCTACCCTCCCCCCCCCCAAAAGAAAATAATCATGTTTATGGTAGCTACTGCTATTAGTTAATATAAAAGTTAGATAATTAATCTGTAAATTTTTCAAAAAATTTGTTAATTATTTTTTTAAAAAAATGTGTTTGATTTTTCCATTTGTATTATTGAAACTGTTTTTTTTAAAATAAAAACTTTTGTAACACGTGCAATCAGTTGGAAAAATAGCTCATAAATATGAAAACACAAAGGGAATTAAGATTTGATATTTATAATAAAATCTCTTATATTTTAGGTTGGATTAAATAAATAATGGTAGAGTTGGATAGGGGTGAGAGTGAGGAGTGAGGAGAGAGGAGGGAAATGGGTTTGGGTGACAGCAACATCGCTTTCGCTGCCAATTGATGCATGCATGTTGGTTTTTGCGTGATTTAGTGGTCTCTGTCTCTCTGTTTTTTTTTTTATAAAAGAAATTAGTATTGTGTGTGTGTGTGTAGAGGTGACATAGCCTCTGTGTTTTATAGTATATATATAAGCCCATTTTGCCATTTTCATAAGCTCCAACGCAATTCCCCCCAAACCCTCCTTACCTCACACTTGCTTCCCTTCTATTTGCTCCTCATCATTCCTTCATTTTTTTTTTAACCAGAGCATTCCTCCATTTCAGTCATCATAATATATACTAGTAATTGAAAAAAAAAAACCTCATACATGTTAAATTAAGTTTCAAACACATATATGCTTCTATTTCTTTCATCAATACAATTTTATTACTGCCACGTTTTCTCTAATTAGCAGTCTCTAGTAATTATTACCTTGGAGCTCCTGTCTTTAATAGAATAGATAGTTTACATTTAATTTGGTCATAAATATAATATCCTAATTCATTTTGTCTCTCGTATTCATCTATTTTTTTTCAAAGTAATTCTTATAGAAGTTATACATAGTAAAGGTTCCATCAAATGGTAGTTTTAGCTAATATATATGATTAGTAAAGATATTTTAAGTAAAATAACACATAATTATTACAAATAAATAATTTAACAAATTTTCTCAATTAATTTAAGTTAATCAATTAGCTCTTATATTAAGAGTTCGTGACAGTATTATCATAATGATGAAGTGAAAAGGGTATGCGTTTGAATTTGTGGATAGAGTGATATAATATAATCACAGATAAAACAAGCTAACGGAGCATTTCAAAGCGATAAGTTGCTGTGCGTGTGTTCCCTGTCACTGCTACAATGTTGCTCTACTCAGATCTTCGGACCTGTCAAATTGTGTGCATTTTTGTGATCACAAGAACTTATGTTAGCCAATGTGCCCCGTGAGATCTTCCTCCCTACAATTCATACTGATTTTATTCATTATTATATGTCTCCCCTTCTTGAAACTGATGCAGCTTCATATCAGTTCCCCAGCATTGGTTCAACTATATATATAAAGAGAGTAAATATTCCCAAATAAAAAAGCCAGGAGAGAGGAAAACTAAAAATAACTGAAATCCAACGACTCCGAACGGCAAGTCCCCAAATTCTGTTTCTTATTTTGTGGCACTGTTAAGTTGTTGAACAAATTAGAGAGTATGTGTAGTTGCTTTAAGTAAATCAAGTGATAAAAAGCAGAGATTACTCGTCTTTTAATTCCAGAATTCTAATTACCCTGTTGGTTTTCCTCCGATCTAATTATTCCTTCGTCAACAAAGCCACAATGTTAGTTCTTTTACCACGCTTTATGATCTGATCAGTGATAATCTCAATCATAAGCAATCTCACCCACACTCTACTTTTTGGTAGGCTCTGTTTTCGGTTGATACCAACTAGATTCCTATACCCTCTTCTATTTTTTTTTTTTTGGTTGGTATGCCCTTGTTATTATGACCAGATGAGGCTAACCCTTCATTTGAGAAGACGAGATTAATTGAATGGAATGCATCCAAGATGAGAGTATTGAGGAGGCATCGTTTTCTTGGTTAGGAAAAGGAGTTCATGAGCCTGACGCTTCTTCCATAAAGTGGGTCGCTGGTTAGGGTTGTGGGCGCATCAGGCATGGCCTAAAAAAGAGCAGGGTTTGTGACCTTTTTGACTCTGCCCTGCCCTCTTTTCTTTCTCTCAACTTAACTTCACAGCAAAAGGTTGGCCTAAAAGGAAAAGTACAATTATCCCCCACTCACTTGAAACAACCATGTGTGCATTATAAAGTTCATCTCTCCATTTCCTTCTCTCTTCGTTTCTCTTTTGATCAGAAATATTTAGGGAAGGACAATCATGTGACGTGTCTTTGTCCTAATGAAAACATCCATCCCCAACTTTTATTATGTTATACAAAGTTGAATGAATTATTGATTTCTCAGCCCTGATCAACTCTTTTTTAATGGGATTAGAGTTTGATAATTATTTAATAGTATTCTTCAATAAGCACACGATAAGTGGAAAAGAATAGTTCAGAGATCTTAACTATGTGACAACTTTTCTCTTGAAAAAATTTAGATACGTGATTTAGTTTCCACCTGTTTAGATTGTGCAAGGATATTATTAAAATAATTGAATATAAAGTGATGCATGAAAGACATTATCTTCCTTTTATTACCTAAAATGAATCCCTTTGAATAAAACTCGAATGGCTTTGACGGGAAGGGAAAGACGACAACAGAAAATAATTGGAGGACCAGTGAACAATCAAAGGCAAACGCATTTCATCTTCAAAAAAAAAAAAAAAAAGGAAGATTAACCAAACAAAAGGTGAGAAAGAAAAAAGCAAGCCTTCTCCCCCTATTCTAACGTCCATTTCTTCCCACCTAATTATTAAAATCAACTCTGTCACTTGAAGACCAAACCAAACTCTCTTTTTTAACTTCTCTTCTTAATATAAAATTTACAAATACAAATAACGATGGAACTACTTCTAGAAATCATTGACTCTGCTTGTGCTAGCTTTCCCCTGTTTTCCTCTGTTGTTGTCTCCCATATTGTGATCTTGTTCCTCCAGTTCCTTCCCCTGAGGTCTCTGAAAAATCACATCACTTTGGAAGGGCATCCGAATCATGAGGATTTGGGCTAATCAGTCAAACTTTTTCTTAAACCCCCCAAAATTTGTGGAGAATCGAAATGATCTCCTCTGTTTTAAGAATACTGCCACTTTTTAAAATAATTTCCCATCCTCCCTGCCCGGGAAATCCTCCTCCCTGTTAGTAATAGCATATTTTGCACCAGTGGCTTCAACGGTGCAAGCATGCATTGTAACTTCCAAAATTTAACAAATATTTTAAATTGCTATTCACTTTGTCCCTGTTTTGCAGCTTACAAGCCAAGGAGTATGTAGTAAACCAGCGTAATTGGCAGGGCTATCAACATCCCAAAAATAACCCTGCAAGTAATAGCCAGAGACAAATAAGAAAGAGGGAATATATAAGTCTCCCAGATGCAAAGTTCTATATAAGAAACTGTGGACGACATGTTAATAAATTGTACACAAACATGTCTTTGATATTTTTACATAACGATTCATAATTACTTTCACTTTATAGTTTGTCTAGTAAATTTTCATTAACCCGATCTTGACTTTTTCAAGAGAGAAAAATAAGGACATCGAGTGGCTTACGCTGTGCTCAGAATGGCAGGGTGAACATTGTACTCCTTGGCAAACACAAATGGAACAATCCCTTGTGGAAGTGCTGCCTGTTGTTCAACGATTGCCTTTCATGAGTTAACTACGAAACTACCTATTGAGCTCTTTGCGTCGCGAGGCAAACAAGACAAAGAATTAGCTACCTGAACGATTGCGATGTGTAAGAGGGTGCCACGGAGGCCGACTGCGATGGAAGCGGCGGCCATGACGGCGGGGCCAGCGAGGAACCGAATAGCCATGGCAAATGTTGCAACCGAGTTCCCGCATGCAATGATCTTAGGTTGAAGTGCCATAAACAGACCTGCCAATCATTCATTTTTAACTAACAATTATAAAAAATAAAATAAATTGACCATCACCCTCGAAACGAAAACCCGCTGTTTTTGGACCACAAAGCGACGTAGTTCAAGAACAGGCCCCACATGTCGGGAACGTCTTGGGCTGGTTATCCAATCCCCGTTGTGGTCAAGTAAAACCAGATCAACATTCAAATCTTCTGGTTCATGTTATTCAAGCATTTCTTTTTCAAAGAAACATTGATAAAATTTTGACATAATTTCTTTCGAAATCAGTATTGATGATTGAAATTGTTGCCACAACGTTTTACTTTCTTGATTTGTGAGAAAAACAGAGATGGGCATGAGAGCTGAAGGCACAGGAAAAAAATGGGGCTTATACATGGAAGAGGAAATTAATGAGTCGTGATTTGTGAACAAGAGAAGCAAATAATTGAGCAGAGCAGGAATTTGGAGATGTGGTAGTGACCCCTCACCTAAGCTGAACATGGCCATTCCGAGCCCAGCATCTGATAAGATGGAGATTGATTTCTCTATTATTTTCGGCATATGCACATTCCACCTACATTTTCATCAAATCATCAATCATAACTATCTTCATAATTAGTGTTACTATATTTATCTATTTCACTTTTAGGTTGTTGATTTTTTGCGGTACGCTTTTCGAGGAACATTTGATTGACTATGACTGGATAATTTGAGTGATTATCATTAATTAAATTTTTAAAATGTAATTTACCTGAAGGCAATGAGGGACCAGATTAGTCCAATGAGGCTAGAGTATGTGTTGGGATTACGGATGAGCTTCCTCCACACCATTATCAGTATCAGACGGGTCATCACACTCGCCGGAGGCATTTGTTTCCCGACTCCGGAATCAGCATTTCCGGCGGCTTTTGGATGGAGCTCTGCCGTAGAACTCGAACCCAGCTTGTTCAGCCCAGTGGGTCCCTCCTTTTGATCTCTCTCTTCCTGATCTGTTGGTACTTCTTTCGCTGGAAACCTGAACTCATCCCCGCCAAGCTCCGGTTCTGGCATAGCTTCATTTTTTTCCCCAGTAAACACAGAATTAGTAAATCTCGTCAGAATACGTTTAACAGAATTTTTTTCAACGAAAATTCTTTGTGTGAGATACCTTTGTTGGTTTCCCCATTTGGAGGGTGATCATCAGCTACAATCATCCGGATCTCTTTGGCACCCTGATCGGACCGTCCAGATTGCTCCGACCCTGCGAAGTCGGTGCCGCCAAACACTTGCAGGCCGCCGCCTTCTGAAACCGGGGATGCGCTTGAGCTCCACACGAACATGTGGAGTTCCTTGGCGTCATGGCTAGCTTTCCCTTGAGTCTGAGTTGTAATTGCGACTGTTGGGAATGTTGTTGAGGATGTTGCTGCTGCTGCTGGTTTTGGTTTCTCACACTCTTGCTCAAGGTTGATGAGAATTCTGGATTCGGAGCTGGATATGACACCGGCGCCGGCGCCGTCTGTGCAGGGTAGAATCCGAATCTCGGAGAACTGACGGTTTGAACCGTTGGAGGAGGAGCACAGTTCTCTTCGAAATTAGATGGTCTAGGCGTCGGGCCCCGCGACGACTGGACAGAGTACAAATCCGCAGGGCCAAAGTTCGAATGCCTCGGGAACCCCATCATGGAGTAGAAATCGGCGTGGTTGAAATTCGAACCCCGGGGTGTTGGATTCCGGGAGGAGCTCAGGCTGTAAATCTCGGCGCCGGTGAGGTTTGACGGTCGGGGAGTCATCGCAAACGATCGCCTCGACGCGTTGGACTTCCTAACCGTCACGTGGAGCTTCCCATCGCCCCCAACCTCCGCATCCGTCTCCAGAAAGTCCCGACCATCGAGTGAGACGACGTCTGAATCAACCTTAAACGACACAATCGACGCTGCCGTCTCCGGGAACTGCTCCATGATCAGCAACTTGGCTCCACGGTACTCGAAGAGAAACAGCAACAGCGTGTACCAAATAATACACTGCAACACTACTATCTGAACCATGAGACTACCTGAGTCATACTGACTACCGCCGTACATAGCGATGAGCAGAGGAATCCCCATGACAAGAGTGTTGGGCAATGTCGAGAGAGAGAAAATGGTGATCATCCATTCGAGGCTTCCGTTCTTGGTGAAGTTGGTCCATATTGCGAGGGCAAAGAGCATGATGATCTTCTGAAGGGTGTCGGCGGCGATGAAGCGTAAGTTCATGGCGTAAGGGTTGTTGGTAGATATGAAGTGGAAGGAGAGGAGAGGAACGGCGAAGATGGCGACGAAGCGGTTTATGCCGGAGCACTGGTCCGGCGAGAATATCTTCCACCACCGGACGGAACCATACGCTAAAATCATGGCCACGTACAGAGGAACCACCGCCGACATGACGGTGTAAAAATCCTTCCAGGTAATCATTTTTTCTTAACAACTACGGACAACAAAGATCTGAGTGTGACACTGTGAGAGAGCAATCAAAGCTTTGGCTGGCTTCGAAACTGAGGGGAAAAGCAAAATGGCATGAAAGGAGAAATAGAGAAGAGAAGTAAGGGTAAAATGGGGAATGAAAAAATAAAACCGTTAGATAACTAACTAGAAGGAAAGGGATTTATGTCGCTGCAAAATTTTGGTTAGTCCACTGCTATGTGTGCCTCTGATTCTGCTGCTGATGAAGCTTTTAGAGAGAGAAGTGTCAGAGAGTGTGTTTGCGTGTGTGTTTTGGGGGGGGGGGGGAGGAAGGTAGTGAATTTACAATGGTTTAACTTGCACTGAGTATAATCCCGTATATATATAGGCCTCGAGAAAGAGGGTTGAGGGTTTATTTTAATTAATTAATTTATTGCATGGGAGCATGAAATATTTCAATTATTTCTGAAAATAAAATACAAGTGTGAGTATTATTTTGAGGCGAGTTTGGGGGATTGTACTTGCTGGGGACCAGCGAGAGCCGAGAAGCTTGGACTTGGGTTAGGCAATGACCGCCTGATATGGTTAAGTTAACCCAACACGGGTAAAGGACGAATGGGTTTTCTCTCACTCTCAGTGAGGTGACGTGGACATCCTTGTCGCTTTCCTTTTGCATTGTGAAATTCTTTTCTCGTGTCAAAGTTGGAAAATTGGAGAATTAACTCCCAGATTTGTGGTGGGTTAGAACGGCGAGACCTCAGCTTTCTAAGAATTACTGTGCAAAATCCCCGCTATTCCTTTTTCATTACCAAATACTCGTAAATACAAACAGGCATGAAGCTAATTACTGAGTACTGAACATTATGAGCATAACAAGGCTATTAACTTGCTTGGGACACATGCATATTACAGCCGGAGGTGCAAGATTGTGCGTGAGATCTATTAATTATAGTAATTTATTTTATGTAGCTGGATATAGATCAGATACATGTACTACCTTCAATTCTAATTATAAAATGTCATCTGTATATTACAAATGAGATTTTATAATTAGAACATATACAAATGAACTTTTATAATTAAGACTAGAGATAGTATTAATTAAAATAGAACCTTGAATTTAATTGACTTTACATAAAAGAGAGAAGAAAGGAAGAATTATGCATGCATGGTTATATATACTACTACCTCCGATCCTTATTATAAGATCCTGTTTGATTTTTATTTTGATCCTAAATATAAGACCCTAATCTACTTTGTTTCTCATATTTATACACTTTTTTCCATGATAATCCTTCTAATACTAATAGTTATAGCTAACAAACTTGACTAGTAAGGATATTTTAGAAAAAACAATATCTATTCATTACAAATAATTAACTTAACTAAGTTTTTTAATTTCTCCAAATTAGTCAACTGGGTCTTATAATTAGGACCGGAAGTAGTATTAACTTGGGAGGAGTCTGATTAATTTTTTTTAATAAGCTTATTGAATATGAAATTACGGAGTAGCAGATGCAGTCAGAAACTGAATTTGAATGTGTTTACATGAAATGGGGTTATTTGTTGTTGGTTAGAACAGTAAGGCCTGGCTCGCACTAGTGTTTGGGACACAGTATAAAGACATATGGGAAAAGCGAGACCATCCAAGGAACGTGAGAGAGAATCTCGTTTGGTTGGAAGCACGGAGTGATATATACTCTTCCGGTCCTAAATATAAAACCATTACACTAGTATGTATAATGATCTTATATTTAGAATCAGAAGAGTAATTAAGAAAGACGGAGCTTACGTCCTTTTAATTAATTGCTTATTTGTCTCTTAGTCCAGACATTGACCAGTCACGTATATAGTGTCAGGGTCGAAAATTAAACCCCTTGCTGGCACTTAATCATATATATTTGATATCTTTGGAGTGGAAATTAAAGGCAATATAATGGCATGTAATCTTAATGATATTGATAAATATATCTTATGTTTTAAAAAAAAAAAGTTACCAATCAATCGATTATTATTTCATAGCAAGCATAATTGGAAAGGCGGCCAATAGTTACATAATTTTTCATTATGTAGGTACTCCATGTATCCAGATGCATGAATTAGACCAAATATGTTCCGAAATGAGTTGACTTTACATAAAACTTTAAAAAACAAAAGAGAGAATCTATAAGCCAGCCAGCAGTGCTATTTGGGCGGGGAGAGCCTAACCTTCTCCCCTACCGTACCCCCTTAATAAGCTTATTGGATACTACTTCCCGTCCTAATTATAAGAGTTAGTTGATTAATTTGAGGAGATTAAGGAAATAAGTTAAGCTAGTTATTCGTAACAACTAGGTGTTGTTTTTTTTTAAAATATCCTTACTAATCAAATGTATTGGTTAGAACTATCATTATTAGAAGGATTACTTTAAAAAAAATATATAAATATGAGAGACAAAGTGGATTGAGGTTTTATGTTTAAAATCAAAATAAAAGTCAAACAAGATTTTATATTAAGAACCGGAAGTAGTACCATAATTCCATGACTTTCCAAACTTTTTTTTTAGGAATAAATAGCACATATATAGATTCAGAAATAATACAGTTGAAATCTAGAAATATATTTAAATTAAGAAACTGAAATTGGTTTTCAATGTACTCCTCCGGTCCTTAATATAAGACCCATTTACCTAATTTGATTAGATTAAGGAAGTTAGGTAAGTTAGTTAATTATAAGAAATATGACACGTTTTTCCTAAAATACCATAATCATATTTCTTAATACCTCATCTTTCTCTTCTACTTGATTATGGTTGAAAGGGTATCCATAGGGGTAATTTAGAGATAATTGATAAATATGAGAAATGGGTCTTATATTTAGGACCAAAACTAACTCACCAATTGGGTCTTATATTAAGGACCGGAGGAGTAGTTGCTGTTGGAGGTGCATGGTGAAAACAGTGCATATATGGTCGTGGGAGGGACCCCACTGTTCGGGACACAGTATATATAAGAGTTGGAAAAGTGAGAGCATCCAAAGAAGGTACGTGATGGGGAAATCATAGGGTTTGGATGGGAGCTAGATGAGAATTAATAAGGAGATGAAGCAGTAAGGATACTACAATCTGATACTCCTCCGATCCTTAATATATGACCTAATTGTTAAGTTAATTGTGGTCTCAGATATAAGATCTATTTCTTATATTTATCAGTTTTTCTTAAATTACCCATATGGATATTCCCTCAATCATAATCAAGTAAATAAGAGAGAAATGATATTAAGAACGATGGTTGTGGTATTTTAGGAAAACATGTCATATTTCTTATAATTAACTAATTTACCTAACTTTTTTAATCTAATCAAATTAATTAAATAGGTCTTGTATTAAGGACAAGAGGGTTACATACACACACACATGAAAGATAAAGATTGTGCCGTGTATTAAGCGGACAGGGGCCACTCTCATTTAATTAAAGTGCTTATCAAATTGCTGAACCAGTGGCCACTGAGGAAGAAGATGTAAAGTTGGGTGTAGAGGATGGGCACGTGTGCATGGCCATGGCATGGTCCCGCGGGGGGGCCGCCAAGAGGATGTGCATCTATGCGAATGAGTGAGCCAATCCCTCCAGTCACTCTCATGCACGTCTCCTTCTCCGTTTACTTCAACACTCTCTTCCTTCCTTCTCTATTTATTTGTCCAACAGCACTACACTATTGTAATGCTTCTTCTTCTCCCAATCTCCCCCCTTTCCTTCCTCTCCATCATATCAAATCTCCCACTTAATTACCTTTCCTCATTCCCTTCTCTTCATCCAACTCCACATATGTCCGTCGCCAACAGAATAATTCTCATTTCCCTGTATCAAATGAAACCATCCATTATTCTTTTTAATTTAAATGGATGGGCACTAATGACGTGAAATTACAAGCGCATGACTTTCATTAACAGAGGAGTTTTCATGCTACTAGATCATATGGCCATTGGCAGCCATACATTATTTCAACATGGTATGCGTGGTGTGGGACAAGTTTCGAAATTCAGCAAACAATAAGGCGGGTGTAATTAATTAGGGAAGAGGGACTGAAACAAGACAAAATGGTGCCCGTGTACATATATAAGATTAGAATACAAGATATTTAAAACAACTTTCATTTCGTACAGCATATAATTAAGTGGATCGGGCTTTAATGACTAGTTCCTTTTCTTGTAAACTCACCATTCCCCCCGCCCTGGCTGTACAATATGGTAAAAGAACGTCCTAATTTTTGGCTTGCTATAATAAATATGAAAGACGTCAAAAAAAAAACTATGTATAATTTTGACAGGATTACAAGAATAACTAATTACTAGAATAATTAATATGACCCATGTATCTTTTTAAAATTTAACAAGTATTTTTTTGTCAATACCCAACCTCTCGATTAACTAAAGTGTGTTCGTAAGTGGATAAGGATTGTTTATTCCTTGAACTCCCAAAATGGGCTGAGTCTCCTTTTTTATTAGGACCTGGGTCGACATTAAGTGGCCCAGCTCTTCCATATTCTCATCCTTAATCTTTTTCAGGCCACGATTCTCATCCTTAATTACCAGCAACAATAACATAATTAAGTTAAAATGAACTTTCAAAAAGAGACGGATTCAACCTTTTCTCAACCTGAAGTTGAGTGTTCACAATTAACTGTGTGTTTATAACCCGGAATCTCAATGCAGTGCCTATGATATGTTTTAGGAAAGCCACTGTGTAAACCCTGAAAGTCACACTGTACGTATAAAACTAGAGCCATTAATCTGCAGCCCTATGCACAGAAACACAGTATTAATTAACTTCGCTTTTGGCTGTGGATCTTTATAGGATTTTACCTTGTTCCTAAATGACGAGCTCATCACCATATATTCCAACCATTTTTTTGCATTGTATTGATCATACATACGTACTTCCTCTGGTTCTTATGAATGTAAGAGCCAGAGGTAGTTGGTGTGTTCGATTTGATCCTCAATATAAGCTGATAATTTTATTTCCAAAATCAATTATCTAGCTCTTAAGGACCGGAGGTAGTATTATGAATGGTTTTTAAGAAATTTTGAGATTAATCACGTGAAGCAACATTTAGATCGTATGGCTTACAGAGATCGTGGTTCATTCTCAGTCCTTTTCCGTCCTCGTGAACATAGCCAATCCCCTTCTATAACTTTCGAACTCATTCTTCATGGAAAAGGGAAGGGAGCGATTTCCCAAAAAGAAAAGAAAGAAAAGAACAGCAAAGGCCATGTTCCAAAGTCTCATAATAATCCGTCTATCTACCGATCTTTCTTTCCGGAGCTGTGGGGATCGAAACTGGAGACATATTCAGTTGGGAGGGATAGACATGTTTGGACTATGTTTGGACACGAATTTAGGTTGGGAAGGAAAGCTTTTTAGTGACATAATAATAAATACATGTGTGTGTGTTTATGTTGTTGTTGTTGTTGTATGAGACTGGTACACAATGGGAGAGATATGAATGGCCATTGATTGGGAATAAAGCTCATGACGGTATGAGGCCCATGTGACGTTGTTCATCCGCCTTTAACTGAATTTATTCTCCTTGTCCGCTGCAAGGGCTCCTCTACTTTCTTACCTCCTCTTTTATCTTCTTTTCTACCTCTTCCTTCAAACTAAATCACAAATGAAAAGAACAGAAGACTAAAAAAAAAACTTGACAGAAAACAGCAGAGACAATTTAACATGAAGAAGTGCTCGTTTAGATTAACTGGTTGTGAAAAATTAGGATAGATATGTGAGAAGAGCTTTGTGAAATTATGCTAGAATAATAGAAATAGAAGGGGAACAGTAGAGTGGAAGTTAGGGCCACAAATTAATTAGGTTAAAGTGTGGGGCTGTACATATGGGAGTGCATAGAGCATTATTCGTTTGGCACTTATTCAATTATCATTGCTGAACTACCCGCACGCCTTCCCCATGTGCCTCACTCTCCAAGCACACCCTTTTATAACCAGGCGCTTCTTTCTTGCTTATCATCATGTTCCCCTTTCTTTTATGATATCATTAATAATTGTTAGAATACCAGCGAATGCCTACACTTTAATTTTTCACACATTACTTCCAAGTATTATGAGTTATGGCTTATGGTGATAAGATAAGAGAATCTTTTTTTTTTTTTAAAAAAAAAAAAGTTAAAAGGATGAGTACTACCAGTTTGAGAATACAAATGGAATTGCTCTCTCAATTTGTTATTTATAAGAAAATTTTCATGTTTCTATTCGTAAAGAAGCACGCAAGGGAGCTTGAACATTTGTTGACCAAATGTAATCACGCCTTGATAAATGTTTTTTTTTTTGGGGGGAAACAAAAGAGGGAAGAAGGGGGAAAAAAAGGGGGATGCGTGTTTATAGAGAAGCAATAATAAGGAAGAAAGTGACCCCCCAAAGTGAAGGGGAGGATGATCATTGTCCGGGACAGGATCGAGGTGTGTTTGGTTGGTCTTTGTGTATCGGGGAACCTCTCACTTGGCTATGTGCCTCCTTTGTTTCCCATATCATCCTCGATTCCCATTTCAATCATCTACCAAATCACTGGGCCACCACAGTTTTTGCCTTTTTGCTTCAGCAAACTGATTCTGAGCTTCCATTCCTTGTGGGCCGCTCCTTCTCAAGAATATGACTATTCCTGCTCGGGAACTGGGCCATGTGGCCCAAAGTCTTTTTGGGTCCTTCATTGTTTGGGCTGTCTCTCTTCTCATTTTCTTTTAGGCTCTGTTTGGATAGCACCCCAACCATGGTTTGGGGAAAATGCTACCCAACAGCCTCTCCAAAACCAAAACCATGGTTTTGGGTCAAAACCATGGTTTTGGAAAAAGCAAAATTTTTTTGCTTTTGGAGAAAAAGGGAGAGTGTGAGGGCCTATATGATATGTATCTTGTTATTTTTTTTATAAACATATTTTTTTATAAAATATATTTAATATTATATTTTATAAATATATATAGACATTAATTATTTATTAATTATATTATCTTATGTATTATTAATTATGTTGGTAAAAACATATTATTAACAATTTTATTTCTTCAAATTAAAATATATCATAAAATCTATTTTTTCTGTAATTATCATATTAACTTATGTCTTTTTTTTAGTAATTTGTATATATAAAAAGTGCTTCTGATAACAACTATCCAAACACTCTCACTTCTCAGAATCACTTTTTTACAAAATCTATTCTTCACAGAATCTATTTTTTCCAGAATCTATTCTCCAGAATCACTTTTCCAAACCACGGTTTGGTTTCATCCAAACACACCCTTAATTTCGTTATTTTTCAATCTTCAACACGCAATTTTCTTTCTTTCTTTTTGCAAATATAATAAAATTCAAGTTAGATCCCCCCCCCCCAAAAAAAGATTTCACACCATTATCTCTTAGTACCCACAGAGTGAATTAATGTTGATTTGTTTTCGGGTCAGCCAAGATAGTTTTCTTATTAATAATGTGAAATTAAACAGCATGCGAATCTCATGTTACTAATACACATACGTAAAAACTTCCCCGGGCCCCGGCTAAAGCTACTCTCCCATATCCAAAATTTCCTTACCGTTTGCTGGATGGATAAAATTAATAAAATAAAATATGAGAGTGTGAGCGGAGGGGGGAGAGGAATCCTGTATAATTTTTTTGTTGTTGTTTAGAATATTCTTCCACCCGAACGGTAAGAGACTAATCTCTTGAGAAATTGTCAGGTGTCGTAACAGGGACCGCTCCCAACAATATTTTTTTTTCATATACACTGTTTTAAGAATCGAACCCAGAATATGATATTTAAGTTGTTCAAGCCCTTTTCACTTAGACAATGTTTCTTTGAAATATGGCTTTTGTTTGGGCCAACATTTAAACCAAACACTTACGATGCCATAGCCCATTTTTTCGATCACTTTTGTAAACGGGCTTCTCATCTTCTTCTAGTATTGGGCCTTAGCATAAAACTCGTGTACAAGTGACAAATCAAAGCTTACTCATCCCTCTGCTGCATCCATTTGGGATTTATGGGTGATGAATGAATTACTAACTGATGAATATATATATATATATCAAACTAAAATTCATAATAAGCCATATTATATATGGGAAAACACGGTAATTCCTTAAAGAATTAATTTTCATACATACTTTTAAATTGCTTTCACTTGGATAACTTTTATGCGGTGTTGTGAGCTAGCTACGCATATGATCTAACTATGCTATATTTTTTCTTCGAAAAAATCCTTCATACAATGGCGGCATCGGAATCGCAATATGTAAGCCCGAATGGATGACTGGAAAATGCAAATACAAATAAAGTATGCCCACTACCATCCAAAACACTGCTTTGTTTTCTGTTTGAAAAAGAAGAAGAAGAAGAGGAAGAATAGAAAGGTATGAACATTTAGAAGAGGGAAGAGAGAAGAGAGAAGAGAATGGGTGCTTTTTGGCATCTAGTGAGTGAAAGAAGAAGACAGGGTGGGTCCCTTGTCGGGGGAGGAGGTGGTGGTGACCTTCTCGCAGCGAGGGCACATGGTGAGGGTGGAGGCGGGAAGTGGGTGGCGGCCGTGGGGGGACATCACGGTGGGTGGCCCCACCTTCATGGCCCTGAGCTGCTCCACTTCCTTGTGCAGCCTTCTGTTCTGTTCACTCAGCGATCCGAACCATCTCTTCAGGTACTCGCACTCCATCTCCGTCTGCTTCAGCTTGCTCCTGCGTGCACCATACAGCCACATCTTCATCTTTAACTTTTACTCTTTTCTACTTCCTCCTTACTTGGCTTCCATGCATGTACGTGTGTGTGTGTTGTATATATATGTGCATGATTCTAGGGTTACTCCAACTTCCTTTCTTCCAAGCTATATTCTCATTTCCAGACACTTTATTAACTATCTACATATATAGATTTGTGAGGATGAACTTCATGACGTCCATCGTATGTTAGAATTTTTATGTGTTTTCGCAGATCTTATGATTTGAGGAAACTTTTGATTATGGAGACAACAGTTATATAATTCAATCAGTTTAAGGAATACATGAAGTAGTATTACAAGAGATGTGATGTCTTGTTAATATATTTATGGGAAACGAAATTAATTCATGGTAAATAGCTTCTAAAATAAATTCACAATCTCTAATAATTAAAAAAAGGATTATTAATTAACCTTCTTTTTTTTTTTTTTTTGAAATTTTACTCCTATTATAAATTATTAAAAGGAAGAGAAGAAAATTTTAATTCAGTGTTTTCTCGAATGCCATGCTTTCTCTTTTAAGCTAAATTTAACAAGTTAAATGTTGGTTCTTAATGTGGCCCGAGCTGATTGAAATTGATTTAATAATACCGGGATTAGAGGTAGTAAGAAGGAAGAATACAATGTAAAATGTAGACTAAACTTAAAATAATTTCATGACTGATCAGCTTGCCAAGTTATTACATAGGATAAAAAGGAATTATTGCATATTTGATCATATTCTATCTTTTTTAGGGAATTTTGGATAACTTCAAAATCACTTTTTAGAAGCACTTTTTCTTAAAGACAAATTCCTTCACATATTTGCTTCGTATATTGTAAAAATACTGTTGAAATCATGGTTTTGTTTTTATCTAAACACCCCTTATATTAAGGTAGATGTTAATTAAAGAAACCTCTTTTATTTATTCGTAACCTTGACTTTATTCTCTTGTGATTAATGGATATACAATTTTTATAAAAAAAGTAATGCAAAGTACAGACATGCATGAACTTGGGGGGTGTAAAGAGTGGAGAGAAATAGTATAAAAAAAAAAAAAAGGGAAGAGAGACAAAGAAAGCACACGAGGTTGAACAAAACCCCATAAATGCAGTCAGCTTGCTATCATTAGGCCTCTTGTCCTCTTTCTTAGGGACATCCCTCATCATTTTGTTCTTCCACCCTCCCCACCTTCCTCTAATTACTCCCCTTCCCCTCCTTCCCTTCATTCATTACTCTCTTCCATCAAATTAATGCATGCCCACACAAGAATAAGATTCATTCAATTTAAAGTTACTGAATAAAGATATCATCAGCCAAAACAACATCTTATATAATATATATCTGCAGACTCTGGTTTTGTATAGTATGCTATAGAGCAGATGAATAAATGTCACTCTATACCCTCACCAGTCAAGTCACTTTCTGTACCTTAATTTCCTCTGAACTCTTCATTAATTCTATGCGTGTTTTCACAAGCAAATCTCATGCTTCTGAAACAGCTCTCTCCTTTACTTTCCTAACTGGGAATTATTAACATTCAAAGGCTTGTAGATTAAAATGATCAGGTTATCATCAGTTATACTACTCCATCAGTATTAGTATTTACTAGTACTGTATCAGAAACGAACGTTTGAAATCTTTTAATCATGTCTCATTATAATTTAATAAAACTGTGCGTATTAGGCGGTATATATAGGCTAATTTATCAGTTAGGGTTACATGAGATACCTGGCCCTACGGTTCTGGAACCATACCTCCACCTGCCTGGCTCTCAGATTCAACTGCTTTGCCAATGATTCCTTCTGCTTCTGCATAACCAACAACCCCAACCCCAACCACAAAACATCAGCTTTTCTCATCATAACCAACAAATCAAATCTTAAATGTTCTAACTTGATCGATCCCGTATTCAAAATATCAGAAAAATTGTATTTTTTCAAACAGTAAAGTGTTCATAAAACCAACGAGACTATCACTGGGATCAATGTTTCTAAGGATCGCACTCAAGAATACTCCTATGTAGTTGATGAGACGTGTATTTTTTGTCATGCTAACACTTCCTTATATATATATATATATATAGAGAGAGAGAGAGAGAGAGTTACTGGGTTCAGAGTGTGGTTTTGTCTGAAGCTGTCCTCGAGAAGACGAGACTGTTCCTTGGTGAGACGAAGTTTCTTACGAGGAGGACCTCCTCCTCCCCCATTACTGCTTTCTTCTTCTTCTTCCATTGTTATCCATTCCTCTTCTGATGACGGTAGTTGGTTCATGTCCAACTCTCTCACTGCAAATTAACACCCACCTTATTTGTTTATATCTTCCAACTTTTCTTTTTGCTTATTCACTACGCATGTACTTCCAAAAGTTTCAATTGCAAAAGGAAAAAAAAAAACAAAAAGATTATCAACAGTATATTAATACCGTTCGAGAATATAATCTCTGAGGTGTGATCCTCCTATAAAGGATAAATATTTTTCAAGAATAACCTCCTACAAAAAAGAGAAAAGACAGCACCGGACCTCTAACAACAGTCATGAAAGAATTTAACCTTGTTGTCTGTATACGATCGCACCCTTTGTTTTCTTACAAAATCACAAAAAAATCCTGAGAAAAGGAATCACTTCGTATATATCTTGTGAAATGATCGTCGGAAGTGAATGAAAAAAACCAAAGGGAAGATCAAAGACAACAACTAATACTACCGCATCAAATTAAGGATTTTTTTTTTTTGGGGGGGGGGGGGAAGTATGTCTGCATAAATCAAAGACGATTACCTGCAGATGAAGGAAGAGGAGCAGAAGAAGCAAAGCCAGGGACAGATATGGTCAATTCCAAGCTGGAAGTGCTTCTAGGTGTAACCGCCATGGAAGATATGATCGACCCCAGCTATATCTATATATATAAAGCAAAATCTTCTGAAGAGGATGAAAAAGATGGTGATGGAGAAGAAGGAGATCTCTCTCTAAAAGGTAAAGCGACAAACAGAAGGAGACAATGAGATCCACATATGTGAAGGAAAAGATGTATAAGAAAGCAGCAGAGGATCCATGACATATCTTATATGCGAAATAAAAAAAGGTGGAGATAGAAAAGTCAAATAAACAGAGAGGGCTCGCATTGATTAACAATTAGTAGCCTATAAATGAACCTGAGAAATTTAATTGAAAAGCTCGGTCTTATTTTTAAGGGTTGAGGCTCTAGAGAATTATGCCATTAAAGAGTTTTAATTAGGGTTTCTGACCGGGGTCGTCAAAGTCAAAGTCAAAGAACAGTATGTGACCCGTTGATGGGTGTCACGTGGCAGAAAAGATAATGACCACCCATAAGTTATCAATAATCCAATTCTGAAATCTAATGTGAATTAATATTAAAAAATTGTGAATATTATATAAATACAGAATTTATTTAGGAGCAAACTACTTTCTACACTCTACTCAAAAAATACGCATGCCATATATAAACTTCTTCGCAAAATAATAACATCTTTATAATTTATTAAAGCATATTTTAAATTTCTATTTCCTTTATAAAAAAATTAAAATTTAAAGTATATTTTGTTAGTGTGTAATTATATTTAAATTTACTGAGTCAATATTTTCTGTTAGATGGGACTAATCTTAAGAGACTGAACTAAAACTTGACATAAACATAAAATACCAAACATATTAAGTTTAGCTATTTTTAATATTTGTTACCTTTAATTATTGCTTCATTAGTTATCTTATTTGCTCAATTTCTCATCCACTCACTTGCTTTTCATAAATAAATGTGTTTTTGAAAATAAGTTATACTATTTTTGCATATTTATTAATTTTTATTAAATTGTAACTAACTTTATAATATAAATTTATTTGTTATTTATAGTATGTTGCAGAGGGAAGAAGTAAAGTTATTAAAAGAGGCGAGGAAATGAAATTATTTGGCCACTTTCTGCCTCTGCCTTCATAACCAACACTTGGTTGCCCCCACACCCAAGCAAACACGTTACTAACTACAATTGTACATGCTTTTCAGCTTTTCACTTTCCAGCTTCTTTTTTTCTGGTCAACATTTCCACTTCAGACGTCTCTGTAGGGGTTGGGGAATAAAAAGACTTCTCTGCAGGGGCAAGAAATTAATTATTATTATTATTATTTTGCATGTCTGGCTCTAAATTTTTTAATTAAAAAAATGTTAGTACCATGCATACGAGGTCTCCAATTAAAACACTTTCGTATTCATTTGGTTGAATCGAAGAAAACCTAAATGAGGTCCATCATAGGGTGCTCAAACACCTGTATAACCTAATCCCCCTTTATTGATAATGATGTTGAAAAATATTAAAACTCTGTAAAAATAACGAGACCAATAACTGTTAATTAATATCACCAGTATGTTTATATATATAATTGTCGTGCTATTTATAAATATTAATCGTTACAAAGTGGATTAAAATAAGAGAGAGTTCTTGCTTTGTTTCTGCAGGCCTACTTCTTCCTGAATATAGTGATTATATTATATATATGTATATAATCTATTTACATAAAATCTGTTTATGTAAAATCTCAGTAGCAAATGATGTCTTGAACATCCATTGGTTTAAGTTAAAACATATAAAGCATGTTTCGAATGGTAAATCTGTGAATCTTTTTTTTTTTTAATCTGTATGATAAAATAATTAATATTTTATGCAGAAGTATCCACCTACATGTTACATCTAACTTATCTTGATTAAGAAAGATATTATTATTATTATTATTATCATCATCATCTGCACACAATTATGATTTTTTTTTTTGAAATCTAATGAAATAAAAAGGTAGTTTCTATACAATATAGTAAGGATCGCCTTTTCAGTTTTTCACATTAGTGATCATATTACCACCAACGTACAAACACACACACATAGATTCAATGATATCCTCCGACAGCCTAACTATACTTCTACCATTACTTTTCGTCCTTAAAAGTATGAGCTTGTAAGAGATTGAAGTTGATTTTAAATACATGACTCAATTCATTTTGATTCCATTATTTATCCAAACTAATCATATTATTTACACACGTTAAAAGAGCTCATATTAAAGAATAGTTTCAATTTAAATGATTTGAGCAAGAATTTTAGGAAAACTAACACATAGTTTTGATAAATAATTAATTTAACTATTTTTGTTAATTTACCAAATTAGTTAAGTATATCTTATATTAAAGATATATTAATTATGCAATAAATTTTTAATTTTTTTAATATATTTTTTGATAAACAAGGTGGAAAATTTCGGACAAAATTGTCTCAGAAATCATTAGGAAGGACTGCAACAATGAGACGCATCGTTTCTCAAAATATGCTCTCATTATGCTTGCATTGCGTAAATAGTAATTATAAACTTTAACAAGTTTATACAATTCTGAAACATTATGACGCATGACTCCAAAACAATCACATGTTGAGGTTAAGGGGAAAATAAAAAAATGAGGAAAGTTGTGATTTCTGTAAAGTAAGGATTGAATTAAGAAATCAAAACTTTCAGGTCTCTTTTTAACAATTTATTTTCTTACAAAACATACTATTACCTCTAATTCTTGATATAAAAACTAATTTACTAGTTTGAGTAAATTAAAAAAATTTATTAAGTTATTTATTTGTAATAAATAAGTGTTGTCTTTCTTAATATATATACTAGTCATATATATTAGTTAAAACTATCATTTGACAAAATATTTAACATGTGAAACTACTACATAGACTACTTTTAAAAAAATAAATAAATATGAGGGACAAATGAGATATGGGTCTTATATTTAAAATCAAATTAGAAGTCAAATTAACTATATTAATACTACTTCTGATCTTTAATATAAGAGCTCGTTTGAATTTTTTGTCTTAAATATAAAATTCTAATCCACTTTGTCTCTCATATTTATTTTTTTCAAAGTAATCTTTGTAATAATAGTAATTTTAGCTAACATACTACTTGATTAGTAAGGATATTTTAGGAAAAATAATATTTATTTATTATAAAAAACTAACTTAACTAATTTTTTTAATCTATTCAAATTAGTTAACTAGTTCTTATATTAAAGAAGGATGTAGTATTTTTTAGTCATCATAATGCTCCACCGGGCACTCTTATATTAGATCACGTGGGGCTCTTCAGCGCAGCCTGGTTGCATCATGAATTTATCTTTATTTTTGCAATTCCCTTAAATTAAATGTTTTAAATATTCTTTTAGTGTTACAAAAAAGTTATGAAAAGAGTTACACTCTTCAAAATTTATAAAATAATGTGATTCATTATAAATTTTATGCTCTATATTATTGTGCGACCCTAATTATGATTTAATATATTAATCATTTTTTGTCTTTAATGCGTAACACTTTTATTTTCTCCTTTTGTATTTGTAATTATTCTTGCCCGTACAAAGTTTGTATTCTAACTTTGTTATAAAATGAAATCTGTGTTTTTTATAAAAATAAAACCTCCACAACTTATAATCGCATCAAAATCCTTTTATCCTATAAAGTACGCCCTTCGATTTTTTCCCCCATAAAATATAACTTTTTGAATGGGTCTGATTACTTTTATAAGGTATATTTTGAAGATGTCCGAAATTTAATGTACTTTTTTTAAACTTATATCTCCAATTAATTACGTGTTTCTGTTATCTTTTCTGCTCATTTTCTCTCAATTTTCCCTTACTCATTTTCATTTTTAGCCCAATTTTTAAGTTATGTAATTTGAATATTTATGGCTTATCGGGGAAAAAAAAAGGATAGAAAGCATATTTCATTCTGGGGATTAAAACTAAACACAGTGGGGGAACATAAGAAGTATCTTGGGGAAATTGATATTAAGGGAATGATAACCCTGTAAGAACAAGAGGTAAGATTTTTCTAAAAAGTCAAAAGTTAAAAAGCAGAAAAATGATTATGGGCGGAACCAAGGCAAAATGGCCAAAAAAAAAAAAAGGGAAGGGGACAATACAGAGAACACGGGGAGAGGTGGATCCCACATTTTGACCACTTAGTAGGGGACTGCCAAACATAACTCTGCCACCCCTGTCCCCTCTAATCGCTCTCATTTCATCTCTTGGTAACCTGTAGCAATTCTCATTAACATCTCTCTTCTCTTTCTGATGATTATCGTATAACTTGACTTTACTGCACAAATTCTTTTTTTTTTTTTATGGTTATTCTTAGTAACAAAAGGATTGTTTAGTATCATTCCAGTAAATAAAATTTGTTTAATTATTTCAATTATTTTCCCCTTAGAGATGTATACCATGTGCACTCTTAATTAATAACCCTTTTACATTCTTTTCAGCGTATCATTATCTATTTGATAGTGTAAAAACCAAAAAAGAAGTGCACATGGAGCACCTCCACCATGAATGATTAAAAATAGGGAGAATTAAAACAAGATTTTAAAAAAATAATTATCAATAAGTCTCAATAATACATAAACAGTTATTTTTCTATTTTAAAACTTATTATTACAGGCTTTTGAGACTTTATAGCATTTATATTCTTTTTTAGAAATTTCATATAAATTCTCCCTTGAAAATATGAGTAAAGTAACAACATAATTTTAAAGTTGTTAAGGCTGATTAAATTTTAATCTACGACCTCTGATTCTAATTACAAGACTTCATTTGTAGATTATAAATAAAGTCTATAGTATAATTTTTTTTTTTTGACCGGACTATAGTATAATTTTGACAGCTTACCTTCCCTGTTCGTTTCATCATACAGGTATGTTGGTTTTCTAGCGTCATACATAAGCATCTGAAGCGCAACAAAAGGTTCAGCGTGTAGTTGACCTTCTTCCAATTATTGATTTGTAATTGAAACAGTAAAAGACCTGCGAAATCATGCATAGGGCCAACTAAATGTACATGTCCCTAGACTGCATTATCGAACCAAGGAAACTTGTTCAGAAGTGTAAGCTTTCACAGAATTTAACTTGCGCAAATTCTGCTAAAGACAAAGATGTACCATGGCTGAAGAAAAGGGCAAAAGAGAATACACAGGTGCACATTAACGCAGTCCAGCTTCAGATTGTTACTTTAAGAAACTTGTCTGTCTGGTCAAAAAAAAAAAAGAAACTTGTCTGGCTTTGGGTTGGAGCTCGTTAAAACTAACACAAAAAGTCAGTACAGCAGTACATGATCAAATTTACAAGTAAACTACATCGCCTAAAGGCTAAAGCCTAAATCATAGTAAAACACAAAAAGAACCCATCAAATCCAATCACATATTATGATAATCACAAATTTCTAAATTCAAAATGTAGGCTCAATCGCCGAGCAGGCAAAGTGGCTGTCTCATGCTAAGCTCCAGTTTAAGCGCAGGGAACTGCTCCAAATCATGGGAAGTGCTTAGAATTTTCTGCATGCAAACATAACAAAGTGAGGCCCATCTTGTGGACTTAAACACCGGTCATGCAACTTACGGTCTGCCAAGCAAGGAATCAGATTTCGGAGAACTAAAAGTTCATGCTTGTAAAAGCGATCACACCAATTGTAAAGAAATAATGTTATCGCTAAATAGATGTTAGCAGCAGACAACTCTAAACTCATTCACGAGTAAAATTTCTTACAGCTGCAAAAAGCATGTACTGTGGTATTCCAAATTAGGCAGCATGTTAGCATGGAATTTTCACTTATCCAGGTCAGTTTATCATCAGTTTGATACTCATATACAGTGAAAAAGAGAGAATAACTTCAAGCTTCAGATCAAAGTCAACAATGGCTGTACATGAAGTTCATTAACACAAACCGGTTTCAAACTCCTTGCATTCTTTGTCCTTGAGAAAACCAACTGGATTTTCTTCAAACTGTTTGGCCAATCAGTTGAATGTTTAGTATTCTATTCATCCCCGTATGCTTTACTTCCTAGTTGCTTTCTTAGTATTCTAACTAGCTATTCCGTAATCACTGTCCTCTGGACATATAACGGGAGCTTTAAGCATAGCATGATGTCGGCTGTTGAAACTGTTTTTACAGTAGCTAACCCATGAGTTAAACACGCAGATAGTGAAACACACTTGAGCAAAGAACCGCCAGATGCCCAGAATAGTAAAGTTGACGCGCCCTATCACCCCAAAATCACATCTCCTTGAAAAGGATACACGAGTTCCAGAGTTCGAATTTTGGAATGGAGAGTTAGGACCGGGTTCCTTAGCTTCTATAAAAGAATAGGATATGTACTCGAGAATATAGTTAAATAATCCTATACTATGTGAAAAAGCTATTCAATGCTCCTAGTCAGTAGCACCAAAATAAGTTTGATAATTTTCAACTGCGGTTTAGGAGATCTGTAATAATACTAACAACATCAGCTGCCAGTAGGTTACTTTAACCGAAGCGCTGGAGCAATCATCAGATGGCTGTTGTTGAAAATTTCCAAGCTTACAATCCTAAAGCTATAATCAATTTGTGAAGATTGAAAGTAAAGCAGTCTACTAGGTCGTTAGTTAAACTGTTGCTAACAGTAAATCACAATCATCAGCAGCAGTCAACCAAGCGTCAGCATCTTTAAGAGATCATCTTTTTACAGTTGTCATATTCAATTGATATTAAACCAACAACTAATAAGCCCACAACCTACCAAAAGATGCGACCATATAAACCAGACAGAAAACTTAATAACGCTTGGGGGATGTTAAGAAATTTACCAGTGCAGCAAGGTGCGAATCTTGTAAGATATTCCCATCAACTTCCAATCTAGCGATAGGAAACTCTGGAAGATGTCCTGATTGTTTCTTTCCAAGCAAGTCACCAGGTCCCCGTGATAAAAGGTCCATTTTAGCAAGGTAAAAGCCATCTGATGAGCGCTCAAGTACTTTCAATCGGTTAAGGCTACCAGCAGCAGATGCTATTAGTATACATTTAGATTTCCTTGCCCCACGTCCAACTCGTCCTCTAAGTTGGTGCAACTGAGCAATCCCAAATCTCTCAGCATTCATGACAACCATCATAGATGCATCAGGAACATCAACACCAATCTCAATTACTTGTGTGGAAAGCAGGATATGCATTTCTCCAGTCCTAAACCTTCTCAATGCTTCCTCTTTTTCATCACTTTTCATTTTCCCATGTAATAAACCACAGTTGTATCCTTGAAACCGACGTGATATGACTTCTAGATCTGCAGAAGCTGCACGAAGCTGTGGTAGCTGCTCAGAAAGTTCGATAATTGGGTAAACAAGATATACTTTCCCCCTGTCTTCCAACTCATCCATCATCATCTGTCATAATATATGAAACAATTGGCATCATCATAAATTAAAAAAGGCTCCACATAATAAAATTATAAATCACTTATTTATTTAAACTCAACATCTTATATCTTACAAGCAATTATACTTAAAACTTTAACTCAGGATTCACAAATGCAGAGGGAAAAATTGGAAGGAGCATGTGTGAACACGGGTGGGTCTAGTGCAATAACCTACATGAAGAATTCTACTTAAGTTCTCAAAATCTAATATGGCGATTGCGTATGTTTGCCGAAACAACAGTTGATCTCATGTCCTCGTAAGAATCAGTTTAATTCTAGAGCAGCCACTTCAATTGTTTACTATCAGTTCGCAGAAAATTGTGTAATATCAGATTAGAACAGTTTAATGCATTATATGATTTTAATTCATTAAAAATGAGAAGTTAAAAGAACACATATAAGGGCTTGCATATTCTTCCTATTTCATTAAAAATGTTGCTACCACAAATAAAACATATTTATCAAAATGGAAAGAAAAGTGGATTCCCAATACTAAAGCATCTGATTTTCAGCGTATGGAATGAGTGCCTGATCATGCATATAAAGGAGATATTGATTACATGCCACACAAAAGAAGATCGAAGCCTATGTCCATCACTAAACATTAGTCACCTAAAGTATTAAACTGTTTGTCAATTACCAAGAACAAAGGTAAGAAAATAACAGAGAGCCTCCAGAAAGGATGAGAAAGCAACAATTAAGCACATTTTCCCCAAAGATTTTAAGAATTGTCACCTTGTAGACATACTCATATCCATTTTCATTTCCTTCAATTGCGTATGTTTGAACAGGAATTCTACCAGGAGGCAAGTCAGTTATCTGTGATTGGAAGCCAAAAAGCTCTGTTAACAATTGAAGAGCATTTTCCACACTAAATTGAGAAAGTTTGTACAAACAAACCAAAAGAGGGATAAATAAAATAAAGCATAGATTTAATTCTTCAGATTTTCTCTTTTTACTTTTCCTTCTCTATTGATGATAACTTCAAAATTGTATTGATGAGATACAGTAAATGCATCACTAAAAATCTGTCTAAACACTGTAAGCAGCACAAATTGCTCCCTAATGTTTCACGTTAAGCTATTAAAGGCTTCGCAACAGTTAATGACAAAGCATAGACAAACAGAAACATTATGACCGAAAAAATCCTGAGGTTCAAGGGATTAACAGAAAACTATGAAAAATGCCTACAAGGGCCTAGTTGTTCATCTGGACGCTGGTGCCTAATAGGACTCCCGCTAAAGATGTGCTGTAAATTTGTGGAGCAGACAGCCCTATCTCCTACCTGTCTGGCGCTTAAACTGTTGTTAATTTAGTTTCACATTGTTGGGCAGTGCTTTCAATATTCGTATGGGCTCCTCGTTAAAAATTGGGTGTGCCCTCTCAAATTAGAGAAATTCTCTTGGTAATGTTAACAAATTTTATCCATCGAAAGGCTGACAAGGTTTGATAGCCATGTGCTATCTTCACTTTGTTTTGTCATGTGCTTGAACGGAATGCTCGTAGATGTTGTCTCTTGAAAACCTGTGGGATAGGTTTTATGTCAGCGGCTTCCCCATGACGTTATGGACATGCAGATAGTTTGGTCAGCTCTATTACATGTTTAAGATTTTGTGTTCTGTGTCTTCTGTTCCTTGTTAGTTTTTTCTTCCATAACAGAATATCTCATACTCCACTCGTTTTTTCTCTCCTTTTTTTTTTTTTTGGGTAAAAACAAATTTATTTTATCCAAAAAACATAAAACCTTGTCTATAAATACCAGTACATGGTAGCTAAAGATACACAGGACAACGAATAACTTGGAAGAGATTGTGACAAAATATTGGATCAAGTCTCACTATTGACATAATAAATTCAAAGGTTTCACCTCCACTTAAAAGAGGAAAGGGTGCCTATCATCTGAATCACAAGGACAGGAAATATTAAATACCTCTGTCAGTGACATATCACCATATAAAGCAAGAGCAAGTGTCCTTGGGATGGGAGTAGCAGACATAGCAAGAACATGAGGAGCCATGTATACATCACTATCACTCTTTGGGGATCCATTTGAACTGGCATCTTCCATATGAGAAACTGATGAAGTGTAATATAACTGCAGTATAGAAGGTTGGGAGATCAACATATTACACCACTTAAAAAAAAGAGAGAGAGAATAAAATGCAGTGAAGAACAGGCTAATTTTGAAAATTTTTAATTGTAGGCTGCATGAAAGATGCAATTTACAGAGGCAAGGAGCGTATAAACTTAACGTTCAACCCAGATCCCTACTACTCTCCACATCAATGCAGCTGCAGAAATATTGAGATGGCAGGTCACTATACAGCTTTTTTAAATGTTGTCCATGGGGAATAATAACTAGTGATCAACATATTTAGCTCCGTAATTATAGGTTTGTTCATAATTAACACCATTGCTTGTTAAAGAACATTGTCTGGTTTTCCTTTTTCTTTGTATCTCCACTCTTCTTAGCATCTTATGGAAGTTCTTTGATCATGCGCTTGTTTGTATGCGCAATATAACCAAATCAAAGATGAAAAACATAAGAGGACCACCTTACTGTTAAACCTTCCTCTTTGAATCACACCGAAACGGTGCTGCTCGTCTACTACAGCAATACGTAAAGCAGAAAATTCCACATTTTCTGATATTAAACTGTGAGTTCCTATGACAATCGAGATTTCTCCAGTCTGGATACCCTGCCACAATATTATTTGAATAAACTGATCAGAATTTGACTTATGAGCAAGAAAGTGATATGAATTCACACACACCTTACGAATCAGCCGAGACTGTTTTAGTGGGGTTGAACCTGTGAGTAAAGCGACTGTGGGTCTGCGCTCAACCTCAGCCAAATTCTCTAGCAAATTAAGCAAGTGCTGGTAATGCTGGATCGCAAGCAGCTCTGTTGGAACCATGAACGCCGCCTAAATACAACACAACAAAACATGTTATTATGCATTTAATTCTAAAACAACGAATAAATATTTTAATAACAATAAACAATCCTAGCAATCACGACAATGATGCATTACGCATTCAAGATTCCAATGAAAAACTACTAAAATCATATTAGACACGAACAGTATAACAAGATGGGCCCAAGGCACATCCAGGCCAGACCCACATAAGATGAAGTAAAGAAACTGAGCCAGCTTAAGGGCCCAAATATTTCAGTAAAGAGAAGGGCCAGGTTACAGAGTAAAAGGACAAATCGGCTAACTCTGCAGACCAGTGAGGAGTATATAGTGGGAGGAGCAGAGAAAGAAGGACATCAAGAAAACCGGACAGAAAGCCTCTAGCCTCTTGAAAGCTAGAAAACCAGCACCTTTTTTAATCTTTTATCACAGTTGCTGTTTCCTGTATGTCTATCTCTGTTTTGCAATCCACCAGAGCCTGTTACCCCAGTTTTGCATAGGAATATAGGTGCAGTTCTGTTTTCTAAATATAATTAAAACTGGATTTACAAAGGATTCCATCGCAAAATAAATATTGCTTACTTGATATCCAGAACCAATAACCTCCATGCAAGCCAGAAAAGCTACCACAGTTTTTCCGCACCCAACATCACCCTGTATGTCACATGCCAATTAGAGGTGAGCACATTTTATATTTGCCCATCTATGAAGATTGAGACAAGACAGACAAAAAGATTATTTTAAAAAAAAAAAAAAAACGCATGCTTTCAAACATAAGTTTCAGCATTTAAACTATTTTCTTTGAAAATGATGAATTTTATAAGAGATTAGAAGAAAGTACATGAAAGAGATTCCCCACCGAGAGAGAGAGAGAGAGAGAAAGAAACCCATACAACATCAAAAAGCAGTATATAGAAAGTGTGATATCTAGCTAGTTTTGCAGTCTCAAAACAGAAAAGCAAGACAATAATAATTCTATCATTTACTGATTATGGCAAATCTCATTATTGTAATTGAAGAGGCTTGCACTGGAAACACAACGAGACTTAAATGGACAAGTTTAATGAAAGCTTTTATACTTCACTGAAAGGTAAGGAATGAAGTTGAATTCCATCCTTTGGGCCAAATAAAGCCCAATCTAAGTAGCTGATCACATATAGCAGAAGAGGGAAGAATGCCTTTCAGGACTTACACAAGAAAAATTCAGTTGAGTCCCATTGCATTCATGAACAGGAAGTATGAGAACCAAGAAGGAATAAACGGCTAGAAACAGACAGCCTACTGCTTGATAATAAAGGAACAGAATGACAGTGAAATCCAAACCTGCAGTAGTCGGTTCATAGGGACTGGCCTTTTCAGATCCCAAATAATTTCGGAAACCGCACGAAGTTGACCAGCTGTAAGACTATATGGAAGTGCGTCCAGAAACTTTTTGGTGAGACATGACCATGTCTCTGTACACCCAGCATTATCTTCTGTTTTCCGATACTTATCTAGCAATACATCCTTTTCCATTTTTGTACCAAGACCTTCAAGCATTTGGAATAAGCGGCCTAACTGAAATGTTAAGACAATGTAGATAGTTTAAATTATCAAATGATACGAACTTATGTAAAGAGCAATGACTCATTGCAAGAAAAACATCATAGTTAGGGATTTACAAGAGGAGCAATTTTAAGTTAGGAGAATCCAATATATTCATCAGAAGTCATAGGCATTTTTGCAAAAGGAAATCATCAATATATGGAGAAAGGGTCAGTGGTGTGCGATAATGTTAAAATCCCTAACTGAAAGACATTCCTTTAGATGTGTGAATAGGGTAAACAAACAAGAGTGAATTAAGTAACATGCTGAAAAAAAATATGAATAGAATATTAGACAGATGAGAATGTAAGAGAAATTAGAAAGTGTTCACCTCACCTGCAGGTAAAAAAATTCATCAAATATAAGCCTCTTGCGAGCCAAATCAGCTTCAGTGATATCCTTTGGTTTGTGAATCCCAGTATATGCCTATATTATTAACATACAGAAAATTGAATTTTCAAGTGATAATATGCAGAAACACACGATAGTTCTACCTAGACTAAAGAAGGTAGTTGAGAGCTAGTTTTTTTTCCCCATGCTTTGCACAAGGGAATGTGTTGAGTATTAAACCCATTTTCAGGCTTTCACATAATACTTGAAGCTCATAAATTTAAAGGTCCTTTCAAAAATCTTAAGCTATCAAACAAGGGCACAATAACAGCCTCAATGATTTTATGATGCCTTTTCATGTGAAAGGTTTCTGGACTTAAAATGTGGTTGATAGCTACCTCGTTCTTAAAATTCAACAATACAACACTTCGACCATATATATGAATAATAAGACTGATGGCTTTTAAGACAATCCCTATATTGCTTGGTTCTGTAGGCTTAACCACCTTGTCAAAGCATTAATTAACGTAAAAGCTTAAAGCAATGGCCCAATTATGACAATTAATCATTTTATTCTTATTTCATATAAATCTTGCTTGTAAATAATAATACAGATGAATGACCAAAAATCACTAATACTTTTATGGTTCTTCATATGTTCTATCAGTACAATCCCCTCGGATGAAATTTTGGATGCTTACCAAAATCCAGAGATACATCTATCCTTGATCTACAACACACAAAGAGGGAAGGACAATCCAACAAACAAGAGAACAGATTGAAAGAGGTGTTTGAGAATAGTAAAGAAGAAGAAGAAACTAATTTTCAATATTATCAATGTAAATAGAGGCGACATCCACTCCCCTATGCATCTACATCCTTAATAATCAGGGTGCGCCTATAGTAAATACTTCTCTATTTCCATGAAGTTTCCTGATACTGCAAAAGGCAGAGGCATGCATAGTGGAATTTTTAGTTCAGTTTAAAACACCAATATGGAAAGTAGGGACTATGGAGCAATGAAAAAACGAATGGCAGACATAAAAATACTTACATCATGAAGACTTAATAAACCAAATTCCTGAGTGATTTCTTGAGGTATTGGATCAATATTGACAGGCAAGGCCTGTAAGCCTCTGGAAGAAATAAAATAAAAGAAAATCATAAATTATATATGGCATTTACTTATTATCTTAACGAAAGAATATTAATATAACCCTTCACATTTCTTATTAGACACTAGAGGACAAATTTTTTTTTAAAAAAAAAAAGCATGAGCCATATGTGCACGGAAAGTTTCCCCATTAACATGTCAAAAATATGATGTTTGATCTAGAGAAATATAAGGTTTATTTAGCAAGGATCAGGTTACCCCCTCCCCCTTCTTTTTTGCATTTTTTGAGTAGTTTGTCATGTCAGGATACACTTGAAACCATCACTACTTTTTCAAGAAGATTAGAGAGCCATATCATGCTGCAACGCAAATTTAAGCATGCCAATTTAAAAATGCAAGTGTTCCTTTCCAACTAAGGGTACCATAGAACTACAATACTACCATATCATTTTGAACTCCTTGCCAAAACCATTGTAATTTGTCAAGAAAACAGTTCATAGGTTAGAAGGTTCACTCTTTGCTAATGGGAAAAAATATGTAGCAGCTTATTCTATAAGAAAGACAGCTACCCAATAACATATAAAAAGGTGTTCATCAAGAGATTTAGATTTAGGGACACACATGATTCATGACGCACGTATACATTGATTGGCACTTATCCTATAGAGTGATTGTCCCCGGTAAAAGACTTGACCTACAAAAGAGCCTTAAGCTTCCAATTTGGCTTATGAAGAGCACAGTTGGTTTCATCAGAAGTCAAAAATTAAAACAGATACAAGGAAGAAAACCAGAACGATCAAGAGACCAAATCATCCCACCTGAATTAAAAGGGAGAAGTATGAGATCTAGAAGTCAAAGGAACAATAAGTATAGAACATATCTTTAACTTAAAATTCCTGAAAAATGGAAATACCAAGGGACAACCGAATAACACAAAAGTTAAGAGTGACATCATTATGCGAAGAGTAAATACAAAGACAACGAATAGCCTATATTTTAAAAAAAAAAAAATCTCCATCAGAATAGCTACACTAAACCAGAAGGAAATTCTACTTCTACCCCGGGTTGCTTAAAGAAACCAGCAATCTGGCGAAAAAATCCAACCCTGGGAAATAGATTTTAGAGTTAGCATGAGGGAAAATAAGTGCTGTATGGGCATCCCACCATTTGGACAAGAAATGTGCAGTTGCGAATCAGCTGGTTGTTCCAATAACACAATTGTCTCGAGTTGAAAATGGCATAACAACATAGAACAGGTTAAACAAATCAGAATATCCATGAAGTTGGGCATTATTATTGATTATAACTCAAATTGAAGGGTCATATAGCACATTTCATATGTTAAAAATTGAAAAAATTGGCAGGTTGCATGCAGATTAATACAAGCAAGGGTTTGAAGTGCATACCTTGCAATGATATCCCTGAGAAAATCTGGGTTCAAACCTCCTTTGGAAGGGTAGATTGGATATGGCCTTTCTTTAGCACAGAAGGATGAATCGTTGCCATCATCAAGCACATCAAGATTATAATCTCTCATCTCATAATGATTTTTAGCACGCATAGTCCTCACCTTTTTTAAAAGAACAACCAAATGCAACCATAAGAAAATGTATGAAACAAATAAGAAAGAAATCATTGATAACTAATGGAAAGGCTTTTGCTAATGCAAGCACGAATTTAAATACAACAAATGCCAACAAACTCTGTCTATTAAAACAACAAAGAAAGGAAAATACATAATGTACTTTAGCTTACTTGATTTTCAATTTATTTCTAGTAATTTCAAGATGATGCGGCTAACAAAATATTATGTCAGCTAGGCCAGTTCAGTTGGTCATCCACATCAAGGTTTGTTGTGGAGAGGACCAGTAGGAAGGACCCAGTTACAAACTTCAGTGTTGGAAATCTCAAACCCCCCAGCTAGACTTCCTAGATCTTTCCCTCTACAAGACTCAATGGATAGTTAGTAACTAGGAAAGCCTGTTTTCTGATTTCAAGGGATTGAATTAGTGTTTTTCACTCCCACTTCTCTCCTATATAATCGTAGCATCATTTGAAAAACAACTCTGAGAATTGCAGAATCTCTAAATCTTCTCTTCTACTAAGTTTTCGCACTCTTAACATTATAGGGGACCAACGGAAACCTCTAAGTTATATATACTAACTAATAAAAAATGCGCAAAACTATAAGAATCAATGGAGTAATTAAACCATAACTAAATCCAAATATTTCTAAGCAAGTCTGCTGTTGATTGTGCCCAACCAAGTCTTGATAAACTCATAGAACAGAATTAGATACAGCTGCCTGCTTCACATTGTGTTTCTATCCAAAAATATTATCAACTTCAGAAATGGCATCTATGATGTAGCTGTCAATGTAAGAAAAAACCAATTCCTCCACACTGGACTATTGCAAAACACAGAACCATGGGGGGAAAGCAAGAAACTCACCTTGCCACTCACACATGCTAAATCTCCTTTTTGATACTTCTCAGCAAGACTATTTAAAAAAGGCTTACAGGTAAAACGAGTGCCACGGAAAAATTTCTTCAGATGCAAATAAACTGTCTCTTTCCCATTGTCAGTAATATTGCCTGTCACATGTTGCATAGCTGATTCACTAACCACAACCTGACATTCCACAACCACCTCAAGAAATGAAAAGGAAAAACTAGCTTTGACTCCCCTGCAATGAAAATACTAAATCTTGTCAAGAGGTTAACACAGACATGTTAGACCACCCAATATCCTAAATAATTGGATCCACATAGATAAATGGACATATAGACTGTGCATGTGATGAGGTGTACATGGGCACACAGAAAATCATAAAATGCAAATAAAGATTGGTTGGAGAAATATAAAAATTCAAATGAAAAGGTACAGGTCATCTTACCATGCTAGAAAAAGCAGGAAGGGAAATTTTAGGAAGCCATCACAACAACTTGGTTAGGCTTATACTTGCATATTCACAAGGTTTACACAAAATATATAAATTTAAAACACAAAAATTTCATCACTATTTGAGATATCTCAGTTAATGGCTTATTGGAAAAAATTTCTCTAACAGAAAACAATGGCTGGCGTTGGGCGATCCATGTGGTTGATTGGTTAAGGTTTTTATTGTTGTTGTTGTGAAAAATTTCCTTATAACACCGTTTTTTCCTTTATATAAATGAATTTGAATTAAGAGAGAAGAAAGATACAAAAGCGATCAGTGACCTTAATAGGCCAAATTGGACCTTTCATGCGTTGAGGGATTGTTGTCTACAGTTAACAAAATTAAGTCTATGAAAATATTTACAAGTGCCAAGCTTCCGCAAGCACAAAAAATTGAATGACAGCATACGTACCTCTAGGTCATTTATATCATTTGATGGGTAAGCAAATCATGCAATTCATTAACCACGACATCTATACTTGCCATATTAAGCACCATCAGTTATTGAATAATTTTTGCAATAAACCTCGGTGTGTTGCATAAATACCCGTTTCACTATGTGCATGATGGCAAAGTCAAGTTACTTTAACCATATTTAAGCATATCACCCCCCCCCTCATACAAGTACGTCACTTAAAACCTAGGTTAAAAGAAAAAGCTAAGTATGAATATATCTAGTCAAGAAAAATAAGAAATTAAAAAAAAAAAAAAAGAGGCTACCTTGAAGATAAGATTTTTCCAACAAAAATCAAATACTGCCCATCAGTAATTTGAGAATGTGCATTCTGTAGATCAGCATATGTTCGTGGAAAATGGTGTAGCAATTTCCGTAACTACATGAAAAAAAGAGTATCAACGAGCATCCAAACCAATTTTTGAAATTGGAATCCAAAGAACGTCTTTCAAAATCCAAGTATTTCTGGGAACTCACCGTGTGAAAGCCACAGTTTTCTAGCTGCTGGCAATTTCTCTTACTTAATCCAGGTATACAATTAATGGACTTGTCAAGAAATAACTCATTGGGTGTAAGGTTGAAGTGGGACTGCAACCCCGCTTTCCCACAAGAATTCTCCTTGGTGACTGGATGATCCAATTTTTCTTCATATATTGAAGATGTTGAATGAGGTGATAAAGGACAAGTATAAGAATCTTCTTTTCTTACGGAAGAAGATTTTACACCCGAATGATTGGCATATGCAGAAGGCTGAGCTTCAGAGACCGGATTTTGCACCCACCTTGCCTCAGAAGAATTAGAAAAATACTGCTCTAAATCCACTGTTTCTAGAATGCTTGTAATTTCAGGGAGAGACGTGGTCCCATCATACAAAGCCACTTGAGAAGCACGACCCAAAATGATTGATGGAAATCTTTTACATACCATGGAGATGTCCACCTCATCTACTTCACCTTTAAGATTCATTTCAGATTTCTTTTCACCTTTCTCATTTCCATCAGGAAGGTCATAATCCATGACAACAGATACCTATATTTACGATGAATCATATATAAGGTTAGTTTCATTATAGAAAACTACAACCAATCAAATATAGACTGAAACAGAGCAAAGCTGTGCAAGATCTCTGAGCGTTCATGCTTGCCTCACAATAGCTGCCCTACTAGCGGAGCTCAGGTATAAACAGTTCAATACATGCAAACAAGCTCAGATTGGGAAATAATTTAGGCCTAAGCTTGATTACTCAAATCTCTAGAACTAGTAAAGGACCATGGTGAACTTCTTGTTTGAGTGTTCATATTGCAGGGAACACTTTGTCCAACTGGAATTGAAATAGAGAGCGTAGATCATAATCATCATCATTTTTTACAATATATATATATGATTGGATTAGATTGGAGAATGAAGTACAAGAACAGAGGATGTGATAAAAAGAAACCAAAAAAAAAGGGAACAGATTAAAAAAAAAAATCCAAGAAAAGGCCACATGTCCATCACCAGGTCTGGGAAACAGACAATCTTAAAGTAGCCATAAGCTGAGCTGAGCAACAGGAAGAGGGTTATGGCTAGTAAGGACAAAAGTTTATGATCTGTCCTTAAAACCTCTGGCATTTTTCTTCAACCAAAGGACCCATCTAATGTTAGCAAACATTTACACTATCAAAGAATCTTGCCATCTTTACTCCTGTCAAGTGTATCAGAAATTTCTCCAAACTTCCTGGACAGACCAAAATTACCAAACTTCACCACAAATATTTAGCAGTTACTCTAGACATCACTGATAGTTTCAGAATTTGAGAAGAAACAATAACCAACACATAAGGGAAGAGAGTCTTGGGGGATCATTGCACCCGCAGCATTGTATCAATTTTAATAGGTACAACAACTCAAATTGAACCGTAGACCTCAGAGGAAACCTTGGGCCCCAAAGGAGGTCAACAAGACGAGAATAACCCCCCCCCCCAAAAAAAAATTTCAATAAAAAGAAAATAAAGATCTAAAAGTGGTGTTTACAGGAATAACCCAGATGGAGGATAGGATTTAGATGAATAACTCAACAAGAACATAAAGTCCAAATCCTACTTTCCACTGAAAGAAGAGGGACAACTAAATTCAAGTTCAGTGCTTCACTGCTCTTTTTGATAAAATGAAATGAGGACATGATGACAGTCAGTTTTCTCATCAGTGTCTCTGCAAGCTTCAAAAAAGCTCAAACAAACATAAACTTTCATGTCCTCACCTAAATGAAGCAGAGTTGAAAATCTACAGAAAGCAAGTGAAATAAGCAAATTTACTTGTCTGGTCCCCCTATCCCAAGATCCCAGAAATAACACAGGTATCAAAGTACACAAGCATCCATCTACCTTGTTATGAAACTTTGAGCTACTTCTTGAACCAGGTCCTTCAATGTCCAGCAGCAGCTTCTCTGCAAACCTGTGCTTTAATCGATTGCACATTTTTGACAATTTGGATGGGAGAAAATAATTACATCTGCAAAATTAAAGCATTCTGATTTGAAGAAAATAAAAAATTTTCCATTATCAAAATCTCGAACTGAAAGCAGAATCATGCAAAGTACCTCATCCTCCTATTCAAACAGCCCCAATGTCCTCGCACACCTTGGAATATCACAAGGCCTCTCAGTTGCTTTCCACTAAAACACTGAAAAGGCGCCGCCGTGACTTCGGACATGTGTTCAAATACAAAGTAAAACTACGAGTCAAATATCAAATTGTCTGTCTTATCCAAATACAGAAGAGACATATTATTAAACACTGATGGTAATGCTAAATACTCATTTTAAAAAGACATTAAAGACAAAGTCATGCAATCCATGTCGCTAATGTCATCTAAAAGGATAAGGCCTGTTATTGTTGTCAAAAGACAAATTGGAAAACACATCCTCACCCTGTTGGATTGGCTTTGGCCAATGAACTAAGGTATGGTCCTATATCAATTAGCTACATGCACAAAACCAAACTTAATCTACATAAATCAAACAATAAGCTTAACCCACACTATGACGAAAAGGTGAAGATTGCAATGAACGAATTATAGTCGAGATACGTAAAAGGCAAAAATAACAAAAAGAAACCCATAGAACTCTTGTCTAGGCCCTTCACCCAAATAACAAAAAATTTTACTTGGGATAGGGAGCGTACACTCAACATAATTCTAGGGGGGGAAAAGTTGGAGAAATGATTTCCAAGCATACCAGAACACATGATTGTGCAGCCGAGCTTGTCAATGTCATGTCCTTAAAAGTTCACTGCAAGGTGGGAAAAAAAAAAAAAAAAGGTCCTCAAACAAGGTGGAGATAACAGTTAGCATAGAAGATAAAAGACATTGCTAACATGTGATTAAAAGCATTGCTAATAGAGTGGCTATACCAGCATGTAATAATGAAGCCTATTGAAGCCTCAGCCGCTTACAACTAAAACATACACTAAACCGTCTTGCTGTTAAGAACTATGTCAAAAAAGTATTCTTTACTGGCGGTTGCTGCTTCTGAAGCACAACTGGCGCTCTCAATTGATATAGTTCGAGACAGTACTCATCGACGCCGGACTCCTGCTTCCGGGAAAGCAACGGCGGTCCTAACCAGCAGCACTGGTCTCTACAAAATTTTTCGAAGACCACCCCGTCCACCAGTGAAGTTCGGAGACGATAGTAGCTCAACTGGCAAAACCAGCTGTATCGGAATTCGAGTCCGGCCGAAAATGGCCAGTCTTCAGGCCCAAAGAAATCAGATCAGCTTTACACGAACCCTTTTCTTTTGATGTAAGGATGTTCCCTTGCATCTGTCCCATTTCATGTCCTTACTAATACTCATAAGCTCACCGGAAAGAAATCGTGTTTTCCCCCACTTATCTTCCATTGTTTTTGAATCATCATCTTATTTAAATTTCTGGAGTCGCTATTTTTTGCTGCAGAAAAAAATTCCGCGAAATGTCATGATGTCAAACATATACCAGCATCCAATACTTGAGGAGGTATCGGCAAATTGGACAAGCATAACAAACTCACGGTGATTCCAGAAAAAATGTTGGAGGATTCAATTAGTTCATGAACTCTATTCCTTTTACTGTTTGCAAAAACAATTAATGAACACATTTCTACCGGCCTCATGATCAACGTCTTTCTTTTCTTTAATGCAAGTTAGATATTTATCCAACACGATACATGAGATAAATAGTGCGTTAATGAAATATAATTTATTAAAAAATTGAAAATTGATAAAAGCTAAAGAAAAAAGTGCAAGAGAAAAAAAGGGTTGAAAATAATTGGACAAGGAAGTATTAAAAAAATGAAAATATATATGATGTGTTGCATAAAAACTAAAAAGAAAAAATGGTAAAAAAGAATCAAAGAAAAATAAATTATAGCTAAGTTATCGGGCTTCTTATGTATTTTTTTTTTCCCGGACCGAAGGCTTCTTATGTATTCACAAAATGGCTTCTTATACATTTATAATTTATAATGTTGCAGTTCACTCGTCAACTTGTATAATTATCACTTCAACTGTTACTAAAATAATTTACTATTTCAATTAACCACTGAGTAGTTATCATTACACTAAATCCCGTAGTAGCATTGACCTTACGGGAGGGGGAAAAAAAAAAGAAGATAATAAACATGTTTCCGAAAACATTGTACAGTTCGATTTCGCAAATAGTGCGATATACAATAAAACTGATATTCTACGTTAAGCACGATGCAAAAAGAGTCCATATAACAATTATGTAGCTAAAATTCTATTAGTATCATGCATTGCCACTCGCGATGTTTCTAGTCATAGGTTGAAGTGTTGAACCTTTGAGGAAGGTGGAAGACTGGGGGTATATTATGAGGGGATAATTGATCGAATGGCCAACCGTAACAACATTGCTTAATAGGGCAAATTCCAACAATTGATAACCGAGGAAAGGCATCACTCAATCTCAGTAATCACCTACCATTCAAATCCTTGACATCTTTTGGTCCCAAAAAAAAAAAATCCTTAAAATCGAACCACTTGTTTCATGACCAAGATAAAGTACTAAACAAAAATGAAGGAGAAATAACTTAGAAACCATCAATATTAATACTAATATATAAAATCTATAGGAGAAATGACTTAAAATTCATGGATACTACGGCTTAAGTTATGTACAACGCATGAAACCTTTCACACTAGTTAGTTTCTATTTTGAGGAGGGTAAAGTTCCCATAGTGCCACTGTTGCGTCCTCTGAAGCAGAGGCCATGATTTTGGAATCAGATGAATAAGTGACAGCATTGCACTGCAAGATGAATAACCACATGTCATGGGAGTTATATGTCAAGGCAGACAAGTAGTTCTCTGACGCCAAAGTATTAAGAGATAAATCAGGTGTATGAAACAACTAACATACCGTGGCATGATGATACTTCAATATTGCCAAAGCATTTCCTTTGCGATAATTATATATCCTCACTCTGCCAATAAGATGAAATACATAGTACAGTTATACAGCGGGTCTTACATTGCACATATATATGCAAATTGCATTCAGGGTTAGAAGGGAGAGGGGTGGCAGGAAAGGCCTCTGGTTTGACGTCAATACTTCTGTAATTTTTCTTTTTTTTGGTTACAAATACTTTTGTAATTTACCTGATGCGGATGTTCATATTTCCAAGCAAATCTAACGACCTCACTTTATAGCAATGAAAATAAGAAATTCTACAATCTCTACTTCAAACCATATATTTTTCCCACAAGAATTTAACTCATGGCACATGAAACCTGACCTATTTTCCTCGTGAATCATAAAATGCATGGATATGAAAACTAACTTATTCTGATCCACCTTCAGCAGGAGTCTCTAGAATGAAGTAAAATTAAACATCCCATCAAGGATATTAAAAAACAAAAAAACAAAACAAAAACAAAAGAATTTTTTCTTCACACAGCATATGGAAAGGATCACATTACCGTTTTTGCTCAAAACTTTAGCATGTCAAAATACCCTACTCCATATAAAGAAAACTGCACATGTTATAATTTCAAATTTCAACTACAAATCAATAGATGTTCGCCGGCGATGTAAAAGCTTTTGGTTTGCACTTAAGAGTAAGTATAGAGTAATGAAGAAAGCATGCCAAATTCTGATAGATTAACTGAAGAGTTTGCACTTAATAGTAAGTATAGATTAAACACTAGCAGAAAACCAGTAACGCATTTACAACCTATGGTCCCAGCCAGCAGTGGCAGCAAGTTTTCCGTCCGGTCTGATTGAGGTGCCTGATATTCCAGGTCGCTCCAAGTTGATTTCTCTCTTGACCATACACGTACCCTTAAGACAATATATTACATAAAAAGAAAACATGGTTCATAAGTTGTGAGCTGCAAACTGAAAAACTATCAGAAGATACAATCAAGCAATCAGTAATTCTTTGTTCACATACCCAGCTTCACAAAAACTCATTATTGACCATCCCCACTCATTTCATTATGTTTGTTTACCATTTGTTTACAGTATATATCTTGAATCCCTTGTTAATCTCACAGTTTTTTTATAAGAACCTAGAAAATGACCAGTTAAAAATTTCAATAAATTGACATCCAAGTTGAAACTGGATTATAACATGAGCCTTGGACTTTTTGCCCCTGGTGCTTTTTGGAATAATACCTGGGTTTTGCCTTCCAACAGTGAATATCACCAATCTGATCTCGATCTGTGGAGTCTATTGCAATATTAACATGACTCTACTAACATCAAACCTTCTAAAAATACAAAACAAATGATTTTATAACAGTAAATTTTAACTTTTTTTTTTTCTCCCGATGCCATAACAGTTTGCTCATTCCATTAACAATAAGATACGAGCAAGCAATTGAATGGTAAAGATAGAGAAGAGTACGATAGAGCTATTTTGGCATCATTAAACCATGCTCATCAGCCAATCACTGAAACATGTTCATTGGCTTATGGTAAGATCTAAAGAGAGCACTAAGGCATGGCAAAGTTACAAGTGACCTGCTTTCTTCAACACAGTTTACAGATGCATAACAAATAAGCAAAAGAAAATTTTATATGATGGGAGATGTTTCAGTGGAAGAGAAGTTATATGATAAACAAAATTACCGTAGAATGCTCCAAGCTATACATTACAATTTTGTCATCTGCAGCTCCAGATATACCTCCCTTGCAAAACCCATCAATACAAACACTAAGAACTGCACAAAAGACAAGCAACGTAAGAAATTTTAGTCGACAAAATGATTACACAAAGTTCAGTGGTGCTAGGGGCAACACCTGGTTCAGAATGGAACTTCACAGGGGTTACAGGAGTTCCAGGATTCCGTACGTCCCACCAAAGCATGGAACCATCTTCATATCTATCACATCCAAAATATGATATTAGAGGAGACAGTCATGCTATAAAAGGAATTAATCAATCAAATGACGAAGAAATGGTCTATAAAATTACAGATACCAGAAACAGAGAAGTCCTGATACTAATGATCCTAACAATTTTCACAGGGAATTGAAACATTGATCAAACAAATATAGGCACGGTTAAAAAAAGACGGTCCTAATGAGACTAAAGATGCAATTCACCGATTTGAGGAATAATTTCAGCTGGCAAGGATGAATCAAATCTATAGCTGATTGGCACAAATTTACAGTAGGTCATGTGCTTTTACATCCCAGGGATAAATAGAATACAGGCTAAGGTGATGTTTGGGTACGATACTTGGTAAACAATAGTTTTAAAAAAATAAGACAAGCAAAAATAACTGCTCCAACAGGAACTTGATTACAGATAAATGCCAAAAGCACAAATTATGTGGCATATAGTGAGACATCAAAGACTCAAAACATACTCCACATCTAGAATAGTTTGGCAATATTGTTAAATTTATAAATCAATACTACATATCCAAGCTTTATGGGGAACACTATACCCAGCCAAGACATTCAGAAATCCTTGAGATTCAGAAGGTAAAAATAATTGAAGCGCCATGCACATCCCTGTAAAACACTGAACGTTTAGTTTTTAAAGCCAAAAAAAGGGGGAGAAAAGCAACGTAATAAAAATAGACGAAAATATTAATAAATAACATAGCACATATATGTTGACGTCAATAAAAAATCGGTGCTTGTCTGTTATGAAGACAAGTAAATATGCAAGGGGCAATGGACAGTCTACTTGACTGATAGAGTGAGAATTGCATGGATATAAAATTACGGGATAACCTGAGCAATGCAAATTTCCGAAAAAGATGGCGTTTGGGAAACTAAGCTCAGACATCATAAAGAGCAGAAATGAACCTCTGTTTTTATCACAGACATTTGAGGAGCTACTAGGAATGTTTGAAGGTAGTTGTGCGAACTTCTTTGCAGACTTGAGGTCCCAAATTTCAACCTTCACAGCAGAGAGAATTAACAAGCATCAAGGACACCAGAATTTTTCCAACAAGAATACATCAACAAAAATAAACACTGGTATGCTTAAATCAGGTGCCCACCAACCTCAGAAGGCTGCTCCCCCGATAAAGCCACATATTCTTCAGGACATGCTTTACCTGAAAACAATGAGGTTTTCATCAATCAACAGATTCCAAACAAGTACTGAAATAATTGTTTTAAACCCGAACATCAATATGAAGCCAACAGATACATGTGTAGTTCTACTCTGACATCACAATTATGTGATGTGATGTCAATCTAATATTGATGTATGGAAAAGATAGTAAAGAGGGGGAAAGAGAGAAAAACAAAGGGAAATAGGGAGAAAGAGATGGATAGATAGACGAGAGAGAGGAAGAGAGAAACAGAGAAAGAGGCTCAAGTCTATTATTCCAAAAGTTGATTATCTCGTGCCCTTTTATAGGCCATAATCATTAATACCCAATTAACGAACTTACCCATTAACCCCTTAACTAACTTCCCTTTCACCTATTTATTACATAAAAAATATCATAAGCAATAGAAATAATCCTAATACCAGAGGGGAGAACTGCAAATATATATATATATATATAGAGAGAGAGAGAGAGAGAGAGAGAGAGTAGTCTGAAAACCTTATCAAAACTAAATTTACCGACCTTCAGAGCTTTCAGAACTACCATGGTTGGACGGAGTCTCTTCTCTTCTAAGTTCCAGATTTTCAGTATCAGAATTTCCCTTTAGCTCCATTCTGAGGCAATCTCTTGACGCATTCTCTTCTTTAGATTTAGACCAAGTGATGGGCTTCTTCACTAAGGAAAGCTTGCAAAAATGGTAAGAGTTTGTCTTGATTGTAAGATGTGGAATCCTGCGACGGAGTTAAATACGGAGGGGTTAAATGATAAGTAAGAACAAGTCGGTAATTGGTTTGTTTATAACAACTATTACTATTATTCGGGAAAAAGAGGTCGAGTCATGTTCAAAGTCAAAAAGAGTTTATTCAGCGTTAACAGTTGATAATGTAGGATGCCAGCAAGTATGAAATTTAAAACCGAAATCTCACAGAATGTAAAGCAATCAAAAGAAAAGAACAAAGAACAACTTCATCGATATGGTTGTGTACCTGGACAAACCACCATCACCAATATCCCATAGTTTCACAGTTCCATCCCTACCCTGGCTAAACGTACATAGAATAACTTCAATCAAAATGAAACTCAATAAAATGAGCAAACGAATTCCCACAAACTATTTAATGAAAACTATAGAATGGCAAAGTGCGGAATGAAGGTAAGCACCTCAGAAATTTATTGGTTCCAAGGGATGCGCTACTAGCCAAAGCAATTATCCCATGGGCGGCACTGTGTATCCTGCCATTTGGTATTGCATCTAAATTATTTGTACAATTGGAGAACTCGGAAGACAAATCCAAGATTCCCGAAACAAAAAGGGGGAAAGGGAAGGTTCTTTACATGATTAGGAAGCAAAATGATTACAAAGGCTGAATTACCAAAAAATTGAAGAAATGGATACCATGCAGATGACAAAGTTCGATGTTGAATGGTATCCCAAATCCGAAGTTCACCATCAGCAGAACTGCAGGCAAGAAGACAACCAAGCCACTGGTTGAGCCAAACTAATTATATAGGTAAACAATTAAATAAAACAGTCACGGATACCAATGTCTAGTACAATCAATACCAATCATCAATAATTATATAAAAATCAAATTGTCTACCCAGAGAATAATATGGATTTAAATGGATGAAAACAAATGTCCATAACAGAAGCACGGTGGCCTCGCAATACGGCCACAGGATCTGGTGGCGGCCTTTTGTTCATTCTTTCACTTTCTCGTCCAAATATAACCTAAAAGGCTCAGCAGCGCCTACAATTAACTACTGGAAGTGGCGAACAGCTTCTCCTTGTGACATGCTGAGCTTCATCCTCTTATCAAGTCAAACGACTGTGACAGGTGCGTAGTGCGCAGTGCCGTGCCAGTGACCGTGACCTGTGCTTGCTGCTGCAGCGCTTTTAGTTCGTTTGCAAAATCACTAGTGAGCAAGGGCAAAGTCTAGAGGAGGAGAGAACCCAAGGTCGCTGTTACTTCCAGAAGCGGCAGTAGGTAGGGTATAATTAGAAACTGTAACGAAGACAGCTTCAAAAGACGATCGCAGAGATGCATGCAATGATGCAACCTGTGAAGCCTTTGAGTTTTGCCGGGAGAAAGGATTTCGATACATCAAGTTTTCATCGATAGAGCCGCGTGAATTAAGACGTTAAGAAAGAGACCTGGGTCCTCTGGAGGACATTATTTATTGTATTATATTCTAAGAAAAGCATAAGGTAGAAATAATTTCTCAGCTTAAATTTTAATAAGAAAGTAGAAAATCCCCTCCCCAAAATACCTCTTGAATTTCAAAATTCAAAATAAAAAAATTATTATAAAAATGTGGTGTCATTTGTTTTTCAAATGTAATAAGAGGTTTTTTTGGGAGATTTTTCTTTTTATATAATAAACTTGACATCTAGAAGTTTCAAATTCTGTACCATCCTTTTTTTTTTTGTTGCAATTGAATTTATAATGGAAGAGATGTCTTAGATTTCTAATAAAAAGAATTTGAAACTTATCTACATTAATAAAAGAAATTTATGGCGCACAGGATCAAATGTTTGATGCAGAATTTGAAATTAAAAAATTTAAAAAGAATTTTAAACCTATCTAAGAGAAACTTATCTTAGATGTCTTAGGAATTTATGCTAGTCATCTCCATGGCGCACAGGATCAATGTAAATTTAGACACGTTTCTAAAGTTTCAAATTGCTATGACACCTAAAAACAGTTATGACAGTTACAATGCAAGTGGACATCTCAATTATCTGAACATCATAGATATGCTTAATGGCCGACCGTGTTCTGGAGACAATACCAATTGTCATTTTCGAATATAAAGAATTTCTCAAGGGGAGCAGAAGGAATCCCATTTTAATTATCCAATCAGACTGGGAAAAAAAAAAAAACTCATTTCCCTGTAATATCTACAACTGTTTGAAGGTAAACAAATAAGCTCAAACGTTAATTAAGTTGGTTCTGCCATCACCTAGGAACACATGAACGTGAGAATTGTGGGAGAGTACTTAAGGATAGTGAAGCAACATGGAAATGGTGGCTCTACCATAACTTATAACATAATGCTTTAACGACGGAGTTTTAAAGTCTCATTAAAAAGAGTTCGAGTTATCTTCAAATTTTTCTCCCTTATTATTACCTTTGGATATGGGGTGACGAGACCAAAAGATCAGAAGAGCCTCGCGAGTTGATCAAGAGCTGCAGTGATCAAGCTGTCAAGACTCACCAAAAGGGTCCACAAGGCTACAAGCTGCTCTTACAGCGAATAAGAGCATTCATCCGCGAAGAGGGAATAGGAAATAGAGCTCAAGCCCATTCAAGGGGTAACAAATAGATGCATGGGATCAAAAGGCTTCCTATAACTATCCATAACAGCACCTCTAATTCCTAATATAATATAAGAGCTAGTATGTAATTAAGCTTAATCATAAATATAAGATCTCAATTCATTTTGTATTTCATACTTATCATTTATTTTTTAAACTAACCCAAATCAAGAGACAATTTCAATACAAACTATTTGAGAAGGTATTTTAGAAATCAATACATATTTTTAACAAATAACTAATTTAGCTGATTTTTTTAATATACTAAAATTAACTAAATAGATGTTATATCAAGGATAAGATATAGTACTGTCTTATATATTTTATAATCTTTTTAATAATATACAAATAATTAAATTACCTGTATTAAAAGCTGGTTAAATATAAGGAACATATTAAAAATACTCCGCTGGCCTTTAATATATGACTCAATTATTGAGTTAGTTTTGGTCCTAAACATAAGACCCATCTCTTATATTTATCAATTTTCTTAAATTACCCTTATGGATACTCCCCAACTATAATCAAGTAGAAGAAGAATGGGGTATTAAGAAAAATAATCATAATATTTTAGGAAAAACGTGTCACATTTCTTATAATTAACTAACTTACCTAACTTCATTAATCTAATCAAATTAGTTAAATGAGTTTTATATTAAGAACTGAAAGAGTATAACTTATTTTTAGAAAACCTTTATTTATAAAGGGAGCGAGTGAAAGAAAGGAGAAAATAAGATGATGAGTGCATTAAAATTGACAAATACACCTTAATATAAAATATAAAAATCAGTTAACTAATTTGAACAGATTAAAATATTTTTTAAAGCTAGTTATTTACAATAAACATGTATTGTCTTCTGTAAAATATTTTTGCTAATAATATATATTAGTTAGAATTACTATTTGATAAAAATTTTAACATATATAATTACTACAAAGACTATTTTAACAAAAAAAAGTAAGTATGAGAGATAAAATAGATTTAGGATCTTATATTTACGATTAAAATAAATATTAAAAAATAAAAATAAAAATTAATACTACCTCTAATTCTAATTCTAATGATAAGATTTTTGTTTGTAGACTTACAATTAGGATAGTATGAAATCCTGACACAATCACTATCTCGCATATGAGATGTAAAAATTTCCGAAAAATTCATTTGTCCACGTGTGGCTTTCGGCAAGCGCGCGTACGGCGTACGATAGCCCTCGTAAAGGTCGGGTGCGCGGGTTTTCGCCTATAAATTAGACGCTAGGGCGTCAGATCTTGTTTCTTCGTCCTGAGGAGAATTTCTCTCGGGGAGGGATTAGCAGCCGATCCCTTCGAAGCTGCTTAAACTGAGAAAGCGTGGGAAACTTTAAAGCACTACAACTACCAATAATCCAAAAACCCAATAGAAAAGTGTTGGCGATATTTAGTTTTGAGCTTAATTTTAAGCATTTCCCCCCAAACCCTAACTGATAGATTTCCTTCTCGATCAACACCGCCATGGATATACGGTTCCCATACTCGCCGGCTGAGGTCGCTAAAGTTCGTTTGGTTCAGTTCGGCATACTCAGCCCCGATGAGATCGTAATTCTCGCTACTATATCTACTTCTCAAGTTTTCTTGGAAACCGATGGAAATGAGAATTAGAATTTTTCACTAGGCCTCAGTTCTTGATTGATTTGTGTGGTTGTAAAGGAAGTTTCTGAACTTATTGTTACTTGGTTTGGTTTGCGCAGAGACAAATGTCTGTAGTGCAGATTGAACATGGAGAGACAACGGAGAGGGGCAAGCCGAAGATTGGAGGATTGAGTGACCCTCGGCTTGGTACCATTGATAGGAAGATGAAGTGCGAAACCTGTACAGCGAACATGGCCGAGTGCCCGGGCCACTTTGGGCACCTGGAGCTTGCGAAGCCTATGTTTCATATTGGGTTCATAAAGACTGTGCTCACTATTATGCGTTGCGTTTGCTTCAACTGCTCTAAGATTCTAGCCGATGAGGTAATTGCTTTCCTTCGCGAAGTATCAAGCGGATTTGGTACAGCTACTTTATATTTTTGGATGGGAATTTGAATTCCATAAAAGATTCTCGATCTGCACTTAGTGTTTACTGCACAAAATGTCAGCAAATTAGACTTATATCGTCGAACACATCTGAGGTCGTTTCCATGTTTGTCAGCTCTTAGTCATGTGCATCAAGTACATCGTTATTTTGTTGGCCGAACACGTCATTTTTGTATGAAGCTGCTGGACAAGCATCCACTTAGGAAGCCCATTTTTTTCTTCTTCTCACGCTTGATCATGGAAGTTTAAGTTGTTGTCTTTCCTTTGGGTCGGTTGATTCTTCATGGATGGTTTATGGCACTATAATATAACTGTTGATGTTTTTGTTGATTGGACTTTCATCGTGACAGGATTTTGTTGTGTTTTCTTATTTGATCTTCTCTGTTTTAAGTGCAGAAAACTGTTAACCATGCTGCAAGTCTTAATTTGGTTGTTTATTCTATAGGAAGATCATAAATTTAAGCAAGCTTTGAGGATAAGGAATCCCAAAAATAGGCTGAAAAAGATTTTGGATGCGTGTAAAAACAAAACCAAATGTGAAGGTGGTGATGAGATTGATGTTCATGCTCAAGACGCTGAGAAACCAGTTAAAAAAAGTCGTGGTGGCTGTGGTGCCCAACAACCAAAGCTCACCATTGAGGGTATGAAAATGATTGCGGAGTACAAGGCTCAAAGGAAGAAAAGTGATGACCAGGAACAACTTCCTGAACCTGTGGAAAGGAAACAGACTCTTACCGCAGAACGGGTAATGATTTGAACCTATAGAGCTTATAGGTCCATTGCTGCAGAATATGTGTTGATAACGACTTGTTGAATCTGTTGAAGGTTCTTGGTGTTTTGAAAAGGATTAGTGATGAAGACTGCCAATTGTTGGGTTTGGATCCTAAGTATGCCCGTCCTGATTGGATGATTTTACAAGTTCTTCCAATTCCTCCACCACCTGTGAGACCTTCTGTAATGATGGACACTTCCTCTAGGAGTGAGGCAAGTAACTTTTTTTTTTTTAGAAACAAAATCAACAGTGTTTTTTGTTGTCGTTGATTTTCTTTGCCTGCTGGCTACTGCCAGTGATTACTGATGACATTTACTGGCCAACTGTAATTTTTTCTGCAATCTGTTGATGCTGACTATTTCTCTGTCTTCTGTAGGATGATTTGACTCATCAGCTGGCGATGATCATCAGGCACAATGAGAATTTGAAGAGACAGGAGAGAAATGGATCGCCTGCACATATCATTTCTGAGTTTGCCCAGTTGCTGCAGTTTCACATCGCTACATATTTTGATAATGAATTGCCTGGGCTGCCAAGGGTATAATTGTTTATTCATAGGCATTTATTTCTGATTAGTGGTACATTTTATGCTAACTTGAACCTTTGTTGTATTTTACAATGTATGGGGGTGATATATTCTTTTTTAAATTCAATGTGTGTTTTCTTATAGGCTACACAAAGATCAGGTAGGCCTATCAAATCAATATGTAGCAGGCTTAAGGCAAAAGAAGGCCGGATTAGGGGTAACTTGATGGGGAAGAGAGTAGATTTTTCTGCACGAACAGTAATTACACCAGATCCGACAATTAACATTGATGAATTGGGAGTGCCGTGGAGTATTGCTCTAAATCTTACATACCCTGAGACAGTGACTCCTTATAACATTGAAAGGTTAAATTATATGATTGTTGTTGCTTGACACATATTTAACCTTTATAGTTCTTGACTAAAATTTATTGGGAATTAAAAAAAAAAAAACAGGTTGAAGGAACTCGTGGAATATGGACCCCATCCTCCGCCTGGAAAAACTGGTGCCAAGTACATCATTCGAGATGATGGACAAAGGCTTGATCTTCGATATTTGAAGAAAAGTAGTGATCACCATTTGGAGCTTGGATACAAGGCATTGTTTTGGAACTATGGCTAATTTTTAAATTAAATTTTGCTCTCGCTGTTTTCTTACAACTTTTAAGGATGTGATTTTAGGTGGAGCGTCATTTGAATGATGGAGACTTTGTCCTATTCAACCGGCAGCCTAGTCTTCATAAGATGTCTATCATGGGGCACAGAATCAAAATCATGCCTTATTCTACTTTCCGGCTGAACTTGTCTGTTACTTCACCATATAATGCTGATTTTGATGGGGATGAAATGAATATGCATGTTCCTCAGTCATTTGAAACCAGAGCTGAGGTGTTGGAGCTCATGATGGTGCCTAAGTGCATTGTGTCACCTCAGTCGAATAGGCCAGTCATGGGAATCGTCCAAGATACACTTTTAGGATGCAGAAAAATCACTAAGAGAGATACCTTCATAACAAAGGTTTGATTTAGACAACTCTCTATTGTTTCATTTTACTTGATCGTTATTGTATGATCCATTCAGGAGATGTTAAAAGCTACTCTTTGTAGGATGTTTTTATGAACATTTTGATGTGGTGGGAAGATTTTGATGGGAAGGTCCCAGCTCCAGCAATACTGAAGCCAGAACCATTGTGGACTGGAAAGCAAGTTTTTAATCTCATCATACCAAAACAAATAAATCTCATTAGATATTCAAGCTGGCACCAAGAGGGGGAAACTGGGTTTGTAACTCCTGGTGATACGGTTGTCAGAATAGAGAAAGGGGAATTACTTACTGGAACTCTTTGCAAAAAGACGCTTGGAACATCTACTGGCAGTCTTATACATGTCATTTGGTATGTAATTTCTGTATGTAATTACTGCTATAGCATTTATACCTTTAATTATTTCTGAATACAACAACAAATAAGACTATATCTACAACTACGGCCTCTTTTGAAATGAGAAAACATTTTTTTTTTTTTGGGTGAACTTCCCAGGTAACATTTTTTATGAGTTTGGGGGTGTTGACTGTTGATGAAAGCCCATCTTCCAATAGGATTGTTGGTTGTATCATGGAATGTTTTTTGTAGAAGTAATGTTGAAGTTTGTGTGGTTTGCAGTGGTTGTTTCAGTGAAATCTTCCTGTATTCTTCCTTCTGTTTACTGACTGTCTGCTTTGAATATAGGGAGGAGGTTGGCCCTGATGCTGCTCGTAAATTCCTTGGTCATACTCAGTGGCTTGTTAACTACTGGCTTTTGCAGAATGGTTTTACCATTGGAATTGGTGATACCATTGCGGATGCGGCAACTATGGAGACTATTAATCAGACTATTGCAAATGCTAAGGAGGAGGTGAAAAGGCTTATTAGGGATGCACAGGACAAGAAGTTGGAGGCTGAACCTGGACGAACAATGATGGAATCCTTTGAAAATAGAGTGAACCAGGTGCTCACATTGTATTGCACTGCCTTATTAAATTTTCTTGTTTCTTTTGTTGAGCCTAATGTTCTTTAATTCTCCGTGGAATGCTCTTAGACGCTGAATAAAGCTCGTGATGATGCTGGAAATAGTGCACAGAAAAGTTTGTCTGAGAGCAATAATCTGAAAGCAATGGTTACAGCTGGTTCAAAAGGAAGTTTCATTAACATATCTCAGATGACTGCTTGTGTGGGCCAGCAGAATGTTGAGGGCAAGCGGATACCATATGGGTTCATAGACCGGACATTGCCCCATTTTACAAAGGATGATTATGGACCTGAAAGCCGTGGCTTTGTGGAGAACTCATACCTTCGTGGGCTAACCCCTCAAGAGTTCTTCTTTCATGCCATGGGTGGGAGGGAAGGTCTTATTGATACTGCTGTTAAGACCTCTGAAACTGGGTACATTCAGAGGAGACTTGTAAAGGCTATGGAGGATATTATGGTTAAATATGATGGTACAGTTAGGAACTCATTGGGAGATGTTATTCAATTTCTGTATGGAGAAGATGGTATGGATGCTGTTTGGATAGAAACACAGAAGTTGGATTCATTAAAAATGAAAAAGTCAGAATTTGACAAGTCTTTCAGGTATGAGTTTGATGATGAAAACTGGAAGCCTAATTATATGCTTGAAGAACCTGTAGAAGATTTGAAAACCATAAGAGAATTCCGGAATGTGTTTGAGGCTGAAGTTCAAAAGCTTGAAACAGATAGACACCAGCTTGCAACTGAGATAGCAACTACTGGTGATAGTTCTTTGCCTCTGCCTGTTAATCTGAAGAGGCTGATCTGGAATGCTCAGAAGACATTTAAGGTGGATTTCCGAAGGCCTTCAGATATGCATCCTATGGAAATTGTTGAAGCCATTGATAAGCTCAAGAGAGATTGAAGGTTGTTCCTGGTGAAGATCTCTTGAGTCAAGAAGCTCAAAAGAATGCAACTCTCCTGTTCAACATTCTTCTCCGTAGCACTTTTGCTAGTAAGAGGGTCTTAGCAGAATACAGGCTTTCTCGTGAGGCATTTGAGTGGGTTGTGGGGGAAATTGAGTCTCGATTCTTACAGTCTCTTGTAGCCCCTGGAGAAATGATCGGTTGTGTTGCAGCTCAATCTATTGGTGAGCCAGCCACTCAAATGACACTGAACACCTTTCACTATGCTGGTGTCAGTGCGAAGAACGTTACTCTTGGTGTTCCTAGGTTGAGGGAAATCATTAATGTAGCAAAGAGAATCAAAACACCTTCCCTCTCTGTCTACTTGAAACCCGAGGTCAATAAGACTAAAGAGAAGGCAAAGAATGTTCAATGTGCCTTGGAATATACTACTCTTAGGAGTGTTACGCAAGCCACAGAAGTATGGTATGATCCAGACCCAATGAGCACAATTATCGAAGAGGATATTGATTTTGTGAAATCCTACTATGAAATGCCAGATGAAGAAGTTTCCCCTGAGAAAATATCTCCTTGGTTGCTTCGCATAGAATTAAATCGTGAAATGATGGTGGATAAGAAGTTGAGCATGGCTGACATTGCTGAAAAGATCAACCTTGAATTTGACGATGATTTAACTTGTATATTTAATGATGACAATGCTGAAAAACTTATACTTCGCATCCGGATTATGAATGATGAAGCTTCCAAGGGAGAAATTCAGGATGAATCTGCTGAAGATGATGTATTTCTGAAGAAAATAGAGAGCAACATGCTGACTGAAATGGCTTTACGAGGCATCCCAGACATTAACAAAGTTTTCATTAAAAACACTAAAATTCAGAAGTTTGATGATGGACAAGGTTTCAGGCCTTATGATGAGTGGATGCTTGATACCGAAGGTGTCAACCTTTTAGCTGTGATGTGTCATGAAGATGTTGATGCGTCAAGGACCACAAGCAATCACTTAATTGAAGTGATTGAAGTTCTAGGTATTGAAGCAGTTCGTCGTGCTCTTCTGGATGAGTTACGTGTTGTAATATCTTTTGATGGCTCTTATGTCAATTACCGGCATCTGGCCATTCTTTGTGATACCATGACTTATCGGGGCCATTTGATGGCAATAACTCGTCATGGCATTAATCGGAATGACACTGGACCAATGATGAGGTGCTCATTTGAAGAGACGGTGGATATTCTCCTTGATGCTGCAGTATATGCCGAGTCTGATTACTTGAGGGGTGTCACTGAAAATATTATGTTAGGCCAGCTTGCCCCCATTGGAACTGGAAGCTGTGCCTTGTATCTCAATGACGAGATGCTGAAGAATGCTATTGAGCTCCAGCTACCTAGTTACATGGAAGGTCTTGATTTTGGCATGACACCTGCAAGATCGCCTTTCTCAGGAACTCCTTATCATGAAGGCATGATGTCACCAAGTTATTTGTTGAGTCCCAATCTGAGGTTGTCACCTACTACTGATGCACAGTTTTCTCCTTATGTTGGTGGAATGGCATTCTCCCCAGCTTCTTCTCCTGGTTACAGTCCATCCTCACCAGGTTACAGTCCATCCTCACCTGGCTACAGTCCCACGTCACCTGGCTACAGTCCCACGTCACCTGGTTATAGTCCCACGTCACCTGGTTACAGTCCCACCTCTCCTACTTACAGTCCTAGCTCTCCAGGATATAGCCCAACTAGTCCTGCATATTCACCTACAAGCCCTTCTTATTCGCCCACCTCTCCAAGCTACAGCCCCACCTCTCCAAGCTACAGCCCCACCTCACCAAGCTACAGCCCCACCTCACCAAGCTACAGCCCCACCTCCCCAGCCTACAGCCCCACCTCCCCAGCTTACAGCCCCACTTCCCCTGCGTACAGCCCTACCTCACCTTCATACAGCCCAACATCTCCATCGTACAGCCCAACATCTCCATCGTACAGCCCAACATCACCATCCTACAGCCCAACATCACCCTCCTACAGCCCACATCACCCTCTACAGCCCTACTTCGCCAGCATATAGCCCCACATCTCCTGGCTACAGTCCAACATCACCTAGTTACAGTCCGACCTCACCAAGTTATAGCCCCACTTCCCCTAGTTACAATCCACAGTCAGCAAGATACAGCCCGTCACTGGCTTATTCCCCAAGCAGTCCAAGGATATCTCCGTCAAGTCCATACAGTCCTACATCCCCAAATTACAGGTGAGCCATCTTTGGATTTATATAGTATTTCATACTGAGTGGTTTAAATAGAACTTGTAGGGATAGCAGGATGACTCGATTCTATGACATGATTGGTTTTTCTCTTGTTTTCTAGTTGTTTGATTGTTAGCCATTTGACTGATTTTTTTTCATTTCCTTCCTTTCTTCCATGCTGTATCCCCCCCCCCCCCAAAAAAAAAAAATCATAAAATGTAAATCAATTGCTAATGCATCCTGTGTTAGAGCTTTCCACCGAGTAGTTTGTCTAACTTCTTGTTTGATCCAGCCCCACGTCACCATCATATTCGCCAACATCTCCGTCTTATTCACCATCTAGCCCAACATACAGCCCTAGCAGGTATGCTAACTCCATTTATGATCTGTGTTTTTGAAGCATTTGGCTTATTATTCTACACGAAAGTTGCTATTTATCCTGCATTCTCTGTATTGAGAACAAGGGTGGTGTTCGAGACCCCTCTTTAATCTGCCATGAAAACAAGAGAGTTGGTTAGTTCAAAATCTGATGTTTAACAATGCATGTTTTTGTCTTTTTTAGCCCATATAATTCTGGTGTAAGCCCGGACTATAGCCCAAGTTCTCCCCAATTCAGGTGAGCATTTCTGTACTTTGTTCTTCAAATGTCACGATCACGCAGGTATATAGAACTATTAAATGATTGATTTATAACGTTGATTTTATGGGATAATCTGCAGTCCCAGTACTGGCTACTCACCAAGTCAACCTGGGTACTCGCCTTCATCTACCAGCCAGTACACTCCCCAGACTAGTGACAAGGATGATCGGAGTAGTCGCTGAGGTATAAATTGCTTCAGAGAGCTGTGTTGAAGTGAGATTTGACTGACTGAGTTATGAATTTTGTTTCATTATCATTGGTCAATTTGCAGTTGAATGTAGATATCATGACTAATTGGCAATTGTCAATGTTAAAAAGCCACTTTAGGCCACTCGCAGCGGATTGAACACTGAAGCCTTGCTGGGTTCCTTTGGGATGTTTCATTCCCATGTTGTCAAGCTTTAGCCTCAGGGGATGAGCATGATAATGTTACTTTAGCATTGGTTGCTGGGAAATATCACGTTGATCAGGGCATTTTTATTTTTGGGCAACATTTTTACTGACTAAGCGACCCATGCTGCTATGCATACTTGTCTGTTTGATCCTATAATATGTGAGTGCGGACAGAAGTGTGTACTAGTACTCGCTGAATAATTACAGTATTGTCAGTGCAAGGTTTAAATGTGTAGCTGAATGAGAGTTTTGCTGTATCTGTAACAAAATTGAATGTTGTATATTTATCAGTTTCACCTAAAAGGACAATATTTTGTTGCTGATTTTAGCCGCCATAAGACCAGTATGTTAACTTGGCCCCCCCAAAAAAAAAAAAAATGTTAAATTGAATGTTAATATTTTAAAAAATAAGACACATAATGAATGTAAGAAAGTTGATGTAAATATTATCTTTTAGATAATAACATGATAAATTTATGTTGACAATATTTTTTAGCATGGGAACTTTTTTAACGCGAACTTTTTATGGATCTATCAGTATTTTAATTAATTACAGTTAAATGCGTCATCATGCATAATAAAAACCTGCATGCGTGTGCGAACATGAAATTAAGTGGGACACCGCATGAATGGAAAATGAAAAATAAATAATCATTTTATTCCACCGGTCCTTTGGAAGTTGGAACTCAATCTAAGTTTTCCACTATTAAGGCCCAAAAACAAAAAAATTGGTTTCATTCGGCCCACGCCCACGCGAACAGAGAAAAATATCTAGTTAGTAAGAAGTCAGTTCATAATTCACAAAGTCATGAATTCGAATCCCACTGCCGATATGAAGACTTTGTTGGTGAGTGATCTGTAAGTACTCCTCCGGTCCTTAATATATGACCCAATTGTTGAGTTGGTTTTAGTCCTAAATATAAGACTCGTTTTTTATATTTATCAATATTCTCTAAATTACTCCTATGGATACTCTCTCAACCATAATTAAGTAAAAGAGGAAGAGAGGGTATTAAAAAAGATGATTATAATATTTTAGAAAAAACGTGTTACATTTCTTATAATTAACTAACTTACCTAACTTCTTTAATCTAATCAAAATAGTTAAATAGGTCTTATATTAAGGACCGGAAGAATATCTTTGTAAGCGTTCTCTAAGCTCGAAAGCATGTCCGGGTTCTAGTGAGGTCCTAGGACCTAACTCACCTAAACTTTTGTATACTAAAAAAGCAAATAATATTAATTAATTTGTGTCTGAAAATTGATTTCATTTTTTTTTTCACTTATACCTTTCATAAATGCCCATCATTTCCATCTTACCAAGCTGCAGGGGAAAGATTGTACATTGATCCGTCGAAAAGGCCAAGCCTTTTTATTTATCTTTCAAGGGTATTTTTAAAAATATTATTAATTATTACTAATTACGAAGCATCACAACCGTTAAAATCTGCTCTTCATGATTAGATGGAAGGGGTAATATATAAAAATGCGCACCATTCACAAGCTTATTTATTAAATTTCATATTGGATATAAGTGATAATCCAGAGGACAAAAAAGCTTCTGTTCCGTATTTAGATTTTAGATGCTCAGCTGGGTTGTATTTGATAGAGCTTCCTTCAGTGGCTTATTTAACTCCTAATCCCTAGTGCTTTAACTCCTGTCTGTTTGTGCCAATTTCTCGTGTCCTTGATTTGTTTTTGTTGGTTTGCAGTTAGCTACTGTTCTTGAACTTTAATATTCAATTTCAATGGCTTCTTTTCACCTAAAAAAAAAAATTTTAGCGATCATCTCAACACATCTGACAAGTTTGAAATAAAGAGGTGTTTGGAAGTACCCAAAAGTACTTTTTAAAAATATTTTTTCGCAAAACGAGACAAACTCCTTCATATATTTACTTCGTACATTGTAAAAACATTTTTAAAATTATAATTTTGACTCTATCCAAACACCCTATAAATATTATTCGGGTTCATTCCCCCCATTAGCAAGTATCAATGAATAAGTGGAGTATTTGTTGCTTGATGAGTTGATAAGTATAAAACTTAGGTAACTAATTCATATAAATTAAAATAATTAGTTAAATTAGATACTTGTTATTATTATGCAAAAAATTATAATATTATTTTTTTAAAAAAATACCCATATTCTAATAAGAGTCATGAACGTGAGAGATAAAGAAAGTAAAAAAAAAAAAACTGTGAAATCAATTAGAATAATGAGAAAAGCTATCTGGTGGTGTACGTCTCCAGTTCAAATATTGAAAACGTAACAACGTTAAATATAGGGAAAATTTCACTGTAGGACCGCAGAAGACAAAAAATTTCAAAGAGCCCCCAAAACATTCTGAAATCTCACTGCAGGACCAAGGGGCCAATCTGATATTAATTCCACAAGCGAAATGACGCCACTGCCCCTAATGAAGACTTATTTCCTCCGAAAATGAGACATATTATCAGCGGGTGTAAAAGACGGAAGAAAGACGGAAAGGGAGGAGATGGCGTTATTTCCTGCCTCTCCCATGCAGCGCGCCGGTGCGGAAGGGAGATAGCTGACAACCATGAGCTGAGAAAACGCAGTGGCGGAGCTTCACTTTTGCGGTCCGTCCCTCCGCCGTCTTTCGGACTCCAAGCTAGAGTTGGTGCAAGAGAGAGAAGTCGCAAGTGTGCCCTACAGTGTTGCGTGTTCTCTGGAAGTAGCGTCAGGTTGGCGTGGGAGGTAAGATTTTGTTGTTAAAATTTCGGTTTTGTTGGTGTGATTCGGTTAGCACAGGTGGGTTGTGATGGGTGAATGAGGAAGAAATGAGTATTTAAGTGCATGGGCATGTAGGTTGGGAGTGAGTTGCAAATCTTACGGTTTTATGGTTTGAGAAATTCATGCTGATGCTGTTTTAAGTTGTTAAAGATGTGGTGTTTGTGATGTTTTCAAAAGTGGGTGCATATTGAGAATAATGCACTGCTGAAGGAACATAGGTAGGCGAAAAAGAAAGGGAAATGGGTGTGTGGCCTGGAATGGGTTATATGACAGGTAGACGCGCAGAGGAATGGTGAAAATACATAGTACGATGGTAAATTTGGTAATTCTGATTGTGTGCGAGAAAAAGCAATATAATGTTGTGAAAATACTAATTCTTGTTGTCAATTGTCAAATTGCTGATGTAAACGTACGTTGTGTCATACTTGAATGATGTGCAGCAGCAGAGGATAAATGGCTAGCAGTAGTAGGAAACAAGTATTTTGCATCTTTCATGTTAGAGGGCACTTTGTAAAGACCTCAGAAGGGAAATTCATTTATGAAGGGGGCATCATTACTGGAAGATTGATTAGAGAAGGGATGACATATGAAGAACTACAATGCATGGTAGCTCATGATGTGTGGCCAGGGACTCGTGAATATAAAATGAAGTACACAGTTAGCTTTGACCGGGATACATTCTTGGATCTTGTTGACGATATTGGTGTTGGACAAGTAATTGAGTACAACAATAGTAGTGGCCATGTTTATGTTTGTGAGAATGAGAAAGACTTCACACAAGTGTCACAGCTGGACAGTGTACAAGAGTAAGTTGTTCTCAACTGGTTTTATTAAGATTGTGTGTAGGATAAGAAAGAATATGTCCAATTTTGATAAATTGAACTGTAATACTGAATAGCTGTATTTGTTTATGCAGGTTAGATGATTTGGTTGGCCCTTGTGGAATGTCAGTATCTGCAATGGAATTGGATCTAGACACAGACAACATAAACATATCTTCCGTACAAGATGTGCCAACACTGATAGGAAGTGTAGGTATGGAAACGTTGCCAACCCCAATAGCGGTGATGAATTCATCAAAGTGGGCAGATTTGTTGATGTCAAGAGGGCAAACCTTTGTTAGTGCTGAACATTTTAGAGAGGCATTATATAAGTATAGCCTTGCACACAAGTTTGGTTACCGGTACGTAAAGAATGATAGGCATAAGATGATTGTGAAGTGCTGTGTAGATGGTTGTCCCTGGGAAATTTCAGCATATGGTGTAGGTGAGAATAATGGATTCCTAGTTGTGAGAAGATTTAACTATGAACACTTGCATTATGCACAAGACAACTTAGTTGTCCCTCAGAGAAAGAGGTGCAAACTTGCTTCAGCAGTCATAATAGATGAGTTGATTTCTTGCATGCACAAAGCTCCAAATGACATTAGACGGGATTTGGAAAGAGAGTATGGGTTGAGGCTCAACTACCAACAAGCATATAGGGCGAAAGAGAAAGCATTGGAAAAAATTCATGGTTGTCCGCAGGAGTCTTATATGCTAATCCCTTGGATATGTGAAAGGCTGAAGGAAAGTGATCCAGAAACGGTAGCAAAGTGGGTTGCATCATCAGATAATAGATTTCAAGCTGTATTTATTGCATACGGTTGCTGTGTAGAAGGGTTTTTGAAAGGTGGCAGACCTGTATTATATGTGGATGGATGCCACTTGAGTGGTCCGTACAAAGGAACGTTATTGGGAGCACAAGCGTATGACGCGGATAATGAATTATTCCCACTTGCATATGCGATTGTTGGAGGTGAGACGCTTGATGACTGGGCATGGTTTCTTGGTAACATAAAGGATATTACGGGCTCATTAGAAGTGACAATAGTATCGGATAGACACAACTCAATAAAAGGTGCAGTGCAAGCCGTGTTTGGAGGAGATCGACATGCTTTTTGCTACCGTCATGTGAAGGAGAATTACAGTGCTGAGTTTTTGAAGATAACCAGGGGAAAGAGGAGGACCAGCGGACAGACAAAGGAAGTTGCACTAAAATTACTTGATTCTATTGCATACGCAAGACTTGATAGAGACTTTGATTGCAGTATGGAAAAGCTAATGGCATTTTGTCCAGAATTAGGACAATGGCTTCAAACAAATGGAGACATTGACCGTTGGGCACAAAGCAAATTTCCTTACAAGAGGTGGGACAATATCACAACAAATCTAGCCGAATCCTTTAATGCTTGGCTTGTTGGTGAGAGGAAGCACAACATAGCTGTCTTGATACATGAGCACAGGGAAAAATTGGCAAACAAGATGTACCACAGCAAAGAAGCCATGACGAATTGGAGCAATGGTGTGGGACCTAATATAGAGGAAAAGTTGATGGATCATGTGGCCAGATCAGAAAGAATGGATGTGCAAAATTATGGAATGAACAATTTTAGGGTCAGATGGGGAAACCTAGATGTGCGGGTAAATCTTGTGTTACGTGAATGTACCTGCAAAGGTTGGCAAATGTCAGGACTACCTTGCCCACATGCGTGTGCTGCAATCAAGAAGGTATATGGTAATATATATGCATATGTC